AGTGATTCTCCAAAGTTTTATATTTTTCCTGTGATACAGTCAATGGTTTTATGCTTTATTTAGTTAATTTTTATGGTAGGCTGCATTTGTGGTACAAATGTTATGTAATGCACTGAAAATTTAGGTCAGTTTCTGTTCTATTTTATTTTGCAATAGTTCCGTAAATGAGAATGGGATTGTCCAGAAGGTATGGCAGGACCTAAAGAGAAAAATTGATAAAATCTGGCTCTATGACTTACACTAGTGAACTGTGACTTGATCCTTGAGTGTAGTTAATATTGGATCTTCTAGAGAATACTGAAGGTGGTCAAAAGGGGAGAGTGTTTATGGTAAACTCAAAGACCAAGTGAATTCTGTTTTTTTTTTTTTTGTTTTTTTTTTTTTTTTTACAGTATTAACAATGTTATTATTTTTTTTTTTTTTTTTTTTTTCTGTTTGAGGGGAGGGAGCCTCGTTTCTTTCTGGGAATCCTGTTGTTCTGCTGTTGTTGTATTTAAATAAAATCACCTGAACAATGTACTTACCCCCAGTGTTTCATTCTAAGCCATGAACTTGAGCTGAGAACATGTGAATTATAATTCGCAGAGCTTATGGAAAGGGTGTGCACAGCTCAGCTGCACATGCCTAAGCGACCAGCTGAAGAGCTTTTGGGCTACTGATACATATAGACACACACAGAGTTACATATGTGCTTGTGTAAAWCCAGTTACTGTGGAAATATGGAAAAAGTTGTATCCTCTTAATGGGAGCCCTAAAGTTTGACCATTTTATAACAGGGTGTCTGTAATATCTGTTTACGTGGGATGTGGTGTATCTTAAGTGTCCTGTCAAACTCAAGCCCTCTGTATCCATCCATAAAGATAGASTTATTGATAAAGACAGATAAAAATACAGCTTCCACACACCTCAAAAGATAGCCTTAAGCCAGTGTAAATGGAGCCAATCGCCTCTGGGTTCTTTGCACTTTGTCATGGTTATATCAATCCTTTTTAAACATCTTTTGCTTCTGTGGGCTCATAATCCCATTTCCCAAGTGCACGTTCCCCTTTAAGGCCTCTTGTTTGAGAACTACTGCATTTTGTAGTTATAATCCATAAACATAATTAACATCAAGGGTGAATCCTTCCCACACGACACAGTGCAACAGGCCCTGGCTCCCCTGCAGCAGCAGTGCACATGAAACATCAAGARGAAAGTCTTATAAATAGTAGAAAATAGTTCCTAATTTATCTTCTCACTGCAAGCTGATCTGCCCTTCGGGAATKCTTGGGAACAAATGCACCAATTCCTACTCAAGCAGGTTTCGGGGTATAAAACAGCAGTTTGTGAGGTTGCTCTCTAGAGATAGCTTTTTTTTTTCCTCCTGTTTTGGTTTTGTGCACCGTGGGGTTGGATATAAGACCTGTTACAGTGCACCGGGATCTAGAACAATTGCTGCAAAAGGAAAAATCACTTCTTGTACTTCTCACCATTGGAATAGCTTGTACAAAATGCAGCAAGACCTATGGAGCTTTAACTATATAAACACAGTTAAAAAGATGCAGTATTTGAGTATACACAGGCTACTGCCACTAGGTTCACTTCTCTGAAGAAGGAGTGGAGGAAAAGCCACAGCACCGTCACACCCCGCAGGGAAACGTGGCCTGTGCTCCGATGTTATTCACCCAGCAGCACCGCTCCTCATCGCCTTACCGCCCTGTCCCTGTTTGGCAGGACAGCTGCTCCCGGCCTCTCCCAAGTATTCCCACTATTCTGCATGGATGGGGAAAACCCAAGCTAGACTGGAGACTCGGGGTCAGCAGAAGCTGCTCTCGGCTGTTAAAACTCAGAATAATGTCGTTTGCTGTTAAATCACCAATTCTCTTTACAGCTTTCCTCCTTTGATCATTTCATGTGATCCCGAGGAGACAAATGTTCAAAACCCAGAAGATTTCACTTATTCAGGTCAGCCAAAGATATAAAGTTTCTGCCATCAGTGCAGGTGTCTGAAATGCAGAGGTTAGGCAGGACCAAAAAAAAATCTTACCTTTTCTTTCTGATACTTTGATTTTTGTTAACATTTTCTCTAGAGTCACTGGGAGGTTTTTAACAGCAGTTCATTCAATAACCTTTCCTATTTCTGAACAGACAGCTTCAATGAAAAATTACTGAGCTCTGAGCATGTTCCAGCCATTCTCTGAAGTCTGTGTCCTTAGCAGGCTCTGCAGGTCTAGCTATTTCCTTCTAGTTGGGTAACTTCCAATTTACTATGAATATAATGGAAGAATTGTCACCGTTTACTTTCCAGCCRTTGACAACACTGATAAATCCCCTTGCAAACTCTGTGTGAAGTAAGTGCAAAGACCCAGTTGCACACGCATTCCCATCGGCTTTGCACCAGGGAAACAGAAACACCTAATTGTCAAAACTTGCTGACTGCATTCGCCCATGCAGGATGGGGGACTGGCAGCTAAGCTTCCCTGCCTTCATCCTCGCCTTCATCAAAGGCTATGCAGTAGATAAGGGGCCAGAGCACAGATTTCCATCTCTCTAGCTGYGAGGTTTAATCATGCAATTAGGATCCTGGAGGAAATGAGTCTAAGCCTGTGTAATTCCCAGCTAACTTAAAGCCTGAGCCTGCTCTGTGATTTAGACGATTTCCTATTGACTTCTRTAAGAGGTTTCTGAAGGCAAGGGCAGAGGGCAGGATCTGGCTCATCCCTTGCATTTGAGGCAACATTTGAGTGCATGAGCTCTGTTAATGAGGCTAAAATATCCGGAATCTTTCCATGCAACAATGTCTGAATAGTGTAAGTGATATAGCTTATATATATACACATATATATACACACACATATATATATAAACACACACACACGTATGTATAAATATATATACACATAACAACTRTACAGCCTGTCAGCCTATGATTATATATTTAAGGAAGGATATTCTGTTGATTGTAAATTAAGATATTAATTTTATATCACCAAAATGTCTTCATAAAAGTACTGTTGTATAACACGTGATTATTGAATGTGTTTTATTTTTCAAATGATAAAAMTGACAAACAGCTTTTTTTTTTCTTTTAGTCTAAGTAGTCCAGTGATTAGAAGCTCCCTTGATTTTAACTAGATACATTTTTTTTTGATCCAAGTGTGTGTAGCAGCCCTTGTGAATCTTTGTTATGCTGGGAAGACTGAAAATATTTTGTCTTTCTTCCTAAAAGAACTTTTTTTTTACCCCATCCTTTTTTTTTTTTTTTTTTTTTTTTTTTTTTTTGGAGAAAAAAGTTAAATGCTGAGAGGAATGCAGAATTATTGTCTACATCTGACAAGTACTTTCTTTAATTGTAAATATATCAGGAATAGTGCAGTTGTTTTCTATGTTACAGGTAGCTTCATATAAATGGGGGGATTCTCCACAGAAAATTCAAAGCTTCCGTTCAAAGAATGTCCTACGTGCCTAACAAAGAGGGCACAGAGCTTGCTATTTGCCCCAGCAAATAATACTGATTTAGTTGTGTGAAGAGAACTCTGGACTTGATTGTGTCATTTGTGTCCATAAATGACAGTTCACCCTGATGACTTCCTTCTGCCACGGTGATATCATGAATAGGCTGAACGTGGCAAAATCACAAAGGTTTCTCAGGACAGTATGTCAAGTGYTGAGAATGGCACATGCCACCTGGTGGAGAGGTGACACATACGGAAATCATAACCCAGGATGACATCTGCAGATGGAAACAGTTACATTTCCTTCGGCACAATAGCAAAAGGTTGAGATCTTTTACGGCAAACTTTCCCGGTGGTTTCAATAATGTATATAAACCTCTGGACAACATCCCAAACCATTATTATTGTCCAGAAAACCTTTATTCTAAATGGAACATGAATTTCCCATCAGTCTGATTTATTTATATATCCTGAAACACAGTCAAGTGCAAATTCCCCATTTCTAGAGTTGCTCTCCTGGTGCACTCAGGCACTTTCAGGATGGAGACGAACAGAGAAGATGATGGGTAATGCAAGTCAACAGCTATCTGAAGAGCATGCTGAAGGAGCAATGACCCTGCTTGCTGTTCTTGGCCACCCTCACAATGATTGCTCTTCATGCAGCTGCACAGCCCCCTTGATCCTTCTTGCTGGCGCATCTGCAGTTGGAGCTGGCGGGAAGTCTATGGAGAAATAACCTGGTGGGAAGGAGGGGAGCTGCCTTGCACAGCTGCAGCCAGGGGCTGATCCTCTCAGGCTCTGTCCCTGGAGCCAAGGGATCTGCCAGGAAGTTTCACACAGGTGTCTTTGATCCCGGCTGATAGCCTGAAGAGCAGAGGACTAGCAAATAAATGATGCAGAGGCTGCAGGGAGAAACCCTGAAGGGTGCAGGGTGAGGAAAGGATTCTGATCTGGGAATACTCAGGAATGGGTGGACAGCCCTACAGGGCAGTGCAGGGGCTGTGGATGCTCCTGACCCCCTTCCCAGCCCTCCTGTCTTCCCAAAGAGCAGAGAACAGAGAAAAATCTCCATTTTTCTACTTCCCTCCCCACCCTTACAGCCAACATGCACCTCAGCCTGCATCCCTCCAGCAGTCAGTGACGATGCGTTTTGCAGGAGATCAGGGACTAGGGATGCTTCTGGAAACCAGGGTTCAAGCATGAAGGGGTTGCTGGGATTAAATACACATGCACTGCTCCGTATAAAACCAGAGCAGCTCCCGCAGGAGCCTCTCGGTAGCAATTGAGCTCTCGAGCCGCGCCAGGTCCCCCCGCCCGGCTCCGAGGGGCGGGATCCCTGCTGCGTTGGCAGAGGAGCGAGCGGGACCCCGGCTCCTCTGCGGGTCGGGCTCGCCGTGGGGCTCCGCGTCTCCCCCCGCGGGGGTGCCCGGCGGCAGCGGGAGGAGGAGGAGGAGAGGAAGAGAAGGAGGAGAGGAGGAGGCGCCCGCCTCCCTCTGCGGGCGGGGGGCTGCAGGAAGCCGCCCCGGCGCTTTAATAGCGCGGCCGGCGCCTGCCCAGCGCGGAGCCATGCGGGGCCGGGGGCTGCTCTGCGGCATCGCCCTCTCGCTGCTGCTGCGCCCGCCGCGCCGCGGTGAGGCCGGGGGGGGGTCGGGGGGCGGCAGGGCTTCTGGCTGCCTTGAGCCCCTTTGGGGAGGAGGTGATGGGGGGGGGGGTCGTCATCTCCTGCTTGCCCTGCGCTCAGCGCCGCGCTGCCGGCGGGCTGGGGTGCGGGTGACGAGCAGCCCTGTCCCCTCTCCGCGCAGGGGCTGCCGCCGGCCCGGAGCTGCCGCCCCAGGTGGTGACACCGCGGTGGGAAGCGGCAGGGAGCGCCAGCAGCGAGAAGGTAGGTGGTGGGCAGCGCCGGGACCGCGAGAAACGCACATCTTGCTTTCAGAGCTGCACCATTCCCAGGCGAGGGGCAGCATCTTGGTTAATAGGAGACTTTGTGAGGTGTGTTTCTGTTCAGTCCTTTAAGCTCTGAGGTAAGCTGTAGACACAAGCCAGAGAGCCATCTGTAGAACAGAGAGCTGGTACTCCTCAGAAACAGAGAAATGTTGGGAGAAGTGACCATCAACCCCCAGACMGTTAGTGTGAGAACGCTCCTTGCACAGCCCTGCAGTAATGCTTGTCTCCCTCATGCACTAAAATCCCTCTCCAAGCTCACCTGCCCTCTGCTCCTCCCTAGGGACTGAAGCAATCTAATCAATTACATCTGTGGAGCAACTTCTTCGTACTTAAGGAGAGAAAGAATCACATCTGTGAGGGTAGTAAATAGACCAACTAGCAGCTCAGCTGAAGATAAACATGTCTTAAATGTTGCATGTAGCTGTGTGTAACGAATTCCACATCTCTTTTCATATGTGCAAGGATGAAGGGCTGGGTGCAGAGTCAGCAGCTGTTTTGAGAAGCCCTGGGACATCAGGCTCCAACCACAAATGCAGCTCCACTTCCTAGCAGTTAGGTTGCCACTAGTGAGAAGTGTTGATAACTCTAGTTTTATGCCTTATTTGCAGGAGTATTTCTAAATTCTCTTCTTCTGTCTTACAAGGAAAAAAGCAATGTTATTTTTCTGTTGCTGTTAATTCTCTTGGAAACTTTCTTGCAGTGTGGTTTGGAAGTCCTGAATCTCTTAATTATTGATTGTATTACAAATACATCTGGACAGCAGTTGTCCTTGCATAAATTTCCTGGGTCTCAGGAGTATCACTTGATTTGTTTCAAGCCAGTTCCTATTGGCTCCAAAACTGGTGTTAGCAAAGCCTGCCTAGAATTACAGCTGGGTTTTTTCAGTTGCAGCAATTGATGGTTTCTGAAGCAAAAGAAAAAGCAGTATCAGTAATAGTCATATTTATACAACTTAATGGAGAGACTTGTTGATGGATACCCTCAGATCCCTTTAAGTTATGGACAAGGCAACTTCCATTGCTGTTCCTTACATGATAGCAAAATAGATGAAACCTGAGACTTACTGAGCACTTGCAWTTCAAGTAAGCAAGAAGTCAGTCCTTGGATTTAGCCATTCCTGTATATACTAAATGTATGAGCTTCTCTTGCATGATCTGCATGGGCCTGATGCAGTGTCCTAGAAATTGAACATGGAAAGAAAACCAGAGTTTGATGAAAGGAGAGATTTGTAACTGAATTTGGAACTGATGAAGTGACACCCAAGAATGCCAATGGACTGACTGGTCTTTCAACTGAATGCCCTATTCAGTCTGTCTTGTCTTATTTTGCTTTCAGTTGATGACTTCTGCAAAATCCCCTCCAAAAATGAATATGGAAATAGTATGGTTTGATCATGTCCCACCATTTTTACATGCAATTTCAATTGAATAGAGAAGTCTGTTCTTATCAAATGGAATCTTTTTCTTTTGAAGAGTTTATCCATCCTTTCTGATGAAATGCTGAGAGACTGAGAAGTTCCCAGTTGACCTCATCTGGTAAAGGAAGTGAGGTTAGAGACTTCCAGAGGTCCTTCCAGTCGGCATTTCTAAGATTACTAGGTTATTTTAAGACTCTTTTAAATTTTTTTTAAGTGTTGTTTTTAGTGTGTATATTTGTAGTAAGAAATCCTTCATTTGGAGGCTATGGTTCAGTGCCTCTCTTCCTTGGCCTTCTGAGCTCTATCCACTTCTATCACTTGTGGAGAACAGTGGATTAAAGGCAGCTCCAGTTTCCATGTTCCTATTTTGGAGTGGTGGTGTCTGTTGTTTTTTTTTGTTTTGGGTGTGTTTTTTTGTACTTATGATATACGAATAACAGACACTGTCTCTTCTGCACACAGCATCCATTCAGAGCTGAAGTCAGGATAAAGGTAGAAGGACAAGATCTGATTTTGGATCTGGAGAAGAATGGGTGAGTGCTTGCGCATTGTGTTCGGAGTCGTGTACTTGCTGCAATAATGAGTTAAGTCAACAGGAAAATCTCCACTGACTTCAACGGGGTTTTGATAAAGACAGGATGAGGAAATCCTTTTCTGGATTTCAAGGTTATTCCAGGTCTAAGGCTCCACTGCTGTTAATCAGAGAGGCGGCATTGGCTTCAATACAGCTTTCTCAGCAAAAAACAGATGATGACCTGGCCTGCAACGTAGAAACTTACACTTGCATTAACTGGAAATTGTCACTGCTATGAGGTGCGCTGTTTACCAAGTGGCTCACTGCATTAGAGTCAATGCAACTCTAATGAAGAATTAATTTGCTGTGGTCAAAAGAGATTTTGCTCTGTTTCCTGGGAGAAATGATCTGACAACTCAATTCCATTAGTGCCCTTCATGCTAAAGCAGAGCCAAAAGTGCCTTTGTATTTACTGAAATGTAGCGATCTCTCTGGTATGATACAGCAATGTCATGTGCACATARGAAGTGATCTGCATTGAGTTCATATACAAATGGAGGGGAATAAAGTAGGTGGGATGAGTCTTGTCCGGAAACTCGCTCTGAGTCTGTCCTAGGTTGTTTATGTGGATTAACTTCCAGCAATGGACAGCAGCTGGAAATCAACTGCAATAAGCTCTTCCTTGCTAAGCTTTCTCTTCAACTGTTTTTTTTTTTTTTTTTTGATTGTTTGTTTTTAATCTGTCTGAAKACTTACGCATGGAAACTAAACCAAAGAATATTTGTCTGCTAGAACCAATGTCTGCTAGAATAGTGACTTTGGGATGATAACTCTCGTCATATTGTCATATACGGATGGTATGGGCATCCCCAGACACTCAGATCTTGGGGACTTAGCTCTCCCTGACAGAGGGGACTGAAATAACAGAGAACGTTATTAGTTCTGATGGCAATGCGCAAACCTAAATGACAATCGGGGTGTCTTTGAGGAACACTAGATTCTTTTTGGCACTGTATGCAGTAAAGCCTGAAATTGGATGAGTGATAAGAGTATTTCCACCAAGGTGTTTTCTGTAATAGTCTATCTAAGCTACTGGGCTTTTCAGAGCTGACAAAATTGGATGTTTCTTGGTCAGTAATGCACCATTTTTAGCCAAATAGAAGTAGCCATAAATTTTCTGTATTTTGATACCTCTCAGCTGGGAAAATAGAGAAGTGATRGATGAGACTAGGCAATAAAAGAACTGCTAACTAGGTCCTGCCTGAAGCAAGACAATGAGCTGCTGCTGACAACAGATGTCAGCAATGATGGTCTCTGACCTGAACCTGGAAGGAGCTTAACTGCTAATGGGAGTCTCTTCCCTAGCAGAAACACTGACATGTCTTGAATATTCTGCAGCAGCTGTGCAGAGGTGAAGAAGTAGAAACTGTCCAACACAAGGTTCCTCCCTGAATTATTCTGTGCTCCGAGGATGATGACATAATCCCCAGGTGCCTTGCGGGAACGGTGCCCTGTGTTTTCCACTGCAGACAAACTCATTGCCTGTGTTAGTAAACAGAATTATAATAATACAGGGCTTCTATTGTGTTTATTTCCTGAAATGCAAGCTCATTCACTGAGCTGTATAGSCAGGCTTGCATGTGTGTGCACACTTCCACTGAAGGGTAAATTGCTCACTGGGATGGATGAAATACAGCAAGTGGTTTGAAAGTTTTTGTAGTTTTCTGGGGAAATAAAGTGGTTTATGGATAGTAATGCCTCGAGCAGGAGTTTTGCCARGCCTCAAGTCCTTTCTCAAGAAAGGCAATGGCATGATCTCAAAACACAAGTCCGTGACCTTAACTAGATGAGAGCTCTAGAGAGTCACTACTTTGCAGAGATGTATAAAGGTGCTAAAGTAGTTTAGAGACACTGAAAGTAAAAAGGGGAATGTTGAAGCAGAGGGAGGTAGCCGAGGGGAAGAGCATGGGGGCCCTGTGGGTGTTGTTATTCATCAGCATCAGTAACCACTTCTCACTGGAGTGGATGAAACCTTCATCTGCTTGCTAAAGTTGCAGCCAGGCAGAGACCGCAGCTGCTGGTGGCAGTTCCCCGAATCCGTGAGCTCATCATTACTACTGCTTTCTCTTCAGCAGAATTTACATTCCTAATCTGAGGTCTTCTGCACTAAATAATGACATGGCCAGCTACTACTTCTCCCTTAGGGTTTGCAATGTTCCAGGAGAACCTGAGAAAAAGCAGAACCTCTGGAGTGCCAAGTGCCTCCTCTTCCACACAGACTTGAAACCAGGACTAGGCTAGGTCTCAGATAGCTTTGAAGTGGGTAAAGCATGGCTGCAACTTTGAAGAAGGTACTTAGGGCTTTTCAAATTCAAACGAAGCCCAGAGTTCTGGGCCATTTAACTGATGGGGTTTGCAGAGCAGCCTTTGGAAACCAGCTCTGCTGAGCAGCTATCAGGTCCTGGGGAGCATCTGATTTATCCAATGCTCCTGAGGCTCGAAAGAAGATATTCCAAGCCAGAGAAACTGAGACTGTTAAGTGGTGCCCTCGGGGATTAGACAGCCTTGTCCTTACAGGGAGAGAAAGCCAATGAATGTGAACTGTGCTTCAAAGGAGACTGAGGGGTGAATAAAATTATCATTTGGAGGGGTTTGGTAGCAGTGCAGAAGCTTCCAAAGAATTGTGCTGTTTCTAGTATGTGGAAGAAATTTTCATAAACATGTAATTTCATATTCTATATGAAAAGGACATTATGTTCATCCATAAAGGTGAAAAGCAGATATTATTGCATATATTTCTGCTCAGAACCCTGCACAACTCTATTTTGTAATACAATCGACAAACAGTTTAGGTCTCATACTTAAGAATACAATTACTGCATTAGCACCAACTCTTGCATTATTTCCTGTTCAAGCCCTTAAAGGCGGAATCACCGTATAGTTGCCAGTAATGTTTACAACACTATATCACATTTCCAAGTAATGACAAAAGTATATTCCCCAAATAATTCAGATTAAATGACTCAAAATTCTGTCTTGCAGCTGCAGAGCTGGAAAGCTCCAAGCTGTGCAAACAACAAATATATGGAGAGATGCCTATAAAACMGTTTTAAATTTGGCCAGGGCTTAGGAACGGAAGAATGCAAGTTGCAAACCTTGGATGCAAAGTGACTTTTTATTCCAAAGCATTTGCATTTGTTAATAAAAAGCAGCCTTGAGCCAAGCATGGTGGGGATGCTGGGACACTGTGRAGAAGCTCTGACTGTGTGTGGCGGAGCTGTCTGGTGAGAGCCTTTTGTTTTAGYGAAGGAGAGCGCTGATAGTTTCACAGCAAAAATCTATGTGGAGTTTTCTCATCTGAAATCAGAAGTATCCCCCAAATTCCCATCCTCCTTTTCWTGCTTCCCTTGGTGGAAGACAGATTTGGAAAAGGCAGTGGAGGGTCCTCCAGGAGAAGTCGTGGCTGAGGGCCAGCCTAGGCACTGGACTGTGATGCTGGCACAGGAGCTGAAGAGCTGTCAGGCCATCATGTGTGGCCTTGCAGCTGTTTGGGCTCAGGATAAGAGCGTTTCAGGGATGCCTCTGAAGCACAAGGGGAGCCTTGAGTGACCTCCACTCCTCGGAGCTGGCGTTGGCTTGTGTGGGTCTTTGGTGGCTTTGGTCAAAGTGTACAGCAGTTGACTGAGGGTGGTGTGAAGATATTCCAGAGATCATTTGAATTCAGCCCCAGAATCTACATAGTTATTTTTAGTCAAACAGGTCTGATGAGGAAAAGCATCATTTCCAATCTCCTTGTGCAGCTGCCAAGTGCTCCGGCYCTGTTTGATGCTCTCAGCACTCTGATAAGAGATCTGCATATCGCTCGCATTTCACTGTTTCCTGCTTTTTCTCATTTCCAGTGCCTCTTTAATCAATGGAGTGAGGAAGCGGGGAGGTGGGTGTCCGTCTCTGGGCAGGAAGGATATCTGAGATGATCCCACTGTTGGCCTATACATTATCAGCGTCTAATAGGCTTCCTGTGCTGGGAGTTAAAGGGTTATGTAATGGAGAAAAACTGTCTCTTAGAGTCATCATAAAAACAGGATTGTAGCCTGGAAGGCCATAGCTGCTCTTCATCTTCCCGCTTCTCTTGGGATGATTTCTTTGTGTGGGGCAGGGAGGAAAAGACAAGGAAATGGAGTCCTTTAAATTGTTTGCTCCCTGGCTCTTATTATCAGCCAATTTCCTATTCGTTTTATTTCCTCTCCAGGTGACTTTTATAGTTCCGATTGCTGAGCCAGGGGCCTAAGTGACAAATTTTGCTCTGTAGCTGTGGTACTGTAAGATGACTCACTCACCAAATGTCCCAGACAATGTGGATAGCTACAGCAGTGGCGAGTCTTCAGTCTGTGATATTTTCCAAGGCATTGCAAACTGGCAGTTTAATTTTTGTCTCCAAAGCTGGGAAGCTGCTTTTACCTTTCAAATTACTTCTGTTAGAAAAATAAATAGTATATTAGAGAGGACTCTTAAGGAAGTGAGCTTAAGAGCTCCAGGCTTGGTCTGGACAAGACTTGGAAAAAGATTCTGGACTTCAGTGATTTAATGAAGTGCCAGGTTTTGGCTGGAGGATTCGATCAGAGGTGAAATCTCTGATTTCCCCCTTGTGATGGATACAGAAAGCAGGCCTGCCTGCTCTTATTGTCAGAGGTCCCATTTTAGTGGTTTTCAGGTATGAGTCGTCTCAGGTTTTAATAATAAATTCTTATTTAATGTAAGATTTAAGTGAACGGGAAGTAAGAAGTGAAATTCCCCACTCTTAACCTCCTTGGAAATGCTGAGAGGCAATAAAGTAGGGCCACAAATCATGGATGGAAATTTGATGTCTAAGCTTTCTTGGGAGAATCAATCCCCTCCACCCCTCGGTGCTGGCAGCCAGCCTGGACAGATTGTGATTTGAGAAAAGGGACAGGGCAAGAGATGTAAGAGATTGCAGTCTGACTTCACTTTGCTGGGTCCCAAGACTAAAAAAAAATTAAGAGCTGATGTTTCTTACATGAGTCCTGTGAACCATTTTTCTTTTTTTTTTTAGGGGAGGAAAGAATGTTTGTCTACTTGATACTCAAGGGTGTTAAATTGGCAGGGGTTTGTGCAGACTAGCCCCTCTATAACATCAACCCAGACAAAGCTGATGATGGGACTGACTTGTAAGCCTGATTTTCTTTGTGTTGTCTGGGTTGTTGTTGGGTCATTTGGGTGCCCAGTGYGGCTGCCTTTGCCTCCGGCTGCTTCTCCATTCCTTGTGGGTGACAAGGTGAGCAGGAGGTTCTGCTCTCACCACATCCCACATGGCAGCTGCCCATAGAAAGCTGTGGTTTTTGCCCCACGTGGGCCAGCTGTGACCCCAGCCCGTCTCTCCCAGTGCCTCCTGTGCAAAGTAGTGACCAGCCTAAGATGATGTTTGAAGAGCAACCCAACAGCATCAAGAGTCGGGCTTGATTTCGGACAACAGTATCACTGAGAGGCAGGAGTGGAGACAAGAGTTCTCCACGTTGGCCATCAGCAGAAACAGTCTCAGGCCATCTGCGTGTCATGGCAGAGAGCCCCTCCTCTTTCAGCTTCCTTGCTCACGTGGAAGCTGCTCCAAGGCTTTTGCYGAGCGAATCCTGCCAAGAGCGGCTGCCGCGGCCAGTGTGCACATCCCGAAGGAGAGGGACCGGCTGTGCAGAGCGGGAACGCCCTGCCTCGCTGGGGAAAGTCAGTCCCTATTGCAAAAGTGGGAGGGCTTCTCTGGGACATCCCGAGCTCCCCTGTCACTTAAACTGACCTCGAGCAGCCCCACACAGCTGCCAGCTGTGAGCAGCGTTTAGCAAAGAAGATTGATCCTGACAAAAAAACACTTTTCCCCTGGCCTCATCCGTCATCTGTTCTGCTATCCCTCTAAAATTTGGTTCTTGCTGCCTTTTATTAAGATGAGAGGCTGACAGCTGTGTGACATTGTATCACCAAAGCTTTTAAATGATGTTATTTTGCATTCAAATGTTAAAGGCATTTGCATCTGCATGTAGAACTGCTGGAGAGGTTTTTACACTGAACTGTGTAAAAACAGATCAAATGATGCAGTTTCCTTTCTAGGCTTTCACCTTTCAGCAAGGTGCTGAGCTCCCTGCTCTGATAAAAACAGTGAGGGAGTCTGTGAGCACTCTGCAAGGTTGAACTCCCCTGGAATCAACCCTTTACCAAGTGCAGCCTGGCAGGGATGCTCTGTGTCTTGAAATTATGTTGGGCAAAGAGGGGGACAAACAGGGACAAGACTGGTCATCAAGTGACTAGCACCAAGGCGTGCGATGGAAGCTGCTGAAGGACAGAAAAAAAGTAGCTTCTTACAAGGATGCTTTCCAAGAATAAAGGAGCAGGAAGAAAACAGAAGCCTGCTTGTTTGTGAATGAACAAGTCAGCCGTGCAGGCCCCAGCTCCTGGAAACCCACGGGCTGGTATCTAATTCTGGTTTTAGTAGCACTAGACAGATCCGCAGCAGTTTAATGTCTGCTCTCAAGATGACAAACTCTTACACAAACCAGATACCTGCCCGAGCTCATTGCACAAGGCAGCTTCCTGCAAGTTGATGCAATCTGTTGATTAAACGGTTGTTTCTCGCAAGTTGATGCTGAGCAAGCTACCGCAGTCAGGGAGATGAAGGGAGTCGTGTTCTGTGGTATGGCACTTGGGGGCTTATCTTCAGTTTACAGATGCAAAATAGCTGATAACAGCAGTCTTGCTTTCTGGAAGATGCTTAGTGATGAGAATTAGCACAAGAGGAAAAAAAACAAAATAAGGTTTCCTTGGATACAGTGTATTTTGAAAGAAAAGAAAAAAGTTCTTGTATTTGTTACCACCGAATGTTATGAGAAAAAGCAATGGTGTGCACAGAAGTCATCATTATTTGTTCAGACATCTGAGCCTTTAAACCTAGGACAAGGGAAACACTTCTAAATATTATGAGAAAAAGATTTGTCTCTTTCCAGGAACTCATGCCTAATTCAATTAGCGCTCTGATACCAAAAACACTCAATCCCTTATTCAGATATAGTCTTTCAAGRTAGATTAGATCTGAGTGTCACATATCAAAATCCAAATCAAGTGGAAAAAAAATCCTTGCTTCTGAAACAGCTTAATCTTTCAGCMCTTTTTATTCAGCCTAAAGAAATGAGGCAGAGCAAAGAATAACGCTTTCTGCTTTCCTTCTAGCTTGCAGGTCATATTTCAAAAGTCTGGCACACAAAATGTATTAAACAGCRATGTGCAAGGACTGAATTGTAGCTGCAGCATTGCCAACACTGCAGTGTTGGTGCACAGCATCCTAGTGCCAGCCAGGCGTGCTGCTTTGGGAGCCTAATAGCATCGTGCAGGTTGCTATATGTTTGATATAGAATATACTGTATGAACTTTTTTTTTTTTTGGGGGGGGGAATCGAGACAACTGGTATTAAAAAAAAATGTGTTTTAGAACTCTCTTGCTGCTTCTGAGATAGACACAGGATGTGACTTTCTTGGTTTGGCCCAGATTTTGACTTGTTGCACTTTTTTTTTACATTGCTGTTTAGCAAATACAGATGTTTGGAGAAAGGGGAAAGATGCTGCTTCTGGAACAAAGTCAAAATACTTACTATTCAGTGCACAGGAGTGCTTTTTATAGACATTTGTCTGATCCTGGGCTTGAGTCAGGAAATACAGTCTGTGTAAGGATGAAAGGATCAAACTGAAAATGGGGAATCAGCATTTACATAGAACAAAGAGTGATCTGGCTTCTTAGCTGAGGTTGACACGTAGATGCAGAYTGGTTTATAATTGTGCTCATATGCACAAGCCGGTAGACTAGAAAGATTCTAGATTTGAACTTATACTTRTACTAGCTCTGCTGGATGTTCTGAGTAATGCCCAGTGATGTCCTAAACTGGTACACTGGGCTCAGTGTGCTGAATCTAATCGCAATATATTTTGACATAATAACTTTGCAGCGGAATATGAATTGCACTGTAGGCACCTGTACCTCCTTGGGCAGATACTGCTGCTGGGMTTTCTCTCTCTCCTCTCTTTTTTTTTAAATCACATTAAAATTGAGTAGTTCACTTGATCAAGCTGGGGCACAGACTCTTTATTGTCTTTATTCATAAGGACTTTTTTGGAAGTGTATGTGTGCCATGGGATAAAGTATACAGCTTCTGAGCAAGCAGCATATAGGTGCATATGGCAAGGTCATATATACTTCCAGCTTCTGACCCTCTCCCATTACAGCCCTCTCTGCACAAGGGAGCCCTGTATTTGGGTTCTGCAGAGCCTCTAATTGCTCCTGTGCCCTGAGGAAGCCATTAGCCTTTCCTCCCTGGGGACAGTGTGTCAATGAGAGCCTTGCAGATAGAAAGCAATGATTCAGAGCAGTGGGCAGAGACTCAGCCCAGTTTGCTGTGAATGTCTCCAAAACACCCATCTTCTTCTTGTTCTCTGCACATTTTGTTTGGTTTGGGGCTGGAGGGCACAGCTGTAATGAACTGGGACTCTCCTGAGTCCAGTAGTGGTGGTTCACATCAACAGGAATATTTAGATTGACTTCAGAAAGACTTGGATCTAGTAGATTTTCTAGCATACCTGGGAAATAGATTTCTAGGTCTAAAGAAAAGCCTTAATGCCTTTTTTTTTTTTTTTTTTTTTTTTTTTTTCCTGTTTCTGCAGAAACCTCTTTGCACCAGGCTACACGGAGACTCATTACAGCCAGAGCGGGCAGCCCCGGACTGTCTCACTGCCCCACACAGTGAGTACAGAGCCTGCTTTCATTCGCAGTGAGCAGGAAGAGCAGGGAGCCGGCCCGGAGCAGCGGGTCAACTTCCCTCTAAAGAGATTTTCATCCAGGCTGGGGCTCCTGTAACTCTACATTGAAGCCTGGCTTTCCCAGCTGGGAGCTTGAAGCTAGAAGATGTCTCTATTTTACAGAGGGGGGAAAAAAAAAAAAAAAAAAAAAAAAGTAGATTAAAATGTTTTTGTATTTTGTCTGAATTTTGTTATGAGTGATGAGGATGGTCTCCAGCCTTGCTCCCCTCTGAATGCTGGTGAATAAAGAGCTCATTTATTCACCCCCTTCCTTTTGACTTTTGCCACAGGGTACTCCATGCGGAGGAAGTTCCCGGCCTTTGGGAGGACTGGCCAGCATAAGCTGGCTCCTTTACAGCAAGAATCCCATGAATCCATGATCTCACACAGGCCTTGGGCCAACTCTCCACTGCAGTGGCACAAAGATATGCATTGGTTGCAATTTAAAAATAGGAAAGACCCCATGAGGTCATCTTTATTGCTGCTCCCTAGGGCAAGGAGAAGGGATCTGGTGGCATATGTCTGTCCTGTGGTCCCCTGGGTCCCATCGAAGCTGCTTTTGTCTTGCCGGGGTCCCCGGGACAGGGATTTCCTTCTGCATGTGGTATAACCCTTCCTGGTGCCAAAGGTGCCTTTGGGGCCTGACCCCGGGCCAGCTGGCCTGGAGAGGCAGCTCCTGTTACATGCTCTGGATGGGGCTTAATGCTGCAGACATGTGAGTTGCTTCCTTGGGGATTCAAAGCTCTTAGTTTTTACTGGCAGCAAGGAGCATTTTTGTGCACTCCCGTGGGCCACATGTGGCAGCTGAAAGGCTGAATTTCAATACACAGACTCCCRGAGACTGGTTATGATAGCCAAGCACTTAATGAGGTGGAAGGAGGACAAGTACCGGAGTACTCATACCTTCGCAGTGCTCAAACGGGGCTCAGTGTCCATCCCAAGACTGCAATCCCAGGCTTGCTCTCTGTGACCGTGYACTCTCTGCCTTGCAGGACCACTGCTTCTACCAGGGCACCGTGCGGGACAGGGAGCGCTCCAGCGTCACRCTCAGCTCCTGCAAAGGGCTGCGGTAAGTGCCTGGCAGTGCCCGTGCTGGAGATGGTTCCTGCAGCAATGCTCTTTCTTTGCTCCACATCTCCTGTTTTGCTCCTTGCTGTGTCATGCTGTGARCAGGTTCTGCTCCCTGGTTCTGGTTTTCCCAGCTGAGGGGACAGCTGTGTACTGTGGAGCGTTTGCCAGAGATTGGGAGACCCTGGACAAACAAACCGATTCTTAAATTCCACCCAACCAGAAGTCCCAGGTACAAAAAGGAGCATGTCAGGGGAAAGCCGTAAGTTTGGGAACCAGTAGTGGCCACTGTGGCCTCCTAGGAAGCACCTAAACTTCTTCCCCCTCTGTGCTGGCAACATGAACTCGTGCAGTTAATTAGTTTAACTCAAGAGACCGCTGGAGTAAAAGGCTTCTCCTGTTAATGTCTCATAYGGTATCCTGGATGGAAACAACAGCAGGACTTGTGAGGTCCAAGACTAGTCCTCTACACTACTACAGAAACCAGCTCCTTTTTCAAGCATCTCATATATTTTTATGTGCAGTTTGGGGCCATGTCTTCCAACCTGAACTTCCCACCATGTTGTGAGCCCTGCTTCGTTTCCCTTGCTCGCCGGTTTCTCCCTGGGTGGTGCAGGGATTGTGTGTGTTACGCCTTTAAAACTTTAGCTTTGGTAGTAATGGAGTCTTTGGCAGAAAAGCGAGGACTATATCCTCAGCAGGAGTAAATGAAGTGATTCACTGAGACCTAGGAGCTGCAGTCATTTACACCAGCTAAGAGCTCATTTCCAAAATACCGCATATACTTTATTGACATTAGTGGTTATGTGCACTCGAGAACTGATCGGAAGTTGGGCTTGATGGGACTTGGTCCAAGCAGGAAACAGGCCTTGCCAAAAAGTCCTAAGCACTCTTAAGTGTATGTAACACAGGCCAAAGGACTTGCGAGATAAACAGGGCAGTKTGGCCACCTGCAGTTTGTAATAAATAATCCAAAAGCAGGTGTTTTCTGCCTCTTCCAGTTTGCATTTTCCTATGCTCTCCATTCCTAGCAGCAGAGGAGAAAAAGTGTCTAGATGTTCTCATGTAGCAGCRTTTCTGCACCCTGGAGCTGTCAGGCTGTGTGCTAGTAACTTCTTGACATCGTTCAGTAATTACTGGAAGTGTGTAGAAGCTGAGCACACACATCTGCTTCCCCTGTGGGCGGCACGCTGCCCTTCAAGCCATACGTCTTTCAGTAGGCATTAACCACAGGAGCTTTCTAGCTCTCACAGCTGTAAACTGACAATTGAAGAGAACAGAACCATATGGCCTTGTGCAAGTCCCAGAGAAACCCGTATCTCTATCGCTCCTGATTACTGCCACAAGTGGTGAGAGCTACCCTGAGGCCTTGTTCAAAGGTGTGTACGAGAGGAAAAGCCCTGCTTTTCTGCTCATCATTAGCTTTTCTGCTAGAAGTTGTCTTCCTTTGATTTCTACATTTTTCCTTGTTTCTACAGTGCCCAGCATCAGGTTCTTCTATCCCTCTTCAGGATTTAAGCATAATAATACCAAGGTGTTCCCCAAAGTTGTGCTTTATAAAAAATATTTTTCAGCAAGGAACTGTGTAGCAGAGGAAAAATTTGCTTCTTCTACAGAAGTATTCACTGACTTTCCCTCTTGTTGCCTCCATCTCAACAGAGGACTCATCGTACTGAACCACAATTCCAGCTATGTCCTAGAGCCTCTCCCCAACAGCCAGAACCAGCACTTGATCTACAGGCTGGAAGACCTGAAGTTGTGGAGAGGAGCATGTGGCTACGAGGGCACTGAGGCCGAAGACTGGCTCAGGGGCTTCCCTGCTGAGGTGGCCCCAGACTATCACAGGGTGAGCAAGGCTCAGGCCAGGGCAATGTGGGACAAYGGGAGGATTCTCTATTTCCCACCTCTTTGAGCCCCAGGAGCCTGCTGCTGTCTGGGAGCATGGCTCAGCAAGGGGGATGGAAGAGGACATCTAAAGAGGGTTTGTGGCAAACTGGTTGCTCAACAGTGGCTCCAGCAGAGAAGCAAAATAAGCACTGGATACCACATGGGTTTGGGTCATGGCAGTGGAGCAAGTCAGGGACCATTAGATGAGCTGAACCTGTTTCTGTAGGGGTTTGTCCATCTGATACATGAGATATGAACAGCCTGTCTTTAACCCTCTTGCAAAGACTTAAGCTAATCATAATTGAGATGGTCTAAGGACATACCCATGGGCAATTGCTGTAATTGAATTAGCTTGTAATACCTGATTGCTCAATACCTGGTTGCTYAATCTTGTTTTGAGGTTCTTGTGTGTGATGGGGTGGAGTGAATGGCCAGGGAAAACCATATTGTGAAAAATTRTATTTACATAAGTTTAGCAGAGACTTTACTGGGGAATACTGGGGAAATAACTGGTGTTGCTCCTGGCACAGGTCAAGCGGGACACTTTGCATGCTACAAAGTACGTGGAACTTCTGCTCGTGGCTGATTATGCGGAGGTAAGAAAAAAGATTATGTTTCTATGAGCTGTTCATGGGCCCAGAGCTGATATCCCACCTGCAGATCCTGGGGAGGTGAAGGGCGGCCAAGGCTGGGCTGTTTTACTGTGTCCATCGGGAGAGCTGGGAGTCTGAGTCACATCGGCCCCAGCAGTCTGGACTCCTGGACATCACCAGCAACTGTGCTAGTTGTTGCCTAGGGAAGTGATGTGGGCTGTGATTTGGATTAAGGACTGGGGTTCTGCCAATGATCCCTAGCTGAAAGATCCCAACCCTTGAGCGTTTGGGAGCCTTTGGTTCCTGCCTCATCACCCAGGCTGATGGTGAGAGAGCCTGCCTTCAGCCTAGGGTGACTTGGGGGTTTTCAGCAATGATCTATTCTGCCTCTGCACTTAATCTCCAGAAGGTACCCAAGATTTTTTCTCTGCTCTAAGATGGTAAATAAGACCTCTATGCCAGAGGTACCTACTGATAGTGCAAACCATGTGGTGTTTTAGTGATCTTCTAATCATGAGTGCAGACTGGAGTCAGGCCAGTCTTATCTATTATTTACAACTTGAAACTCAAATAGTAAAAGCCATGTAGTGCTTTAGGCTATAATTTATTCTGAACAAAGGCAGAGCCTACTTTGTTCTTCTCTACTAGGCAGCAGGGTACTAAGGAAGCTATGAGAAAACACATTGCATCCAGTCGGCAGTTGCCAGATATTCTTCAAGGTTTCATTAGACAAGTAGGGGTAGGCACCCTTGCAGTGRGAGTTATAAACTGCCCTCACTTTACTTGTCTCCCTCTCTGGCAGAAAAATTCTAAGTTTTGCAGGTTTCACAGTCTGTTTAACAAAAATCTAAACATTTTGCAACTTATTTCCTTGAATCAAATGCTGCTTGCTAAAATCTATTTACTAATTATCAGGTGGCTTAAATAAGCAAACATGTTCTTTTTCAACAAGCAAAATRTATAACATCCTCTTTGGAAAGTGCTCTGGAAGCTGTAAGCTTGGACATGAAGTCATGTTACAGTACATTACACGTGATAAATTTGTTATTTCTTTGTCAGCTGCTGGCTGTGGTTGTTTTGACCTAGGATCAGTTTGGGTTGCTCCATTCAGTTGCTAACATCACTCCCTAACGCCTTGGTGTGATGCCAGTAAGGAATTATAAATATAGACATATACAAGAGGGCTTAWGGTCAGATGTAAAGTGAAGCAATGCTTTTGGGCTTCGCCTGAGTTACTTTCTCATTCCCAAAATAATGTGACTTGGTTTCAAGCATTGCCGCTCTTCCTAGTAGTCCCTGTGGAGGAGCCTGACATGTTCATTCTGTTCAGTTTCAGAAGCATCACTTCAGCATTGAAGCAACACGGCTTAAATTAGTAGAGGCGGCTAACTACGTAGATAAGGTGAGATCAGGTGAGACCAGGTGTCTTTGAACTGAGGGAAGTGAAGCTAAAATCATGAATTATGAAAATTATTTGACATTTCTTGTCAGTGATTTGGGGAGTGGAGAGTGTTTGCCAAACAATTCTGTTATTTGGACATCAAGGATGATGAGGGAGTGGGAGTCTCCGTTCCTTACCACATAGTTGACACGAGTATCCTACATTTTAATACATCTCCATATTAATTATGCTTCCTAAATGCTGTCTCGTCCTCTCCCTCACCCTCTCTTCTCCTCTTTTTTGACAAAGACTGAGGTATCCACTTAAAATTGCAGAAATCTTGCCAAATAGCCCTGGAAGGTATCATCCTTGCAGTGGTAAACAGTCTTCCTGAAGCAGCTCCTCCTCCCGGCTTCTCACGTCGATTTTTTCCACACTCTCCTTCTCCCCTTAAATTACCTCTTGCCCTTTCTTTACCCTGGTGCCCATGAGGACTTGTCCAATTTATATTTGATGTAGGCAAAAATTCTTTCTTTCTTTTCAGGAATTTTGACATATCTGAAGGATGACATCAYCTGCCTCTAGTATTTGTTTATCTAGAAATCTTATCTCTGTCATTTATTAAGTGACAGAAGCTTAGTATCTGTAGTCCAATGCAGTTGAGGTTTGTGGGTGGTGCTCTGCTTCCAGAGCAGAGACTGCTAAGTTGCAATGTATTTCTAGAGAAAACATCTTCCCTGGACGTGTGTGTTTGTAGAAGCATCTAGCAATATTTAGAGACTTGGTTTAAAATGCTGTAGAATGCATTACTGGTGCTCAGTTTGTCATCTTTCTTCTCCTGTATCTTTTAGTTTTATAGATCCCTGAATATCCGGATTGCCTTGGTGGGGCTGGAGATCTGGACTCATGGGAATAAATGTGATGTAACTGAGAATCCTTATTCCACCCTGAGGTCTTTTCTGGCTTGGAGCAGCAAAGAGCGGGTGTACAGAAAGCATGATAATGCCCAACTAATTACGTAGGTTTATTTWTCTTGAAATAACCAATTTCTGCCTAGGGGATTGCTTGGGTGGTTGGGATTTCAATATACAGTCAATATTGTTCGAAGATTTGGAGTAGCAAAATTAGGGTTATGTAGTAAACACTCAGGCAGAAATGTTCGGSCATTCAGAGCACAATCCCTTTAGCAAAATTGAAAGTCCCAGGCTATGCCACAGAATCATTCAGATGTATCAAAGTGTGCATCAGGATCAAAAATCAAGTGTAGCCAGCATTACTGTGTGTATCAAAAGCAACTGTACATGAATGTTTATTCTCACAGTTTATTGCCCAGCTTCCTTCCACATCTTATCTGAACCATAAAGAAGAACCGTAAAGGGGAACTGAGCATTTTGTAGAAGTCATTAACTCCTTACTCATCCTACTGAGTGAGACGTGGGAGACGGGTTCTGACTGATGCTGTGATCTCATTAGGGCCAGTACCTATGGCCAGTAATGTAGATATTATTAGAAGGAAAATCTGCAGYAACATGTAGATCTACATGTCTCTCTCATGGCAATGAATTTACCAGCAAATAGTGGCGAATCAGAGAAGGACCATGTGGGAGCAAAATTTAGAGATACTTTCCCATGTTTTATCACTTTAACATTATTATGTTTCATTTTTATCTGAGTATTTTATATAAATCATATATATTTTATATATATAAGATTGACAGGTTGGTTCGTAAAGCAAAGTACTAGTCCAAGAGAAGGATAGGTGTTAAGGCTTATAGCTCTGCTCTAAAGTCCTGTAATTGCAGATATCACTAGAAAAAATGTTTTCACCTGCCATTCTGTTTAGGAATAAAGCTATACAAGCATGTACAGAGCTGTGTAATAGCCGTTCTGTTCATGTATAAAGCTGCAGGATGCAGTTCTCTGCCTCGTTGTCTCAGGAGCCTCAGTGCTACTTCATGGTCTTCCTGTGTTATTTATAGGGGTATCCCATTCCAAGGTACCACAGTTGGATTGGCTCCTGTGATGGCCATGTGCTCTGATTTCCAGTCAGGAGGAGTAAACATGGTAAGTTATTGCTAATACCTAATAATAATAATAATACCTAGTACCTAATAAGATGTTTCTTGGCAGCAGTGAATAGTGCATGGTGTAAAAGTCTCCTAAAGCTTAGGAAGAAAAGATTTCCTTGTCARCTCAGAGTCATGAATAACTTCAGTTGGTATTTTCTGCATGCAGCAATGAGAAGTGCCATATGTCTATTGACTGAGAGATGCACAGGGCTGGCACGGGAGAAATACTTAAGCACCTCTCTGGCTTTGTGCAGGATCACTCTGAGAATGCCATAGGTGTTGCTGCTACCATTGCCCATGAGATGGGACACAACTTTGGCATGAATCATGATTCCTCTGGCTGCTGCACTACCAGTGCTGAGGATGGAGGCTGCATCATGGCTTCTGCAACTGGGTGAGTCCTTTTTACAGAATCTTGCTGGGAAAAGTAAAAGGCTTCGTTATAAAGGGTTCAGGAGAGAAAGAGCTGGAAATGCAGAATGAAGGTGGATCTACTGCTGCCTGCCATAGGCATCATATTTATAGAGATATATCAGCATCAGATGGCTATGCGCAAGACTGGGCTTAGATGACATGGAGATGTTATCTAAGGATGGAATTTTAGATGTAATTCTAAGGATGGAATCTAAGGATGGAATTCTGCTAGACTTCAGTGGTCAGCTAAAAGCCTGCATTTAGAAAGGAAGCAATAGCTGTTTTTGAGAGGAAGAGAAGTAAAGAGAGACTGGGGAAACCCAAGAGGATTTCTGAGTTTATTTTGCATGAGGAACCACATGACAGCTTTCATATTTCAGTCACATAAAAAYCCCAGCCAAACCCACTCACTTAGTTACATTTCCTCAAGCCTTATTGTTTGGGCTTTTATCATTTTTTTTTACAAAATAATTTCCCTTAAATGCCTTCCTTTTACATCAATGATTCCTTCCAAGCAAGGAAAATATTAATGTGAAAAGTGAATTGGTGTGCATATAGAACGTGTAATGCATAAATGCATGTATGATCATAAACAGAGTTCACATTCAATCGCTGTAGAAAACAAAATTCATAATTCATATAAAAGAAAATATTCAAGCCTATAGTAATGAGACAAGAGATAGGAAAAATGAAGCATTGGTTTTATCAGTTAAATTCACAGTCAGAATTGTTCTGGCAGAGTTGTATATAAGCCAACAGTAATATAGATTGCCATACTTATGAGTTCTCAAGGTTCATATTTTGTTTCAAGAAATAGTTATTTTATTATTTTTAGACCATTTTAATATAAATCTCATTTCTAAAAGTAGCCTAGACACAAGCTGGATCTGATTTTGAACAGGTACACAAAATCACGATTCACTTGAGGGAGCTGCGCCCTTTGACATTTGTCAGGACTTGCATGTGCTCATACTTTTGTGCTCTAAACCATTGCCCAGTTCTGTCATGATGTTTCTCTACACCTGTCCATATTCAGGCACCCATTCCCCAAGGTGTTCAACCAGTGCAATAGAAAAGAGCTGGAGAAGTATCTGCAGTCTGGTGGAGGGATGTGTCTCTCCAACATGCCGGATACCAAAAAAATATATGGTGGGAAGAAATGTGGAAATGGCTACTTGGAAGAGGGGGAGGAATGTGACTGTGGAGAGGTGGAGGTAACAATTGTTTAGATCCAAACATTTGGGGCTTAGCTGGGACACAGTGTTTTTTGGCTGCATACTCTGCAAATACAATTATGGGGTACATAAACAGCTTTGGTTTGTTCAAGAGGGACACTTATCTGCTGTATATGTAAACGTATATGCAATATAAATCAGGGTGGTAAAGCACTGCATGTAGCTAAACCTGCCGTGTCTGGTGTAAAACATTCCAGAACTCAGGGATGGTGTACTCTGTGATTAAATAGAGGGGATGACTGCATTTGTTTAAGTCTTCTTGCACATTGTAGTTTTATATATCTTAAAATTGGCTTTACCTACAGCTCTATTCTTGATAAGGATGGGGCTTCTGTTAGAACCTCAGCTTGCTTTTCCATGTTATCTATGCCTCAAATAATCATGACAAAAGACAGTCTGGACCCAGCAGCTAATATTCACCACAAGTAATGAGCATGACCTATCCTATCCAATATATCTAAGAGAGAATATAAGTATGCAGTAGTGTAATTTGACAGGTGTTGGGTTTAATGATCATATGGAGAAGGAAGACTAACACTCTGTTTGCATGTACATCATGTGCAAGAACAGATTAACTTCACCCGCACACGCGGATACTCTGGCACGTTCTTGTCTTGAACATCTGCCTTCTAAACTCTGCTGTGTCTCGTGTCTTCCAGGAGTGCGACAACCCCTGCTGCAATGCCAACAACTGCTCGCTGAAGCTGGGTGCTGARTGTGCCCATGGCAGCTGCTGCCAGCACTGCAAGGTGGGTTTTCCTCAGAGAAGAGAGGGAATAATGGGCTGATGGAAGCACGAAGTTGGAAAATGGAAGTGAAAGGAAAGCAAATGTAGCCAAGCACATAGTTTAGCTCCCTACTTACCCAGTGTAGTCTCATTTTTATGAAGAACAGCTGTGGGTGTGATTATACCAATGGAGTCTTTTTATTTCCAACTCTGTCTAATTTAAACTAGTTGTCTTGACTCCCATTATAACCTCATACACAACCCATTAGGATGAGCAGTAAATGCTGCTGGAGTGAAGTCATAGCACTTCTTAAACACTTGCTGTAGGGTGGGACGAATCACATTTCTGTCCTTTGGCTCTAGAGGCGATCTATACAGAACAACTCCTCCCAGAATTAGGCTGGATGACATCTTGGACGACACGTAGCAGGGGAGATATGTTATACATTAGAAAGCTGTCTCCAACAGAAAAAAAAATGACAAACTCTGGAACAGACTTCCCAAGTGGGGAATTTTCTGAGAATAAATTACCCAAACAACTGTCAGAAAAGGTTTAGGTAAATCAGATTCTGCCCTAGGACAGCAGGAGGTTGGGCAGTGTCCCTTTGAGGTTTGTCAGCCTTATTTCCTGTGCATCATCTCGTCCGTACCTAGGGAATGGGACACAGCCACTAATTTGATTCTACACAGMTTGTCTAGTTAATGAAATTACAGAGTCATTTGGATCACTGCTGACCTCAGAAAACCTAAGATGAAATGCCAAAGACTGCAATATTTTTTTTCTTATCTAACTGGAAACATTGTGCAGACCACAACCATCAAGAAGACAATCAATAATATATATATTTTTTCCTTTATATCCTTTTAGCTGATGTCTCCAGGAACTCTCTGCAGAGAAAGATCAGGACTTTGTGACCTCCCAGAATATTGCACTGGAGAGTCTCCGTTTTGCCCCCCAAACTCATACCAAATTGATGGGGCTTCCTGTGAAGGAGGAAAGGCATATTGCTACAGTGGCATGTGCCTCACTTACCAAGACCAGTGCGTGCAGCTGTGGGGGCCTGGTAAGGACACTGTTTGCAAAGAAATATATTGTCATTTGAACAGCCATTATTATGTGGCATCCTGCTATTATTTACCCTATATATGACAATAGCACCTATTGTGTCTATCTACAATAGCAGAATGTGCATGGTGCAGTTATGGTATGGGATACAGTTTGAAGAGCTTCAAACTAAATAGACAGAGGAGATGAAACAGGAGGGATGTGGTATGGGAGCAGTCACAGGACAGCAGCAACAAATCAAAGATTAAACCCAGGTCTCYGAGACTGGACAAGGTGCTATTGGTATCCCTAGAACTCCTCAGAGGTGTGCTAGAAAAGTCAAGATTATTTAGGCCTGCATGCAACAGCTTAATAACATCTGTTAGATCTCCAGGGGGATGAACCATGGTGTTGACCTTTGACTTGCCCACAGGATCAAGCAGGAGCTAAGTGAGATCAGGGGAAACCCACAGCAAGCTGTCCTTTCTGCATGTTAGCAGGTGACAATCAGAGAGTGCTGGCACTGATCCATGTGCCATCCATTTGCATAGCCTTTGTCAGTGATGAAGTCCAGGAGAMCTTTCTACTGCATTTCTTGCTTGGAGGAGGCAACACAATCGCCATGCTTAGTATCTCCCAGGAAAAAAAGAACAACTGAGTGATTGGTGTGGGGTGAGACAGGCTGCCAGACTCTGGGGCATCACTGATGTGAGTCTCTCCCATGCAGGAGCAAGGCCAGCACCAGACACCTGCTTTGAGAAAGTTAATGCTGCTGGAGACATCTATGGGAACTGTGGGAAGGACATCTATGGCAACTACAGGAAGTGTGAGATGAGGTAAAAAGCCAACGGGCAGTGAAGAGATGTTAGTTGAGGAACTCATGTTTCTACATATTACAAATCTTTGGCCCAGTAGATCAAATCATGCTCTCATTTCACTCTCTCTGCCTCCTGGGAAACCAGTTGCATTCTGCTAAGATTTAGTGTCTTTACAACTGAAGCATTAAAATCACCCTTACCCCTGCCTTTTGCATTTTAAAACAACTAGTTGAAATATATTTATGTTTCTAATTCCAGCATAAAATTGGATTTTCAAATCTGTAAATTCAGATGCAGCTTTCTAGCTTTTTTGTCTTTATGATTTTATTGAATCTGGCCCTCCCAATGGGAATGACCAAATGGTACCTTTAGTACCCATTTAATACTATTGCCTGGAATCGTTTCTGGGATTTTTTTTTCTTCCTTTGAGCAATGACTCAGCATTGCTGCTTTATTTGACATTTACAGCTGCACATGTCTGCAAAACATTCACTAGGCCAGAAACACTCACTTTTGCCTTTCCTTTGAAAACAGAGATGCTAAATGTGGGAAGATCCAATGCCAGAGCTCTGCTTCCAAACCCCTGCAGTCCAATGCAGTTGCTATAGACACATCTATCCCCGTGGGAAGGACACAGCTGAGGTGCCGTGGGACGCATGTGTACAGATCTGAGAGYGAAGAAAAGGAGATGCTGGACCCCGGCTTGGTGTTGACGGGAACGAAATGTGGGAGCCAACATGTAGGTGCAGCCCTCTGTACCTATGTGAGAAAGTTCAAAGTATCTCACTTGAGAAGCGCGCTGTGGTTATTAAGCCATTCATTTCTTATATCCAATGCYTTTCTAGGGGAATTTATGTATGTTAGAAATTTAATTTCTTAGCAACTTCTGAGAAGAGTGGGAAGAACTTGCCATATGTCAACTCTGTCCTGTGAAGCCCATGACTATATCAAGCTATTGACTTTTGAGCTCCCATTCCTCTCTGATTTATTTTATCTGGGATTTAGGAGAGGGTGGCTAAGCATTTGATGGGGAACTACAATAACTTTGCAGCCCTCTATTCTTCCCATGGTATTACTTGTATTGTTGAGATGTCTGGGAGTCTTCAAAACACAACGTAATGCAAGACAATATGCCTTTCATAATCCCAATCCTTTCTCTCCAGGTTTGCTTTGAGGGACGCTGCCAGAACACATCCATCATCTTTGAATCCGAAAGCTGTAACAAGAAGTGCCATGGGCATGGAGTAGGTTTTCTCCTTTTTATATCCATTTTGAGTTGAGGCAGGATGAACCATCATTCATCTGTGGATGTTTATCAGCTAAGTTCTGGTACTACTGCACGAGTTGCCTGGATGGTAAACACGCAGGAGCTACTTTAGCAGCCAGGCAATAAAGCTCTGCAATAAGAAATCTTCCCCGTGTGGGAGGGGAGAAATCCTATCTTTCAAAGTGTGGAGATAAGGAAAGGAAAGGAATTTTTAAATGCTGCTTTTCTCCTGAATCGTGATTAGTGGCACATCAGCAAAATCATCCTAGTCTTCTGGGGAGAGGGAGAATTTCCAAGGAAATAATAGGCATTTTCAGCCCTGGAAAAGGAAAGAGCACTTATCTCCCAGTTTATGTTGATAAGAGTCAACTGTGTAGCCTTCTTTAGGACACAGCACTAAAGGAGTCTTTCTGTTCCAGGTTTGCAATAACAACAAGAACTGCCACTGCAACCCGGGATGGGCTCCCCCATTTTGCAACAAGGAAGGGCTGGGAGGAAGCTTGGACAGTGGCCCCCCACTGCCAGAAGGTGAGTGGGACCAGTCCAACCTTGGTGGYGTTTCAGAAAGTCTTGGATCAGGTTGGGAACAAAGAGTTTGCATTGCACTGATTAAACTTTCTCATCCTCAGGCTTTTCAGTGGTGGAAATTACGCTAGCAGTCCTGGCTCCAATTCTTCTTGTTATTGGAATCATGATTTTGTTTTGCTATCTGAAATGCCGGCATAAATTTTTGATCTGTTCTCTAAGGAAGACCCCACAGTTTAGGTAAGTCATCAGAGCTAGACTTTATTTTCTGCCATCTATTTCTTTCACTGAAGGAATATTGCAAGGGCTGTTGGAAATATAACTAAAAAGGCTTGTTGGTATATTCAGCATTTGCTTCTCATTTTTTGGGTAACAGTTCTGTTAAATTATAGAAACGGGAAAAAGTAGAAAACATGTCAAGGAAATAACATTTCCTTTTACCTTTTCTTTCTCTGTCAGTGACATGCCTGGAAGCGGCCATGCAAACCCTGCCTTCAAGCCAAAAACTCCTCAGGGACAGAGAAAGGTAGAGACAATGTCACCTCACCCAGTACTACCAGARACACAGCTGCCCTGCTAAGTGGGATTCAGTTCTCTTTCAACTTGCCATTAGAGATGGCTTTTCAAATGATAGAGAAAATACAGCCTTGACACCCTGGCTGAAAGTCTGTGGGAGCTGGCTGTATATATCCTTAAAAGAAGGATGAAGAAGTGTATGAGCCCTGTATAGGCACTTATTTCTCCTGATAGATCCTATTCTGCCATTTCTTGCTCTCAGGAATGTAGAAAGTACAAACACTGGATTTACTTTCAAACATTACATACTGCCCTACTGCTGACTTACTATGTTCCCTCTACTCCTGTTTCTACCTTCTATCCYTGGTTGTTCTAGACTACTGACTTGAGGTGGAAATAACTAACCCCTGGAATCTGTGTGTCTTCTACTCAGGCTATTGGATTCCCTGAAGTSCCATTGAAACCTCCTCCCCAACAAGCTCCAGGTCTCCGAATAAATGCACAGCAGCCTCCTGCTTTCTCCAGTGGCTCCAGCTGTGGTGGTGGGACACCCTCGTGGCTGGCGCATCAGATGGTCACAAAGGACACTGCCAGGCGGACACCTCCGAGCAGGCCAGCACCTCCTCCTCCTCCTCCCAAAGCCCCAGTGTCTCAGGTAGGATGATGATGCTATGCTGTCCTGCACGTGAAATGTGGTTAGGGAGTTTGCTSAGTGAGGATGGTGAAGCCTGTTGAATGTTGCTGGCAGGTGGGATTAGGAGTGCTCACTGGGTATCATGTGTAGCTGAGACTCTSTCCCGGTGTCTGGCTGTGATTTGGGCTCTCCCAGGACAGGGTCAAGTCCAGGCAGCACTGAGCTGGACACAGCAGCTCTGGGAGAGAGGCTTCCCTTCCTCCAGAGGTACAATGTTGTTCTGCTCTAATTTAGACTTAGCTTGGCATCCTAATGGGAAAGGTGGGGTGAATGAGCCATGTTGTACCACCTCATTCCCCACGGAATAGGGAAATATATGGAACAAAATTTCTCTTGGTTTTACTGGAGAACAAAAATAAGGTTGCATGGGGGAAGCATAAGACTTAACTAACTCTTCTTATGTGAGTGTCCTAACCACCAGGTTACTTTGAATGCTATAAGGAAAAGGGATGTTATCTATTTCCCTTACTAGTAATCTTGTTCCAAGCTTAGTAAAAACCACACATTTCTAGGAAGAAAAATAATGCAAATAGATTTGCTCTGACCTAACCTCTTTTTAACAAAAATTTATCCACAAACTTTATTAGGTTAGGACCATCCTAGGAAGAAAAGGCTCACGTTACAGAGCACAGCATCAGGCTGGCTCCAAGGCAGCACCTCTAAAGGATATAGAGGAAAATAACAACAAAATGGTTTAGTGAATGGGTTTTGTTTCTTGCTCCATTGTTTCAATGAACAGCCACACGTGGGCAGGAAAAAAAAAATCAAAACAAAAGCAGGAAGCCAAATCTAATCAATAAGGAGTAGGTATCCTTCCCAGCTGCTTGTTGACATTGTGGTCCCTCTGTGACACATCCAGTCTTTTTATATCAGTCAGATGTCCTAGATGGGATGCTTGCCCTAGGATTTCCAAAAGAAGCCTAGTCGTTTCTGGGCTGGAGAAGGGCCATGAGATCTACACAATAAACAGGAAGTCATTAATTTCATTGCTTGCCAGTGTCGGTCTCTTCCTAGAKGGTTGTGGTAGTTGCCAGATTTGCTCCCTTGCTGCTGCTCTTGGTGATCCTTGAACTCTGCTCTTGGTAGAAGTTTGCCTGACTTGTCCTTTCTGTGGCCATAGATGCAAGGCCTAGGGGAGTGATAGATCCCCCAGCATTAGCTGATGTAGCCATCGAGCATTGCACTTGCACATAGTYGAAGGTAAAGGCAGGGTTTTTGGGTACCCTCCAATTTCTGCATGCAGCTGTGCTTATTAAATCAACACCTGTAAACCAATGCCTTAGCCCAGAAACTAGGCAACAACAGGAGGTTAGCTCTTCTCCTTTCTCCCCAAGGGCATGCTTTACACTGAAATTCATTAGACTGATGGAAAATACAACGCTTAGAGTATCCCACCAGGGATAGCTGTGCACAAACCAAGAAATAATTGACTGTAGGCAGGTGTTGGACTGTGTGTGTGTGTTTGTACAACCACATTGTGCATGCATTGTGTGTGCAATCATAYAGGGAATGTATGTAGGGGCAATTCAAGCTCTTTCTTTCTTGCTTAGGATATTTCCAGGCCCCGGCCACCCCAAAGAGCTTTGCCAGCCAACCCTGTCCCCGCCAGACTCAGGACCCGGCCAGGGGATGGCCCTGCAATTCCCCTGCCCCCGGCTCACGGGAGGAACCCGGGACATCTCCATCCACCAGCAGAGGTAGGGATCAGAGCACATGGGGACACACACCACCAAGAAGTAAAACTATTTCCCCAAAAGAAATAAATGCCCCAAAGAGCAGAACCTTGCAATGATGCTGCGAAAGACCGTCATGCACAGTCATAACTAATGGACCTCAAGGAGTGTTGGCTTGGTTGGCTTTATTGTAAGGACCTCTCTTTTTGCTTATGAAGCCTTTAGTGTGCTAAGCAAAATGGGCCTAATTCTGCGGAATAACCAAATAATCCTAAATGAAAACAAGTGCATAGCCAGAGCAAAGCTCAGGGCAGGTGTATGCTCAGCCTGTCTATATTCTGAAACAACCAACCTGATTCTCTCTGTCTTGGAGCACTTCCCAGATTAAACATGTAGGGTGCTTGAGTAGCGAGGAGGTGGAAGTGCATGACACAAAAGGCAGCAAACTGCACCCCACAGAAACACCTCCACTCCATACAGCACAGATGCTACCTACAGCATACTTGAAGTAGACTATAAAAATGAAAATTAAACCATTCTGAGCTCCAAGGAGAGTGSAGGGGAGTTTTCCATTTGAGGCGTTAGGGTAGGAACATGCGTGACCAGCGGGCAGCATTTCCTCTCAGGCCAGGGCTCACCTCTTCCCTTCTCCTTCCCAGAACGCAGGAGTCAGGATGGCTGGAGCAAGGAGCGTCCTCAACGGGTGACACCTGTGCTCCTGCGGCGCCTGTGGGCCCCAGTTTGGCCCCTGCCAGCCCAGGATTCACAGGGGCTTGGACAGCCCTCATCACTCAACCAAACATACGTGATTCCAAGAAGAATCCAAACTCCTCTGGTTTTCTCGCCGTCAGGCTTGGCAGGTGCAAACTCAGAAACTGTGTCAGTACCTGCCATGCTGGACTCTATCTACCATGCTCACAGCTTTTCTTGTGTAGAGATACCTTGTGTATATGGTATTTAATTGTTATTGTGCAATATTCAATGCAGGGGGATGGGGTCTTTACATGTTTTTTATCAGTTATTTAAGTGTTTCCAAGAAGAATGAGCTGAGTCCAGGTGCTAGCCTTGAAAGGCTTTTATGTAAGATCCAGGCCTGTTTGCCTCCCTCAGCCCATGCAGCAGCTGCAGAAGCGTCTGTTGGTGCTATACAGAAACCACTGCCTCTTGGGAGAGCAGGACACAGCCTTTGATAAAACTTCTCCAGTTTATTCTCAGTTTACAGTGGCTGGCAAGCTGGGCCACAGCAGAGAGCAAGCAGCCCACAGGCACACTCCTGGTTGAAATACCTGGATTATGGATTTTTGGTAGAGCAGATGAAGCATTTTCCCAAGGTGACCATCTTCAGCAAGATCTCTGCAACCTTGGTCTCACCAGGCTCTTGTGTGTCTCAYGTTGGTGCTGTAAGAACAAAGACCTCTCACCAGTGTCACTTAGACACTGGTATGGTACGACAGAGAAACTCTCAAACCAGGATACGGGGCAAATGGCCAGAGGGAGGTTCAGCAAAGCGCTGAAGCCTCCTCTCCACTGCATGGTACTGCCCAACTTCAGTAGACACTTTCAGTAGACACTTTTCATGTGTGTGTGTGTATATATATATATTTTTTTTTTGTGGGGGAGTGGGAGCCTTCAGCTTGTGCTGAGCAGCATTTCCACACTGGCTGTTGCCTCCTCCTACAATGAGAAACCTACCTTAAAGTTGCCCTATTGGTAAAACAGCAGGAATATTAATATGATACATGGTGCTTTCATAGGACAGGTTGTTTCCTCCAGGCTTTTGCTCTGCTGGAGGAAGGTGTCCGCGTGCACTTTAAGCAGCTGATTGTTCTGAACCTGTGGACCCACCATCMTGAGGCTGATTTTTCTCTCTTACTGGTTTGGGCTTTTGTATATTTCTTTTCCCTTAGAATTTTAAATGAAGACATTTTGTTACCTCAAAATTATTCTGTTTCCTTGCAGTTATTTCTTAGGAGAACACGGAGTTCTAAAGGAGAAATTACACAATTTTCTCTCTGAGTTAGCACGGAAAGAAATCTTCAGTGTGATGCTGCTGCATAAGCAACAAATTGTAATATTTGCTTAACAAAAAAAAAAAAAAAAAACTTTTTCTGGTAGTTCTTTTTCCCTAAGCTCTGCACAAAAAAAAAGTCAGATAAACCTTGAGCACTCAGATTAAATTTGTATTATATTTAACAGTAATTCTGTACCAAACCAAACCAGTTTTTGCAACATTACTACCTCTTTCTCCCCGGGAAACAGTACGCAGGGTGTATCTTGAATTTCTGATTGACTATTCATGACCTTGAACATTTTGGACTTTTTATCACCTTCTACAGGCCTAGAAAGTAAGTTAGCCTAAACTATTYCTCTTTGAAATAGTGGACAGCAAACAAAAACCAATGATATCGTAACCATGACATGTCTCTCTCTGCAGTTAGTGATCACTGTCCTCAGAGACTTGTGCTGGTCTCGGTGCTTTGATGCAGTGATAAAACCAAAGGGTTTGTGCAAACCCTATTTGGTCAGGAATATTCCTGGCTGTGAAGCGAAGCTGGTGAGATGGAAATTGCATCCATAGCCACTTAAACCTTGAACACTTTTCYCTCCGGTGCCAGCTTCTCATCAAGATCAGTCAACATCTATCTGAGATGCTGAGAACAGGCCCATCTCAAACTCAAACCATCCAAAGCTGTCGTTCCTTAGGAGTTATAGAGCTGAAGAGCTTGTTTAGCAGCCAGTTTTAGTACTCATGGGCGGAGGTCTAGTCTTCACATCTGCCAGGAGGTGGCCTCATGTGGCAGTTACCATAACATAGATTAAACCACAGCAGCATGATCCTGTATGTGAGTCCTCACTGACTCCTGAGGACAGCAGCATCTTTCTGCTACACCCCTTGCTTTTTATCAGATGACCATCCCATCAAAAATGACTAAGATCATTTTCACAGCACTTCATGTGCAAGCATTGGTTCTAGTTCTTCAGAAATGCTTCTAAACACACAAAGCTCAGAAAACTGTACATGCCCAAACCCTAATGGGAAGCTCTAGCAGTGGAATATCACAAAGCCTCCCAAAGGTTATTTTTAGTAAAGCCTTTAAGCATTTCATGTGTATCCACATTGAGTGAAAGAGAAAAAAAAAAAAAAAGACTAGAGGGAGGAATAAGAGATGACAATGTATTTAAAAAAAAAAGAAAGACATTACTTGGGAGAACACGTATAAAAATACATCTCACTTTTCTTACATCCATGTGTTAATGGTTTACAATAATGCTCTCTGTGCATCTATGCAAATACTTGAAGAATGCAATTCATTGTGCCTTTTGCCTACTTCCTAATAAATTTATCACTTGACATTAATCAGTGTGCTGTCACTGTGTGGTATCATTATATCCTGGAGCTGACAGGTTCATGGTGGAATGGCCTTTCTGCATGTAGCTCTGGGCCACGGAAAGGCTGAGTCCCATTTGCTCTTTTTCCAAAATAACACATAAAGCAAACAACCTATTATGATTCCAAAACCAAATTACAGAAAATTACTTGGAGTATTTTCTACTACCAAAGGAGGGCGCAGCTGTTTTATTTTATGGCCACAACGCTCTTTAGCAGCGCTCAGGTTTCCTGCAGTTTATCCCCATTGACACCAGAAAAATAATTCAAAACTTTCAGATGCACCTTGAATATTTTTTTTTGAACCAGCCTTTATTTCCCTTTCCAAATTCCTCCCTGAAGTAGTCCTGAAGTGTTATTAAGAGTTTGCAACTTCCTCCTGGAAGGACACGTCTACAAACAAGGCACAACACATGGTCTGGATCAGGCCCTGCAACTTCACCGAAACCATCAATACAGCCCCGGCAGTATAGCTGCTATGGAAAAACTTCAAAAATCACAAAAGAAAACAAAAATCTCTCTTTAAACCAATTAACTCTGCTGCAGGGAAAGTCCTGCACATCACAAAAGCTTAAATCGATTTCTCTGCCACAGGACTCATGACTTGGCTCTTGCTGCTTGGCTATAGAGGGCTTCTATTCCAAAATTCACCACATTCCCTAATAGGTAATTAAAGATAATTGTACAAGCAGAATTTACATAGCAAGAGTACACCATTCAGTCCTTGCCTTTCTGTACAAGTGTCTAGAAAACAATTTAAAAAAAATCCAAACATTAATCAATGTATCAGTCATGGCCTGGAAATAAGCACATCAACATGTCTGCCATGGGGAAAGAAGGTCAGAATAAACACTGAACCTGCCAACAGACAGAGATCAGACTGGGCCTCTGAGAGGAGTTGTCCCAGGAGAATTGTATTTCAAGAGGATTTTCATTTCCTGCAGCCCAGTGGATGAAGTCCAGTGACACTTAAACATAACCCTTGCTGACACACCATTGCAATGATCAATCCAAGGCCAAGTGAAAGACTTCGCTTGACTCTCCCAGGTTTTGGATATTATACCGTGGTTTTTATTTTCTGCATTTCCTTTTTAAATTGCTCAATAGCATATTGAATATTAATATCAACCCATTCAGGGTATTTTTCACCCAGATCTTCAGTCTCCAGATATTTGCATATAATACATTAGCTGTAGATCATAAAGACTTTGGGTTTATCCTCTGGAACAATACTGCCATTGTCTGCATCTATCAGGATGTTCTTGTCATCTTGGGTGACTGGGGCCTGCTCTTCACTCTGGAGGACCTGTGGCAAGTTTCCTAAACTGACATCCATATCTTTGAAGGCATGGAGCAGAAAAACTCCCAGAATTATGGTGAGGAAGCCACAAACTGTCCCAATAATGTCCACGACAGTCATAGTGACCCATTCCTTGAAGAGAATAATAGATGTTGTGATGACAATGGTGGTGAACAGCACATAGTAGATGGGAAACACCAAAGAAGTGTTGAAAATGTCTAGAGACTTATTGAGGTAGTTTATTTGCGTAGTGATGGATGCCACCAGTGTGATGACCAGGATCCAAGTCAATGGGTGCTGCAGCACAGGCTGGCCAGCAAAGAAGCCCTTGATGGCAATACCCAGGCCTTTGACAGATGACACGGAGAAGGCCCCAATAACGGAACAGATAGTGAGGTAGACGAGGATGTTCCTCTGGCCATAGCGAGGTGCGAGGTAGACGATCAGAAGGAGGCAAACAGCCAAGAGGATCGCAGCGTAAGCAAGGAAACCTTGAAGGAGGAAGCAAATAACAACTTGAAACGAGCTGGGGTTATGGATGCCAGAGCAGAACATATGGCCCAGCCCTGAGAGAGAAAATATTACTTGACCATCCACTGGTCAAATGCGACTCAGTGCAAAGCAGTAATGCACCAGAGTTACACTACGATAGGTCATTTTAAAAACTATACAGAGCCACCGAAGTGGAGGAGGGTTTGTGGATTTACTCCAGAAAGAGATGTGAAGCACAGGTCTGATAAAATTGATTTTCCCACTAAGTGGGCTCCATCCCTAGGAGTATCCCTAGCTTGTGGCATACCTGGCTCTCGCAGCTTCAAAGTCATTTCATCCAGAGTTGTGACTTCCTCGTCCTCTGGGGCATGTATCACCATCACTGTGCTGCCCACTATGCTCAACATGCAGCCCAGCTTTCCCAGAAGGTTTAGCCGTTCTCCAAGTAAATAGGAAGACTGGATGGCACTGCACGGGATAGAAAAATAATATCTGGTGATGCCTTGAAGTCCTTGAAAGAACCGCAACTAAAATAACTGAAAGAGTAGCCATACTTGATAAAAGGACACAAATGTGGAGTAAATTGGTTCAATTCCAGTATGTTATTACAGATTCACAGTGCAACTACTGCCTAGCTGAGCCACAGAGAGGCACTCTCTATAGCTCCCAGCTCACATATAAGCAGGATGGAAAGAAATTTTCAATGGGTTCAATGGCAAATCTTCAGAAATACTTGTGGTGTTTCCAGAGCCACTCACAGCTTCTGGGTATTAGGATTTTTTTAATGCTCCAAGAAATGAATTCAAGGATCAGTGTAATAAAGAAACATAGAAACAACAGACAAAATGCATTATTTTTGACTTGTTCACCAGAACTATTAAATTTAGGAAAATTTTAAAGGGAAAGGAACTATATTTATGTCTGTTTTCAATAAAAACAATATGACGTGAAGTAAGTAATTATTTAAGAATGGTCTCAGACCTACCATCCTCACCCCATTAGTGTTTTTGTTGTTGTTTTTTGAAAAGAATACCAAGATATTTTTATTTTAGACAGAATAAAACGTATTAACAACACCTCAAGTCTTGCTACCTCACAAGACAACCGGGCAAACAAACAAACAAACAAACAAAAGTCAAATAGCAAAGCATAGGTCCATAAATCACCTTATGAGCACGCTCAGGGCCCCCAGCGGCGTGACGATGGTCGCAGGAGCAAAGGCATAGGCGGCAAAGTTGGCAGCCTCCCCTCCACCCACTAAACAAACAAAAGAAAGATAAACAGCCAGGGAATTACAACGTGTTTTTTGTTTTCTCTTGTACATTTGCAAAATAACTAGAGCTCAGCTAGAGGAGTTTTGCTAAATATTTCTGTGCTGCATTAAGACAGTGTGTGGAGGGCTAGGCTGTGCCACAGCTGACCCACATGAGCTTGCTAAGCCCCTATAACCCAGGCACACCTGAACATGTGCCTGGTGTGGTTAATGAGTTAAGGAGYAGCAGCTGGCCAGGAGGAGGTTTTGCAGGTTGGAGGGTATGGGTTGCGCTATATAATATCTTCCTGATCAGCATGGAGTTGTCCTTGTTTGAGTGGTCTCTTTTCCTTGAGCAGTGAGTGTTATGCACTTGCTTGGGCTGGTTTTGAGTAGCTGTGTTATGGCAGTTGCACAGCAAGAACAAGGCTCTGTTCTAGGGAGCTGAAGGGTCAGAGCAGGACAAGGGTGCCTTGAACTACTGCTGCGGACAAGGTTGCTCTGCAAAACCCACTTGTGAAACCTGCTTCTTTCTGCACAACTGCAAGTCTTCTTCCAGAAGAGTAATACTACAGCATGAAATGGGGGATTTGATATTTGTTCAAGACAAATTGTACTTGAAGAAGTTGCTATGAACATCTCATTATGCACTTTCTGCTGTTGAAGCAATGCTTTCTGAAGCCTTCAGTAGTATGAGAGGCTGTTTGCCCTGTGCCTGGTATGCAGCCAGAGCAGCTGACTGCCTTATTGCAGCTCAACTTTTCATCTTGATTAGGTAAAACTGAGCTAACAAGTTCTACCAGCTTTGCAGGTGTACTGCAACAGGATGGCAAGAGAAATCCTATGTGGCTGTGCTCACTGCCTCTACTTTCCTTGAGGTACATCTGTAGAGGTCAGGGGACCCACCAGAAATAATGCTTGGAACTACTAGGTGCTGGGTTTCTTCCACAGCTGAGGTGCAAGGACAAGAGCTGAGCAAAGTAGCTGCTACTTACTGGTTAGCAATCCAGCCCACCAGAGCCAGTCCTTCAGGTAGCCGTGACCACCGTCTCCTGGGGAAGCAAAGCACACGTATTCAGAAGCTAACAAAAGTGTTCTTCAGGACAAGAGATGAAAATTCCCTCTCTGGAGAAAGATGAGTTGTAAGCAGAAAAGAGCAATAAAGACAACAGCCTGGAAGGACAGGATGTGTATGTGCATGAGAATTACATTGAATCAAGGTTTTAGCAACCTGTTTCCTTGCTGCTCGCCATGGAGGGGCCATAGGGTCCCAGGGCAGAGCGACGAGGGACAGCAGGGGCTCTTCCACACCCAGCACGTAGAGCAACTGCCTTCACCTCRTGTCGTGGACATACATGGGAGCTAAGGTAAGGCCAGGAGCTTTTCTTTTTCCAAGCGCTGATGGGAATCCTGAAATGGATTGTAGCTTTGCGAGAAGGGGACGTGCTCTGGTTACTCTCCCACAGTGATGGGATGTGCTAGGTGAGGAGACTGGGGTGCATGTGGACTCTTTGGCTTGTGGTCCAGGACAGGGTTGTGCTGTGATGTGACCTTAGTGAAAGCTACCTGCACCCTGACTCAAATGTGTACCTTCTCCTAGGTGCTGCCATGCATTGTAGGCCTGCAGAACTGCTAGAAATCCTGATATCATCTTTCTGTGGTTTAGTGATTTTGTGACTCAGTAATTCTGATGGAAAGTGTATTAAAATAACTCCATGAAAGCCTACAAAGTGTTACCAAGAGCTATTTGAAAGGAATTTGACTGTTAAAACTGTAGATCCAAGAGCATTCTAAATGTTTTTTATTAGGTTAAATCTGACAGGAATGGACATGTAACAGCAGGATTTGACCCACGCTTGAATTAAAGGTGTGCTCAGATACCATCATAGAAATACTGAAGTTGAAAGCTTAGATGAAGAGATTGTGAAAGTGAGTGTGGAGGGCTCAGGTTATGTGGAAAAAATCTCTTGCCAGGATGTTGAGGGCAGTGTTTGCCTTTTAAATTTCATCAACAAACTCACAAGTGCTGAAGTTTAAACATTATATTACTATATTTTGGAATTTTTTAGAAACTGCTGTTCTGTCATCTTATTGTGTGGAGCTTTTTTTTGGTTGGTTTGTTGACTGCAATTTTGTCATTAATTCTTGGTAAAACATCCTGAAAAAGAGGAGGGGTTTGCTCTCTTGTTTGGCTCTACTTTGGGAGGAGCTCATGTGAGAGGAAAATATGAAACTATACTAAGACTTTCTTGTGCAGAGTTAGTGCTGAAAAGTAAAACCCTGCAAGTTCAGCTGTTACACGCAACCCTTGTTGCATGCATGGGGATGGAGAAGTTGGGGTGAAACTCTGATGTGGATTTTGGTTCTGTTGTCAACTTTGCTGTTCTGCCTGGAAAAGTTGCTTCACCTTTCCCTGCCTCTGTGTTGCCATATATAAGATGATATTGTGATATTGTTGTTTTTTGAAAAATGATTTGAGAATTTCTGGACAAAACCACTAAATCAGAAGGGGGATGCAGCATGATGTTCCTATTACTTCATTTCCTACTTATGCAACTAGGTGAACTGCTAGTAGGACTTAAGTTGTTGCTAGAGCTGCAATCTTGTATGACTGCAATGCTGATGGGACATGTTGGGTTCAGCTGTAAACATTATTCCTTTGCCGTTCTCCATGCATATACACATGCACTTAAATACACACTTCACCCAAAGAGCTTGGTGCTCAAGGAAAGCTATGAATGAGCAAGCTGTCATTGAGCATTACACCTCAGGTGTGTCACTTCTACAGACCACAAGCAGAGTTCAGACACAGATCCTAGGTGGGCAGCACAGCTGTCCTATGTTCTCCCCCAAGGCCTTACCTGCTCTGGTGCCTCCCTTCTCCACCAGCCGTAGCAATCCCTTCTTCTTCAGGATGACGCTGCTTCCGATGAGGAGGCTGGAGAAGACAGCCAAGCCCAAGCCAATGTAGAATCCATAATTGCTTTCCAGCTGAGTGACCCAGGAGACATTTGAGGTCCCRTTGTCCTGACCAGAGTCAGCTAGGTCAGTATCGCTGACCACCCGGCATACAACCCGTCGAGAAAGGCAGGAAAGGGTAACCAGAGACCCTGTGAGACCACATGGAGAGAAAACAGATTTTCCTGTGTAAATAACAACTCTCACACAGACTCCTTCATTCCTGTCACTGACTGCACAGCTGATGGGATGTTGTCACCATAACAGCTTGGTACCCAAGCCCCTTGCTAACTTCATGTGCAGTTCTTGGCTTGTGTACCTGAATTCAGGACACCTGCTTGCTACTAGATTGAAATGGTGATGTTAGTGACATTTATATAGTGAAGTGACAATTCAAGCAAGTCACTACAGCCCTTTTACACCAAATGTGTCTACCATCTTACACAACGTGGCCTGGGAGGGCAGAAGGACTACTGTAATCGTCGAACTTCCAACTCACTCTGCCACTGTGTCTCTAACAAAATCCAGAATTACAAGCTACTATTTCCTATCTTGCCAACCTCCAGTGTTACYGATTCGAAGATCTTAGAGCTTTTTGGTCAATAACTCTCAGCAGCTGCCAGCTAGTCTGCAATTAGCTACTTCTAGTCTAATCTGGAGCAACTCTGGTGTTTTGTAACTGGATTTGTCCCAGCTCTGCTGAATGCCATCTGKTTGCTCACAAAAGAGAGGAGACTAATCACCTCTTGCCTTTTCTTGCCTCCACTGCTTAATGTTTGTTCCACCTATRTGCTGAATACCCGAGTCCTTGTAAAGCATGCTGAATCCCAAGAGCGCAGGAGGAGGCAGGTGGGGTGCTCCCCAGTTAACATCTAAAGCAGTAGCACAAAGTTTCTAGCCAAGGCGCATCGTTGCATGTGGGTGGAAAAATTACCGAGTCGCTCCTTATTCTCATATTCCTACCACACCCAACGCATCCTTCTACTGCAGCCTCACCCCTGCGTGGGAGAAGGACACTGTGACTGTGGAGCCACTCTAGCCATGTGGAGTATCAAGAAAAGTCTTCTTTTTAGTAAGAGTTTAAACTTCTGCCTGAATTCATGTCAGATTTAYGCAGCAATTAATTGTCTTCCCACACACATAGGTGCACTGTGGCTGAGTGTTCACAGTACCACAGGCAGGCTGGGCAGGGGAGCTGTCCCCAGACATCCCACCTTCTTCCCAAACCAGGAACCCACCTTGGTTCTTCTGCAGCCTCACTCACTTTCCCCTGAAGGTGTAGGTTAGGATACAGATTTTTTTTTTCTCCCTCTCAGAAGGACATATTCTAATGACCTTCTACATGAGTTTCTAGAGCTCCTTCCATGGATTTTTTTGATTGGGGAAAAAAATCCTTAACTGAGGAGACTTTCCCAGAGGAGCRGGGCAGGGAGTCCCACCACCTCAGCTGGCTAAGAGGCTCTCCTGTGTACTTTAGGGGGGTGAACATTTAGGGGGTTGACTTATCTCTAAAGGAAAATTACCCCCCCCCTTCCCTGCAGCCCCTGGCTGACACGCAAGGTGCTTGTCACTTGCTGATCTGGCTTTAGGAGACTTCCCAAAGCCAAACTTCTTTCCTTGTCCTGCCCGTAGCCCTGGAGGGAGTGGGAGCGGGACGAGAGGCAGCCCCGGAGCGGGAACGGACCCGCGGTACGCGGCTCAGCCCGACCCTCCCCTGGGAACCCTCCGGGCCGGGGGGCCGCGTAGAGCCCGGGCTCGCCCCTCACCCCGGGCTCGGCACCCACCGTTGCTGCAGCTGCCGTTGGCCTCCAGCGGCTCCATGTCGGGCTCGTGTCGGGCCGGGCGGGCTCAGCGCATCCCGCTGCCCACGGGAGCCGCCGCGCTGAGCCGGGCCGGGCTGCGCTGCCAGCACCTGCCCCGCCGGCTCCTCCTCCCCTTCCTCCTCCTCCTCCTCCTGCGTCGGTGCAGCGTGCAAGGCACCCCGTGCCAGCCTTGCACCCCTCCGTGCRATCCCCTTTCCCCCCCTATTAAGGCACCCCTGTGCAAGCCCTGCACACTCCCTGTCCCCCCCACCAAGCAAGACCCTACTGGGAAAGCGTCCCCCTCCCACCTCTCATCTGCAGCCCTGCTGCCCGGCCCAGTGTCCCCTGCCTGATCAGGGGCTGAGGAAGGGAGGAATGGGGTAGGGAGGCAGCTGAGCTCAGCAGCCCTTGCACAAAACTGGGACTAGGCTTTCTGGCTCTGCCCGGGTCAAGCTCAGCAGGTGGATGTGGATTTCTCCTCTGTGGTGTTTTTCTTTTCCTCTTTGCATCGGTTGGAGCAGTAGGAAGGAAGGGAATTGTCACACAGCTAGGGGCTGTGTTTCTGTGTATCTGGTGTGTGATCATGGTATTTGAGCCTAGTGTGCGAGGCTGTGGGACACCTGGGCATATGTGAGCAKGCTGTGTATGCAGAAAGGTTGTGGACTTTATGCTGCAGAGAGCAGTGTACAGAAGTTAAGAGTAAACAGGAGAAATCAAGCCCTGAGTCATGTTTGTATTTCAGAAAGCTTCACTTCTTACTAAAAGAGGTTGTTGGTACCCGTACCACAAGTGGCTGCCCATYGTACTCAGAAAACAAACTTCAAGAGGAGTTAGGAAGGATGCAAATTTGTAGATCTCTTTGTGGCAGGGTTAAAAGTTCAAAGTAGTTTTTTTCTCAAGAAAGAAATCAATACTTGGTTCACTATACAACCTCATACATGAGCATACTGCCGCAACAGATGGGGCTGCATGATTGGAAGCAAGGGGTGCCTTGGGCTTTACTTAACCTCTTAGTCTATTCCTTCAGGAAATCAGACTAACATGACCATATTTTAGTATATGTCTTGTCACAGGAATTGCATTAAATAGGCTTAGTAAGGCTGTGTATGGCAGTACAGGGGTTAGAAGCCACATAGGATTGACCTGGAATTGCCTCCTTCACTTAGTCAAAGGCAAATTAAGACTGATAAAAAAGAGCAGTGATGCAGCCAATGTCTTTGTTGTTTGTTTGTCCCCTCATTTCCATGGGAAGTTTGTAATTAGGGGGATTCAGCTCCTAGCTATGACCTCACTGGTTGATACTCGCATTAGAGGTTTCCTTATAAATAATCTCCAACTCATCAGAAAACAGGGAGTCTTCCTAGTGGCTCATCTTTTAACAATGCAGCTCCTCCTGAAATACTGGTTTGCCAGCCAAAAAGCTTGACTGGAATCCAGGGGATAGGGCAAGACAGCTTTGCATGTAAATACCCTCAGCAACATCAAAAGACTTTTCCCTGCCATTTCTTCTCTTCTCTCCCAGTGTAGAAAAATGATGGAAAAATATTGTGTATCAGTTGTCCTAGGTTATAAAAATGGTGGAAGCATCTTGTTAAGAGATGATTGAAGCTGTTGCCCTGGACATCTGCAGAGTACAACTCCCATGGAAGCTTTCTGAACAGGGTTGCAATATTGCTGTAGTTTTATATATTTTGAAGGCTTCAAGGAACAGTTTAGTGCTTCAAAGACAGGACAAATCCTTTCCTTTCTGGCAATGAAACTGGTTAAAGAATTGCCTGGTGTTCAGATGATTGAAGCTCATGGAAAGATGCTATAAGCTTGAAAAAATGGGCTTCAATAACCAGACATGTTTTAATAGAGGCTGTCTCAAGGTGGCCATGTCTGCAGTGGTTGAAGATGTCATTCCATGCTATCCAAGGTCTGATGACAATGCCAACCTGGGAGTTCCCAAGCCCGTCACACCCACCGTGCATTCCCACCCTTGTACCACTGTAGTGGTGCCCCTGCAAGTATGTACAGGTCTTTAGAGCAGAGAAGTGAGCTGGGTTTGCCAGGCTGTAAAACATACCCTAACTCACTTTTGCAGAGCTGTTACTCTGTTTTCTAGAACAATTCAGTGAGGCAGGTCACTGTTGCCCCATGAACCACATCTGTAGACAGGAGAGGAGTGGTGGGCTGCTAAGGGAAGTCAGGTGGATGTTCAGTGGGTACCAGAGGCCCTGAGGCACCACATCAGGAGTAGATGCTTTAAAGCAATGAAAAACAGATGGGAAAGTCACTTGGGGTCTTGTAGGAGGGGGTCACAGAGCCATTCCGCTACACTTTCGAAGTAATAAAACAATCACTAACATACTTCTCTGTGTGTGGGCGCAATGCCTTTAATCTGAGAACATAAATATGTTTAGAAACATGAAGAAAACAATCGTGGGGCTGTATTTTCAATTAGCAGTCCTTTAAGGTTAGCTATCAAAAAGTCAAGACTGTTGGTCCCTGGTACTTGGAATGAATATTGCCTCTGGCTCCAGGTGAGGCCAGTGCAGCCTGTGAGCTCCCAGCACTGCCACAKCATGGCTGTCTATACTGGGGAGTCCATGAGACACCAGTCAAGATTAATTTCCAAAAGCAGTGGAACACACAGGTGGAGGAAAGGACTGAAACTAAGTGACATGCCTAGTATCAGTGTCTGAGTCAGGAAGAGCATCCCACTCTTGCCTCAGACATCCCCTGATGCAGAACCATGTTGAAATCAGCAAACAATCGAGCAACCTTCACCAGTGGCCTCAAAGGCACCCCAGGGACTTAAAGCAAACCAGAAAGATCAACAGAGCTGCCTGCCCATGGTCTAAAGTCCACTTCTACTTTTTTTCATGGAGAACTAGTGCATTTATATTTCTCTTGAGTGAGGAAGCCATTCCCATGAAGAACCCTAGGGAAGATGCTATGAAAGGGAATTTTGGTTATGGCGTTTTTATCAAGAGCTGATGAAGCACAGATATTTCTAATCTTATAGATCCCCATGAGTTGCTTCCCCAATTCCTTCTCCCTAAAGCCATTTTCCCTTCATTTCTTCTTATTGTTTGAGTTCCGTCTAGGAAAGTCCAGCTCCTAGGAGACTATTTTGTCTCTGTCCCCATTGGCAGTCAACAACCACCATAATTCTAAGGATGCTTCTAACAGGAACTGAAGAGTGCTTTCAAATGGAAATGTGCAAAAAACAGCAAGAGAGCCCTGCCATATAAAGGACTGGCAAGGTTGTAGTCATAGAGGAAACCAGAGCCTCAGTTTAACTTTGAGTAAGGTTAGACAATAAATCCCCCACCCTGGCCCTTTTACACTGAAAGAAGTTTTCAAATCTATGCCAAGAGTAGACCTTCTCAAAGTCATCAGTCTCTGATAGGAAACTCCATTGGCTTGTTTGGTTGTAGGCCAGAAGTTTCCCTTTTCTTTCTAGTTTCTGCCAAAGGATTGACATTTTTTTTTTTTTAGCAACAGAATGCAGCCCTTATTCTTCTTAGCTTTTTCCTTTGTGGCAGGTGCAATCAGGGGCTCTCCCCAAGTAATAGTTATCACAGCAATGATAACACCACATGTAAAGTCTGCCCATTTCATGAATGGGCACATTTTTTATTCTGCTTCATCACAAAATTCATCCCACATTTGTTACACACTGTTGTTTGCTGTGTTACGGGACATATCACCATGTATCAGATGCTTTACTCTTACAGAAGCGTTTCTTAATGAAGAAGGAAATGTCTGTTGGCTGAATTTTAGAACAACAGCAAATAATAATACAAAACCAAAATATCATCTTCAGCTGTATAGCAAATATGGATCAAAAATTTAACACCGTAAATCACGAGCGTAAATATACCCCACCATAAATAAAATTCATTGTACAAAATAACTCAAGCAGTTCTTCATACAAATATGATACATTTGACAAGAGTTTCTGAGAATATTTTCTTTTTTGTTTTTTTTTACACTTTCAATTTTTATCTCTTTTGCTCTTAAACACACATGAATCTACTGGACTAGAGTAATGCAGGAGAAAAAGGACTAACATGGTCAATGCTAATAACAAGTGCTGCCAGGGTTAAAAAGAAAAACCATTAAGTGCAGAATTTGAACTAGTTTGCTTCCCTTTCATATCACTCAAAGTCCAGCATAGCAACACCCTTGTGATGTGCACTGCAAATAATCACATWTTGTAATGCTAGGGTGAGAGAAGCCGTTTACAATAACCTAGTCTGATTTCATTTTACAGATCATACTCTTTTTCCCTGTAATTCCTGTATTGAGCCAACATCTTGTCTTTGAAGTAGGCATTCCTAGTGGTAGTTGGTAGATCCCTGGGAGTTTGCAGACTACTTTAGATCAACCAAGAGAATGTGGGTTAAAAAGCAAGCACAGGGTTAGTTGAATAAATTATCTGTACAGTTCATGATTCCTGGGAAAAATATTAGGAGCCTGTGGATTGTAAAAGGCTGAAAACTGTGGAATTAAAAGCCATGGGATTAGAGTATATCTGCATGGAAGACATCCAAACTTGGCAGAAAGTCTGCAAGTGTGGAGAATTTACCATGTACCTTGGCAATCCATGACTATTAAGTGCTACTGTTAAAAATCTGCTCCCTATTTCCACTTATTCTTACATTATAAAAGGATGTGAAGGCTATTTCATTGAGTTCTTTACAGGCCTGAACCTGAATCTCTTTCTCATGTACAATCAAGGAGGATTACAGAATGGAAGCTAAAGACTATTTTAATCCTTTAGATAATAAAAGGACAATAACATCAAATCTCAGAAATGAAGACTGTACGATTATTTCTAGCTGATACCTCCTACTATTTGAGCAACAAGGCAAAACATCTGCATATGCTCTAGAGCCAAAAACAATTTACATCTTGTTCATGCAATTTGGACATTTTGCTCAAAACATTTCATCCTTGGAATCCAAAAGGGTGCATTTTGCCAGCAAATCTGAGGGCAACAGATTTCATCTCTCTGTTCTGTGTAAGTACACCTGTGTTTTTCAGGTTTTCAGAGAATTATTATACCAAAACTACAGTAAAAGAATGCAAAGTGATATCCATGCTTAGGTAGAATATCTCAGGAATCACTCCAAACCTAAGCACATGAGCACAGGTAAGTAAATCTACCTTGCTACATCCTGTTTTGYCTAGGTAGCTGAGACTAGACTCTGTGATACAGTTCATCCTTCAGTATCAAATTCTTGCTCATGCTGGTTCCTGGAAAGGTTCCAACACCCCATAACATGTCAGACATAGTGGGACATTTAATTTGTGCTGTTCCCAGGGGTGGCTCTGTGAGCCAGACAGGGCCTTCTGCCACCTTTTCTGCAACACGTGCATATCAAAATAACAAGCACTTACTATTTAATCAGGTCAGGAAAAATAGGGTCTTAGTAAGATCTATTTTCCTCATATCTTGTTTTCCACAAAAAAATAAAGTGCTCGATTCTCCTCTTCCTTTAAAAATATATACATCTGAAATCCTCTGACTCCAGTAGTTTCAGCAGTGTGGAAGTGTTGGAAAACCAGAACTGACATTCTTGGTGGAAGAGTAAAGGCAGGTCAGAGCCTCTCAGTGTGACTGGGTCTGAATGCTCTTCTGCTGCTCAACCTCTTCACAAGCGGGAGATGATCTCACTTTCCCAGGCTTGGTCCTTCTCCTGCCCTTCAAAGATTTCAGCCAGGCTTCCTGAGATTTCATTTTACTTTCAGATAATTGTGCCACAGAATTTTCTCCCTGCAATTTAAATGTCCTTCTCAGCAGCTAAAGGAAACTCAAGGTATAAAATGTCCAGCACATTTCATGTGTGGGATATACTGAGCATCCAGGAAACAGGTATAACTGTGATCTCCCCAAACTTATTTCACACAGCATGATTTCCTCTTCTTAATAAAAACGTGCAGACTGCTGTTTCCCAAGACCAAATATGCCAGTTGGGACATTCCACTAGTTATGTGTTTTTCTCCAAGAGAATAAATGCTCAGGCTCTGCCTTTTTTGCATCTGTAATAGCATACAGTTCACAAGGCACGATGAAATGAATGAAAGGTGTGTGTGTATATATATCACTTCTGTATACAAAACAGCAATTACCTGCTGTGACCTGATTAAATTACAGAGGTTAAAACTTCTTATGGTAGTAAGGCTGGCATTTTCTCCTGCTGTACATGGTTTGGTCTCCTTTAACTTCAAGCACRAACTTTTCTATCACTTCAACTACGTTACTGTGGCAAAGCAGGGAAGATGGTGAATAGGAAAAGCCTTCTGGAAGTTTCCATTGAATTTGTTTTCAATAGCTGAGGGTGTTAGATGAGCTGCACTGCAGAAGAAAACAGACCACGATGTTCCCTCAGAATACCTCTGAGTCTGGAAAATTCTGTGTTTTTAATGCTTTATTCTATTCTAAAATATCATTTCCGAGTTAGCTGGAATTTACTACATCCTGCTGAAATTCACTTTACTACAATTTAGTATATCCATGCTGGAATTCACCATTTTTTGAAGGTCATTGAAGGTTGTTGTGCTGCTAGGACAAGGGAAAAGGACATCCCCGCTCTCATTCTTGTCTAGAGGTTGAGGATCACCTATGTTCCAGCTGCCTCCTGTCAGAATCGGTGATTATTCTCCCCTTATCAAATTAAAATACTCAAGAGCATATTGAGGTGAATGTGGACTCTTCYGCATGCTTTAAGACATCTTGTTTACTCCATGGAAGATAAAACTTGAGGGAAGATTCCTCTGAATTAAAATAGGTGAATATCGCTTGGCAAAGCAAAAGCCATGACATCTCTGCTTTCCCCAGCTCTTGCAACACTGAGGAGTTATTTGGCAACTAGGTCATTGCTGTTCTGAAACCCTTGTGTCAAAACTCCCTTTAAAAGATGCCGAAAAGGCAGGTGACTTGTCAGGAGGTACAAAGCTGGCCTCAACCATAGGTCGTGCAGGAATTTAAGACAAGACCAGAAGGGCTTTCCATCTTTGCTTAGATGGCTTCGTCCTCAGGGTGCTGCCACAGCTCAAATTGTGCCTTCCTGCTCCTTTTCCCCCAAAGAGTAAGTCAGGGTGTGCCTTCAAACCCTGCTGTTCCGTGGCTTGTGGCATCTATCACAGGGGCATCCMTTTGCCCCATTCCTTCTGTGGTGGGAGAAGGCTTCTAGGAAACAAGCAGTTCTGACTGGAACCCCACACCTAGGACTGTAACATGGCTGCGGAGTCATGTGTTCAACTGGATGAATCGCAGGGGAAAAACAGACAACTTCATAGAAGAAAAGCATATTTTGCCCGCCCACCCCTCCCCATTTTTAAAGCTACAAGTAAAACCAATCACAGGGATGTTACAAAAGAACATGCAGTCAGACAGGGCCAGATAGGAAGATGTGTCCTCTTGTGTACTAGGTATACCTAGTCTTATTTTGTCGCCAGATCCCACACCGTCAAGTTGACTCCTCACAGTCATTCTGGGTTCAGTCTCTTCTCGTTTCTCAGCCTGAAAGGGGTAGTGTTCCACACTAGCAAGTGGTGGCCAGGGACTGGTGGATTGGAGGCTGGAAGCAACGGACGTGCTCCACGGTGGAACTGTCAGTTTCCACTGACTTCATGTACTTGTTGAGGATGGCAAAGATCTCGTTGTTCAAGATCTGATACTTCCTGATCCTGTCAGCCATCTTCTTCAAGGGCTGGAGGGATGGTGAGGGAGAACAGAAGCAGATGAAGAGAGAGAATCTTATGACATTTGACCAGACAGTATCAGTACCTCTGCCTGACTGCTAGGAAACTTCTGCTGAAGTGGAGCAGCTATACCACGCATTACCCATCCACTTAGCACTTCCCAGGCACTGGTGACTCACTTCATTTTAGGGTTTGATGACTCAAGGCTCCAGAATATTAACAAGGTCAGTGTGTGGTCTTTTGTAACCCATATACAGTCTAGACTTAGTAGACTTCCAACTGCTTATTGACAAAGCCACTGAGATTACAGGATGGTTAGTAGAAATACCGGCTTCTCTGACCTAGCTTCCCAACCCCAGGAAAAAGGGAAAAGCTTCGGGACAAAACAACATTCAATTGCTGAGGCAATTAAAACCTTGGCCCCTCTGCTGAGATTGCAGATGGAAATTGCATAGTAAGTGTATCCAGTCTGAATAAGTTAACACCAGATATAATCACGATTTATAAGTCTGGGCAAGRGTAAGACAGAAAAATACAGAGAGAGGTGTGCTGGTTCAGGTCCTTTGAGATCTTATTCTTCACTTACCACATTTTTTATGATTTCATCCTTCCCATCCTGCCTTTGTACCTTCAGCAGGTGGTAGCAGAAGTCAAAGAGGTCAAAGCGACGTTGCTGTCCAAGGAGAACAATGATAGAGCAACCTGCCCAATTCAGACCATCTCCAAAGCACTGCCTGGAATGGGGACAGGGTGATGGGAAGGAGAGAAAATGACAGGATGTAGTTAGGTAAGAGTTGTCCTACTGTGATGCTGGTAACTTTCCTTGGCAAATTCCTTGGGATATCTGATTCAGTCCTACTCCAGGAAAGTGTATACCTGACAGAAATTGAACTTAAAAGGAGATGCACAGAATTACAGCAGGGTCAAGCTGCTGGTGCAGTCACAGGATATGACAGTTGAGGAATTGGCCTGTGGGTTCGGTTGAAGTCCCATCCAYCAGCTTCCTTCCTGAATTTGACCTTGGGTATGTCACTTTACATTGCTATTTTTGCCTTTTCTYAGCGTGCCTGGATGAAAAGCTCTTTGTACATCTCTTTAGGTGCATGCACAACAAAGTTCTTTGCTCAAATACCTAGAAATTAACATGATATAAATAACAGAAATGATGGATGGGGGAAGAGTGGAAACAATACATCGCATCACTAAACCACTTTCCCACAAAATGCTGGCTAAGAAACAGACTCTGTCTTAGCTCCAAAGAAATGAGGGGAAACCAGGAGAGCTGCATGCAAGCCAGGAATATTCTAAAGAGCAACTCATTGCATGTTTGACCATGCTTTTCTTTCGCTTCTCCAGTAGCTGAGGCTATGGCAGAGRACAATCCTGGGGGCTTGCTAGCTTACACTAGCTCATATCTGCACTAATGGCAGAGCTGGCTGAGGAACACTCACTCTGCAGTGAACTCGTTCGTGCCCACGGGGATGCAATACACAAACTGCATGGCACTCCAGAGACGGTGAAACTCCACGCACTCGTCCACGTGCATGACCCCGTTTGTAGGGGGTGGCCCACGCCAGATTGGGTCCTGCAGGTAGCTCCTAATGCGCGTCAGGATGACCTCGAACATGGACAACCCACAGCACAACCGCTCCTTGGTCAGCAAGTCACCCTCCCGGGCAATGGCTATTTGCTGAGAATGAGGAAAAYCAAAGAAACAGAAGTGACAATGTGATACAGATGTACTCTCTTGTTGGACTYAGCTTTTCCCAGTCTCTCCCAGCTCTTTCAAAGTTAATGGCATATTCCATGCAAGGTCCAACCTTACCTCTGACGGTTGTTCCCATGGTACTCCCCACTACAGAATACTTATCCCTCAAATGAAAGAAGACGTAATATTGTGCTCAATTATGTGTCATCAATCTAACAATCTTTTGAAACAATTGTATATGTCAGAAAACAATAGCTAAAGGCGTACCTCTAATCAGAAATATTGATCCTTAGTTCTGCAAGCATGCTGTTTTGTTATATTAGCATTATTCAGCAGTGCTGAGTTTAATGTCCTTTTTTGTGCAGATTATAAAAACAAACTAGGAGAGAACAGGGACATTTTGCTACCCAGGGCATTACCATCATCTCTTTAAAAGACAGGCAAGTTGCAGCTTTCTTGATTTCTTTTCGAGTTAAGATTCAAAAGCTCTGAGGAAGATGTGAAGCCACCAGAACCTTAATACTGGAAAACCTGTGGTTTATAAGAAAGTCAAATAATATTTTTCCAGATGTGGAAGGTGCATATGGGGAGATATGTGGAGAATTTTTCTACCATCCCCATTTAGATACACAGTCTGGAAGAGCTCCATTAGAATCATGATGGAGTACATTTGACTTTTAGGAGGAAAGTGAAAAGATACCTTGACTTCATTTCATCCCCATCACTCCCCAAAGGAAAATAAGAGTATTTTTAACAGATAAGTAGGGTCTTCCCCCCAGCAAGGGAGCACTGATCCTCCTTAGCTAACTGCCCACATGCCTTGAGCTCTGTGAGGGTGGACATGTGCAGTTYAGTTGCCCTAGTGTTCTTCGAACTACCCTCTTTCTTGCCATTTCCAGCTGCATTATTGACTTATCCTTGTAGTGTTGCCAAAAATGATACAGAATATGAAAGCCAAGTGCTGTTAGTGTTATGCACCCAGCTGTGCAGGTAGGAGACTCTGGCTCTCCTGTCCTCCCCTCTGTCAGACGACTGACGGCCAAGGCTAAGAAATGTGTTTCCAAGCAGTTGTTTTGTTTCCAGCTATCCTCATTATGCCTATAAACACCCTGACGAAAAACATGAAGGAAGGTCAGATTTTCTGATACAATGGGCAGGCACGTATCCTGGCTGGCCTTTAAGAACATGAATTTTGATCAGTTTAGTAGGGTTTTGTTCACACTAAAAAAAATATATATATATATATATATATATAAACGTGTATGTGCACTCCCTTTTGTGACTGTTGTGTAAAGCTGGCAGCAACCTAAAGCACTTCTGCTTGGTAATTCTTGAAATTAAACATAATACAATTCCTACCTGGAAATTAAATTGGAATCAAAAATATTGCAATTAGAAATTAGAATTTAAAAAAAAAAAAGACAATTCCAAGGACATTTGAGGAATCTCAGAGCGATTAATGTTCAACTAATAGCAAACAGAAAAGGAAAGCTGAATTGCTGTACAGAAGTCAGATTGTATCTGGGACCTTTATTAACCTAGATTTGTTAAACTCAAGAGTGATATCAGTTTCACATGACCATTTCACAGTGCCAAGCCTTAACATAGTGGATGGTCTGGCTTTTGCAGGCTTACAGAGGAACATTAAATTCCATCTGCGGTACATTTATAGCWGACTAGTTTGGAAACTAGTTTGTGGAAAGTCAAGGCAAAATAAGTTAAGATATCATATTGTGGACAGAAAATCATCACATGTTTCTGTATGTTTAGCAACAAAAGATTTATGGAGTATGTTTTTTATTGATAGTGGCTGCACGCTTGCTTTTTCCTCACCTGCTCCAAAGTCTTACGGTTATAGATGAGTATCTATGCACACTATTCTACGATGATAAAAGCRGGACACAGTCAAAGTGTAACCATTTCACATAAGAAAAAAAGTATTAGCATTACTGTCTGCTAAAATATACTGAACGGGTATTTTCAAGAACAACTTAGTCCAAKCATTTTAAGTTGCTTCTGAAGAAATTTTCATCTCAAGGGACACACTTGGCTTTCAAAGAACATGTTGCCAGTCCTTTATGCATGCTCTCAGACAGAATTTGTTTCTAAAGTTCAGACTAAAACCAATCTGTGATATAGGATAAGCACTGCTGGTAGCTATCTAAAAGTGGTCTAGGCTCTTATTCTCAAGATGAGACCTGTTCCAAGAGTCCAGGGTTGCCCTGACAGTGCCTCCCTGTGGAAGGAGCACTTTTGTTTYGCGTGTGCAATGCTGATTTCCAAGGTCGGCTGAGGAAGGGTCCTATCCTGACAGACCATCAAAGATCTATCAAAGGATGCCGCATTGCTGGCTCCTCTCTGCCTTCAACAGAAGGGCTCCCGATCTCTGCATTGAAAAAAATTAGAAGGACCAAGCACTTCTGAAAACCCTCTGCTAAATATCCTTACTCATCCTCAAAAGGAAGAAGATTTACACCATGAAACACTTTGACCCCCTGATTTTTCATGAATCAYCTATCAGGCATCATGCATCTGGACACTTCCAGTGCAAACGAATTACTTAGAACACGAAACATAATTACTGACAGTTTTGCTACTGTTGCACAACCTCAGTTATGCTGCTACCACTTTTATTAATTGACAAACTTGCAAGAACCATAGGCAAAGCCTGCCAAGACCAGTGGAAAGATCCCCCTTGCCTTCAGCAGGCTCTGGCAGCATATTGATTATTATGTGAAGAATAGTGTCACCTTTTGGGAAAGGCACCTAGAAGCCAACTTCTGCTAGAACTTTGGACAATTGCGAAAAGGTGCTCATGTGTTCTGCAGGAAAAAACAAATGCCTGTGTCCAAAACTGCATTTCCAGGAGCAAGCTAGAAGCTATGGAGGCACCTATAAAAAGTGACTGCTGTGTCATTTACATTTGAGATCAAAAAAGATCTGGAATTCAACTTTATGCAACCAATTGCAAACAGTTTTACAGAAATGTTAATTGTTTAGTTGTCTATGAAATACCCTCTGTTTTTGTCATTATCCTAACTATGGCAGGGATAAGCAACGAGTGGACTTCAATAGCATATTTCAATGATGATTTTGCATGGAAAGCAGGAGAGAGAGAGAGAGAGAGAGAGAGACCAACACAAAGACACAGAAACACAGGTGAATTCTTTTTTCTCAAGTGTATCCTTCAAAGGGAAGCCAATGGGAAGCGAGAGACATGTCTATGAAATAAGACAGAGCCCTCAGTTAAATAGCAAGTTTCTTTGTTTCATATGATTTCCAATGAAGCAAAGTTCAAAATGTCCTTGATCCATTAGAAAAATAAGAAAACATTAATATCTTTCTGCCTGTCATAGATCTGTCTGATTTTTCCATTCTGCCTACAGTAAATTACATAAAAAGTGTATTTTAGTATCATTTAGTATTTTGATTTTTTTCTTTTTTGTTCCACGGCACTAAATAGGCAGTGGAAGCTTGGCTATTGATAGCAATGCAGCTAGAAATTTGCCTCTTGTATTAAGTGATTCTGCTGGGATATTTTTAACAGCACTCAGTTTCTGCACAAAATAGATCTTTCTCAAGCTGAGTTCCCATGTCAAGAAAGCACTTAAATGGAGCTGTATTTTTAAGCGTGTGCTGAAGCTGTAAGCATATGCTAGCAGGGAAACCATTCTCAGGTGTATTCCTTGACAGGGATAGACTTAAAAATGTACCACAACACGCAGYCCTAAATTGGGATCCACAAAAGTAACGGCAATTGCTTAAGTCTGAGAGCCCTCTAATGACCTTCACACCACCCCAGGATTATCCATCTTTTTACAATGAAGATGAAAGAGGTTTTCAAAGCTGCTCATGTTCAGAGCAGCCTCTAGCCCACATATCTTACAGCTCGCTTGCTAGCTCTCCAGACCAGAGGCAGTAACACACCATCCCTAGACCCCACTCATACATTTCCCTTCAAGATGTCAGTGTCCGCCGGGTCAAGGATTTGGATTTTCTTGCCTGCTGACATTTTCAGTGGAAATAGGATCACTCTCCCAAGGCCAAAGAGGCCATCTGGGGACTGTTACGAGTCTTCAACGGCTATCCCTTTCAATGAGATCCTTACCTGCGGAGTGCCCAGCCTCTCTATTAAGGGAACCAGGTGGAGTGGGGCATACTTGGCTTCGAGACGCTTCATGCGCACCTCCAAGCGTTCTCCTTCTGTCAAGCGAGCAGCAAACAGTGAAATGAGAGAAGGAAGTGGAAACCCGCAATTTCCGCCGAGTTTGCTCAGAGCTGCCCCCCAGCAACCATCCAATGAGACTCTGGATCAGTGAGCCAAACCAACAGCAAATGAGGGAACCAGAGATGCAGAGAAAGGAGGGATGTGCGATCGCAGTCTCAGCAGTAGCTTAATCACACGTGTCCAAAAGCATGTCCCTATTACTCATCGCTCCTGTAGAGATGGACATTTCATGGTGTCATTCTCCAAAGAGGCTGTGAAATGACTTTAAAAACTGAAGGGAACCCCAAAACTCTCTAAGATTTCAAACTATAACTAGGTTATAGAAAATGCATGGTTGGCACATGTTTCCACCTGACTATTTACTATATCCACGTTTCTATTTTGAGAAGGAAAGCAGGGCCAGAACTGATCCTCAGCAGGAATGGGAGAGAAATGGCTTCTTGACAGAGACCTCTGAGTCTGCCCACTGCTTCCTTCTCAGCTTCTTACCTTTGATGTAGACCCTGGGCAAAATATTTTGGAAAGGAGCAGCATGCAGCAAATCACAAACTTCTTCCTGGGACTGAGGCAGGAAGAAAGAAAGATAAAGTAAGTTAAAAATGCCTACAGGGATTGACTTGTATGGTTCAGTGGCCTGGGCAACAATACAATGACCCATTCAAATCCAACCCAGTTCAGTAGTAACTCAAATGGTTYGAACCTAAATGAACTAAAGCTGAAACAACTCTGAACTTAGGCCAGGGAGTTTGCCATAACTCTATTTTGCTTCCTGCTTGGAAGCCAGAGCTTTATGCATTTTTTTTTCCGGTCCATTCACTAACACTGCAAGAAAGATTAAAGAAAGTGGCAATTACAATTTTATCCTACCCTRTTTTTTCAGAGAGAGCCCAGGTGGAAATTAGTCTCTAGTTTCATTATTCTAGGATCTTTCTGTGTCAAATATACCAGGGGATGGTTGTATTACCACTAAAAATATAAGTTGGCCTAAACTTATTGSTTCTTCATATAGTAGTCACAGCCAGTGCCATCAGAGCATACTCCCAGTGCTGTAAGCACTAGGGAGAATAATACAGAAGTCCAGAGAGCAATAACATCATGAGATGTCACCTGAAAGTATGCATGCTAATGCACTACAGAAAAAATAATCCCAAACACAGATGCACAAGGAAGAGAAACCTAGAAATAGGAATGTGGAGACTGCGCAGCGATGGCTGACAATACATCATATACAAGTCTGCAATGGGAAACAGCAGCAAGGAAAACCAAAGCTTTTCAACACAGAGGCATTGCATCACAACAAGGCATTAGTTTGCTCCTACAAAACTCTAGTTCTAGGTCATGCTTTTAATTCTGAGCTTACCATAAAGACTTAGACATACTTGAGAGGAGGTTATGATAGAGCAGCAAAGGATATTTGGGCATCAGATGGAATGACTTGGTTGGGTCTGTTTGGGATGCACTGGTGGACACCTCATCTTCCAGCCAAGAGGTGGTGAACAGAACATAGCATGGAATTGCAGGAGGCTGTGTTGGAGCCATGGATGTTGGCATGTGAGTGAGTTTGCAGGAGTGCAGTTTGTGACACAGTGTTGGAGGGAAAGGAACAGCCCTGGGTCCCTCCTTGAGCAGGTAGATGCTGCTCTACCAGAGCAGGCCCATTCTCTTTTAAACTTTGTTTGCAAAATGTTCTTCTTTTCTAGATGAAAACCTTTTTCACTGCTACTTCCTTGTGATAAGTGAGCTTTTTTTTTTCATTAGTAGCCTGTATTCCCCCATTATTTGCTCGAAAATCAGTCATGCCATTAGTAGATTTCCTTCTCAAGGACCATAATCTGAGAGTAAAAACTATCCCAGAAATTTAATCAAAAGCAACTCTTCATCCCTGAAATTTAAATAGTCAAAGAGTAGAAGGGAACATACCACTAGCCTTCACTATCACATTTTCTGTCAGCAAATACCACCAGCCTTAGATTAAACTGACAGCTAGGATGATAACTGCCTCATAAAAGCAATTTCTTTCACTGCATAAGAGCTCCATTAAAGAGAAAATCTTGTTACATGATGGCTCTGTGCATCTGACAGTCTTCCTTAAGCGAGAACCTGCGACTGCTGAGTACAAAACTACTTTTGTATTCTAAACTGATTTCTCTGTGGAAGAGCTAGGGATCAGAGAGCAGAAAGCTTTGGTTGGCATGGAAAGCAGACACACAGGGACTTGGATGCATAGTCTTCCTAGAAGGTTTCCCAAACTCTGTCTTTGTTTCTTTCTGCTATTCTAAACTATTATTATACTGTTGATGTACAGCTGCTAGGACAGAAGCCCTTAAATGAAGCAGTACTAAAAAGAAATGACCTTGTCTTCTTTAAGTACCCATTTAAAAGATGGGACAGAAAAGCTAACTGCAGTACATCCAGCATTATATCCAGCACTGACAGCAGCTGAGAGCATTAAAAGACACAAAAGGAGCACAAACTGCCAGGATGTAGTTTGCCACTCCAGTGGTTTTCTAAAATACATCCGAGCCACTAAGTAATATACATCTCTCCAGGTCTTTTAATCTTACAGCAGTTATTGCTTACTGAAGGTGACTGATGCACCACACTAGCAACTGAAAGGCTCTGTCTATCTGTAGGTAAAATGAAACAGGATGGGCAGAGATATCCATTTTGATGAAATTCAGAGATTTTTCAGTTTTTCCTGTGGTCTATGCTTGGTTAAACTGAGAGCTTTTGAACTATCTTCTGGTTTTACTCTGAGTGAAACTTCCTGGTCTTACTCAGAAATCCCACCCTACACTCAAACAGATTTTCTGGAGAAAAAAAATCAGGAAAAACTGAAACAACTCTTCTCCTTAGTTGGGAAGCTGAGTTGAGTAGTCTTCTCCTTGAGCAGCCAGTGTCAAGTTATACATTCTGGCAAGGTCTTTGGTGAAGACAAGAAACATGATAGGATCAGCTGTTCTTCTGAAACATCTTCTCTTTTAAATTGCTTTCTGGTTATGACCATTGTAACCAATGAGTTATTCTCATTGCACTGGCATTCCAAACACTAATCAGAGATTAGGACTTGAATGTAATTCTCACTCTGTCAGGTATATTAAAATAAAACACTATGATCCCTGCCCCAAAGAGCTTACAGTCTAGAAATAAGCTCCAGATGATTTTATTTCCGAGAAGATAGCTTTGGGTCCAAGATTTAAATCTAGATCTTCCAGTATTCAGATTCTCCTGCAGCAATCCCAGATGTCAGTGACTCAGTGCCAATGCACATCTTCCCCATGGATGTGAGTGGTCCCCAGTAATAACACAGCCCCACAAAGACCCAGAGAACACAAAAAGACGAAAAGTAACATTTTCAAACTCTTCTGCTTGTGAACCCATTGCTATTTATATTCTTCAGCTTGCAATTTCAAGAATGATCTGTTGATTGAGGGAGTTTCACCTTACCAAAGCCTGCTCAATAAGGAGGCAGAAGAGGATGGCATTGCCCACTTCCCTAAGGCTCTGGAACACATCAGTCTTCAACTCTGCGTACTCAATGATGTCCTTCAGCTGATGATGGAAAAACTCCAGGATTCCTTAAAAGACAAGGAAGGGCAGTCAGAGAAGGGAGAGCAAAGTCGCTCTCCAATGACKTGGATAAAAAGACAAGGAATGTCTCCTGCTTCCCTGATCATGAACTTTATCCTGTGACTGCTAAGTGGCTAGATGGAGGTTGCTGCTAGAAAGAACTATCACACAGTGTCTTATCCTGCTTTCACTAATCCTTGGGGAATTAGGAGTATTTCATATGAAGTCACTGGATTTCCCAATTGGAGGAAAAAACATTCAAGGCTGTAAAGGATGCCTTTGTGCTGGCTCACGTACATCCACCACAATCTCCCTATTCCACTCAACTGCAGATTGTAGTTGTCCTGAAAAAAAAAATCTTTGCATCAGCTATATTGAAGCTTTTGAAAGATGGCAATGAACTCATGAAACAAAAGCTTGCAAAAATCTTGAAAATAAAGCATAAGCTATCAAAAGATATTCCCTTTATCAGTCATCTCCATGTTCAAAGAGAAATTTCCTATATGTTTCATTGTAAGTAGCAAAAGACCCGAAAGAAGCACTCAGCACCATGATTAGACTGTAAAGGCACTAAGATTCAGTAATTAAAACTAGGATTTTGCTCCTGTTTCTATTTTTCTGCAAGAAGGCTTTTCCTGAAAAGTTATCGGAAAGCCTAAAGGAGCTTCAAGTTTCCTTAAAAATTTCCTTAAAAACACTGCAAGTTTCCCTYATATGCAATTCATTAGAAATTTCACAATGTTTTGTATTTTGTTCTGTTTCAGAGATTCAAATCTCTCAGTTCTCTATCCTACTGCGTTGTGCCAGCTTTTAATCTTACCCTGCCTGGGTTGGATGCTGCAGCAGCATTTAAGGTGCTAATCTTTGTCTAATTAATATTACGTGCCCAAGTAAATGTTGCACAAACATGTGGGAGAGAGCTCTTGCTGAAATCATTATGCATCTATCTCTAGCACCCACCTGGAGAACCATATTCATGTCTTGGCAAGCGGCATATCTTGGGCATTACTTCAATCAATGTTTTCACGTATTGTAGGATCGTGCCTTGTAACTATCAGAGAGAAAAGGAGGTTAAAATGGAATGAGAGTTTCTCCTGACATTGGTTTTAAAAGCAAGTAGTTTGTGGACAGGACAGGAATGAGTTCAGGAAGAATTTACTTTGGCTTTCATCCAAACATAACTTTCAGTCTAAGTGCATGGAGCTACAGGAGCTACAGCTTCCTCCTGAAAGATAAGTAAGCCACCATCCCACTCCTTATCACCAAGAAATATCAGACCATTAATACAAGGGCTTCAGTACAGATTAAGGTACACAAAAAATACTCCGAATTTGGACACTCTGAACTAAGATCCAAAGCTCAGGATGACTGCCCAACCAAGACCTCTCAAAGCACTGAGGTTTCCTCATCACCAAAATTACCAGGCTCTTGACGATCTTCAACAGCTCTTCCATGACCACTGCAATCCCTTGATAGCCAAGAAGTCTGCAGATTGTCTTGAAATGAGGTGGTCCAACAAAGTTGCGGTAGGAGCTATAGATGTGACTGTAGGCAATATTGAGAGGCTGAGAAATCAGAAGCACAGTGACAATTAGATAGGAGCATTTATGGGGCTGTAACTAATTTTCTTATCACAGTACTATGTTCTGTCATTTCAAGTGGCTTTTAAGGAAGACAAGGAGAGATAATAATTCCCATGACAAATACCTTACAGTGGCAAACAGGAGATTTCTTTGCCTCCTACTTACTCAAAGATATTCCAGTCTCAACAGATTGTCATGTCATATGGTTTATTATTCCAATTTCTAACCAACACTACTTTTCATTTCAAAGGTAATTTACTCTCCCATACATTCCCCAKTAAAGATTTCAGTTCAATAGGCCTTTACCTTTTCAAATCTCAATTCTTCTCTTCTAAAACTAAAAGCTTTACATACAAGCAACAGGAGAGAGGCTTTCTATTGGTATTTATTTCAAACAAGGAGTATTAAGGTAAGTAGGAACTACAGCATCTGGACCTAAGAGCAGTTGGAAGGGACAGAAAACATCCTTGTGTCCTGTAAAGTCTTCTGTCAGTTTAACTGCATARATATCCATGTGTGACTGCAAAAAATGAGAGAATATGATCCTGGCCCATGAAGAATAGGCCCTAGATGACTTTCTATTTAGAGGATAAAAGAGAATATCATTTCCAAGGATGCACTCTACCAGTACCATCTCGGAAATGGGTAAATTGCTGCAATATTTTGTCACTAGAAGATTTATTGGATCCATTTGGTAGAAGGAAAAGAGAAGTAGGGAGAGTTATTTGACTTGTGTGATCTGTGAAAGACCACACATCCCTTTTGATTGTGACACTGCTTGCTTAGCCCTGGCTCTGGAATAGAAATGTTCACATCATGACTCAGACCAGGCAGAGAAAGGCTGTATTTCCCCCCACACACACAACTTTAATTTGCAGCTTCAAAAAACATTATCAAGTATATTCTTGAAAAGACTTTGGCACATAGTGCCCCTTTCAGCAAGAGGCAGATAAATCCCTTGGCTCATGTTTACTGAAAGATCTTTTCTAAACAAGGATAAGAAAACATATTGCCTTGCATCCCAAAGGCACTGCGTAACACTTGTGACCCAGCCAGCAAAGTCTGAGTGCTTTCTCTGCCCTCTAATCCTGACCCACTTCTTCACGATTTACTCTAACGTTTTGTGTGCTTAACAACCTACCAAGCAAAGTCATTTGATGAGAAGCAGGAAAATACTTTCTTATGTTCTCAGATATGGAGATGTACTGACTTTTGTACCAACTGTGCCTTTAAGACAACTACTTTAATCAATTAATTAATTGCCCTCATTTTGTTACAGCCTCATTGCTCTGTTCCAACAGTTCATTACCTACCATAATTCATATGCATTTTTTGATAGAGCTAGTAGAATGAAAATAAGAACTTGGAAAGCCCCTACTTTTTTTCTTTCTTAAATATAATTTTAGTACCTGGTCCTGGTAGATGAAAAAAGCCTGCAATACTATTATGCACAGAAAAACTACTTTGAAGGCTCTGTGGTTTACTCATTAACAACATACATGAACTTTCTGTCCCATCAGAGCTAGATAATAGGGCCTGATGAAAGTAAGGGCAGGAGTTTAAAAATATTTAGGCGGATTGACACCTACGAGGCACTTTCATATGCTCTTTGGACACCAACTCCATTTAAGATAATTGCTTTTGAATATTGCACTTAGTTTCTATTTGCATCTTTAGACATCCAGGTCTTCTGAAAAGTTTGTCTATTGGAGGCTAATCCAAAGCCACAAGACACACATGCTGACATGAGCGGAAAAGCAATAATTTATGTTGTCAAAAGTGCATCTATTTAAACACCAGGTGACACCCAGCCGCTAATTATTGCCCAACTGCTCTGATAYAATCAGCCCAGATCCAAGCCAACAAACCATCATGGCCCTAAGAGCTGTGTTACAGCAGTGTTGCATTRCTGCAGTGTTTGCAGGATGTCAACGCGGAGCCCACGGAACTCGTGTTTCTGCACGGATGATCAAGGCAAACACCAGGAAGCATGTTGCTTCCATGCCTCTCCATGGATTCCTTGGCACATGCAGGCATCATGTTCCAGTTCCCTCGTAGATACTGCAGTTTCACTGCAGGTAACACACTGGGGGTTCACGTTCCCTTTTTGTAGGGCCCACAAATGCATCCTCTCTTATGGAAACCTCCTTCCCCTCCATACTCCATGGCAAGGAGATCATTCTTGCACATGCACTGCTCCCCAAAGATGCAACATCACCACTACCCAGGCAAGGAGCAATCGGTCAGGCTTCCCCCATGACATGGGTGGGTAACCTCCCGTTTCACCACTGCTCATGGCCCTCACACGTGTGSGATGGGAGAGCCAGAGAGCAGAGCTGAAGTTGACTCTTCTCAGCATGAGGGTCCCAGCGATTAGGCTGAGGAGCAGGGGCGCGTTTTAGGACGTGCATGGGCTGCAGACAAGCAGGATGATTCATCCTCGCCTGTCTGCAAGATGAGGTAGGCTCCATGAAGCTCTCTCCGCAGAGCTCCGGAGCGCCTTAACAACAGGCGTGCAGATAATAATAATAATGCTCTGTTTGTGAGCAATTAAAATATAGCTCCATTTAAGGGWGAGATATACAGCTTGGGATAAAGACTGTAGGATGTAAAAGTGACGCCAGCGTGTATTTTARGACCAAACAGCTGAACACGCAGGCGGGCTCTACCGCACTGCTCACTCGCCCAGCCCAACGGCCGCCTCGGAGAGGTGGGACCAGGTGCCAGGAGCAGTAGGACCAGCCTGCACCCCTCACCAGGCAGCAAAACCTCCGTCGTGGCCGCCTCCCTCAGGCATTTTGCTATTCTGAGGAGCAGCAGTTGTCAAAGGCACCGCTGAGGTTTGCCCCACCTTTGGTTTGGGGCCAAACCGGCAGGGTTTGGGGCTGGGAGGCTGGGAGTGCAGACAGGTTGGGATCTGCAGCGCCAGGCAAAGCTCCCAGTGCACCACAGAGCAAAGGGAAAGGCAGCAAGTGCCTGCCCTGTGCCAAGCTCTCTGGGAGATCCTAGATCCCAGCATTTTAATGTTTGGAAGAATACTAGGAATGGCCCTGCTGTGCTTTAGGAAGTAGTAAGACTTTCTGGGACAGTCAGCAACAAATGCAATAAAAGAGAAAAGTAGTTGGTATTTCCAAGCCATTACTGGCTGTTTGAGCCCAAACTGACGCACCTAAGGATCTCACTTGAGCTCACCTAAGGATGAGCCAYGGACAGGTAATGCTGCCAGTGCCAATCCCCTCCTCAAGAAACAAGAACTAAGGAGGAATACACTTGGAGACACAAACAAAGGACTTAAACACAGTCAGAGACCAGACCAGAGTCCCAGGGAAACCTACGAACAGAGATTGTGTGAAAAAGTGAAAAACAGTTCTAACCCTACAGAGGAAGGCTCTAAGCCAAAATTATGGCAAACAGCCCAAATACCRCCTGCTCCCTTCCCCTAAAGCCAGCAGCTAGATCCCTCCCTATAAGGCTCTCGCCATGCTGAGCTGCATGATCCTGCTGTTCAAACCATCACACTAGGAAAACCCGTGTCCCCTCACTGATATAACCCTGGACCTGGGCAATACAGAAGGCACATTTTTATACTGCCTTGCTGTACTGGCTGCAGATATTCCAGGGTCAGAGCTTTGTAAAACTGCCTTTTTGCACAGCACTTTTTCTAACAGCAGTGGCAAAGCTCCCTGCGTAGTTCAGACAGTAATTTAAGGTGACTCCACTGCTGGCCTGGCAGTGCTGGTGGGCGAGGAGCGGTTTGCACCCTGTGACAGCCGCTACCAGCACCAGCCTGCTTGATTACAGCACCTGCAAGCCTACAATCCTCCRTCCCCCAGGTTACATCCACCTCGTCCTTAAAAACAAGTGGGCAGATTTACCCATGTGAGCAAATTAGTGATCTCCAACAAGCCTTGAGCCAGACACCTCCAAGAGAAATAAGAACAGGCATGAAAATATGTAGACCAAGCTCAACCTAGCATGTTTTCAGAGCTAAGAAGTGGTTAACAAGCAGAAAGCAGTGGGTTGCTGGTAATTTTACAGCTGCTCCGTAGGAGACTTGGCAACCTGCTGTGTTTTTTAAGCGSCTGAAAGGCAGAAAATGGCTGTTTCTGCTGGGCACTCTCAAGGAAACGTGTGGTTTCCACCCCGGTGCAGTGCTAAAGGGGTGAGCAGGCCCAGGCAGGCTCAATGTGGCCACGCTGGCTCTGCKCGCAGAGCAGCAGCACTGCCAGAGCAGTCCGGAGCTGCCCTGGTTTCAGCATGAGGGCAAGCAGAGGGCCTAGCCTGGGATAGGAGAATTTCACGCCTAGCCCCAGTGTGGACTGGTTTCTTGTCAAGCTGAATGGACACCATTTGAAGCRTCAGATGGAGGTCATGACAAGGGGGACATTTTCTGAACTTTAACACGTGTCTTTACACGGTTTCACGTGGACACATACTGGAGAAAACACACTGGTAGAAGGGTTTTACTCCACAAGCAGACACCAGAACAGTGAGTTGTTACCACTTGTGTAAGAAAACAGCTGGAACACAAGCTCTCCCAACGCAACACTTCCTACTGCAAGCTCTTTATCAGCAAGCTTGATTTTGGGAGCAGGGGATCATAACAGCTCTAAAAGGTTGTGTTGTGGTTGCTAGTGGTATTGATCATTTTGTGGTGACAGGCTGAAGGACTCTTGGCTGATCTGCTGCAGTTTCCCCTGTTTTATTGTGTAGTTTGGAGAAATTAATTTCTCATTTCCGTCTGTTCCTTTGACAAATGTTATTTATCAACACCCAAAATTTAATTCTGAAGCAACTGTGAATACTGACAAGAACAACACAAGTGTAGCAAGACAGGCATTCTCTCCTGGAGAAACAGTCATGTTGCACAGTGTGCTTGGCCTCAGCCTCCTGCCTATCATCTGACCACCGTAGGAGATCTCCCAGTCTGATGCAAGCTGGAGGGGATTCAAAGAATCTCATACYGGAATTCAACAATAAGTAGATGTATTTTGAAAATGCAATTCCTACTCCTATCACACAGCTTTGGCGAAAACAAAAAGCACCTAACAGACATTGCTGCAGCATCAGAGATGAAAATCTACCGCCCAGGGGATTTAGTTTAAAGCAGTAGTTTAAATGTCCAAGGAATCCTAACACTAAAGACAAGCACCAGTGGGACAGGCCATCAATGAACAATGTGGCAGCAGCTCTGGAGCTCCCTTTTGCCTGGACAAGCCCTTCTCTTTGCCTGTCACTAAGGACAGCAGTGCACCGAGTGCAGCAAAGCTGCTTAGGAGAAGGGCAGCAAGTGCTGACTACCTATTGCTCCAAGGGCTCCTCTCCAGCTGCAAAAAAATCCCAAACAAGCTCACAACCCAGACTATCCCGCTTGTTTTTTCAGCCTCYGAGACAGGCACCTCTCCCAGGCACCAGCTTGTAGGGCTAACGCTCCCAAATCCCTTGAAGATGCTCGCTGCCTTCCCTCCTGGTTGCCATGGCGAGCAGTGACGGAGCCRGAACGGGGATAAAAGGAGGCGGCAGCGCGTTGGGAAGCACTGAGCTGGGAAGCCCTGAGCGGAGACRGGAGGGACCCGAGCGGTGGCAGGAGGGGAACCGGCCGTCACCTCGCGCTGCTCGCGCGCACCGGCGAGGGCAGGTAGGGAGCTCGACGGGGCTCTGCAAATGCTTAGTGACGGGCAACAAGGGTTTTGGTCTCCGTGTAAGATGAACAGTTAAAACAATCTTGAAGATGAAACGCTTCTTGAATGAATTAAAGGATGATGAGTTATGTTAAGGTAGAGAGGAAGAARGAGACCGGAGAAAATAAAAGAACTCAGTTTTGATGGAATTAACAGGAGAGCAACTACTATGTGCAGATTCTGCTCAAAACACTCAGCCGGGATGGAAAAATCAGCTCTGCAGAGACTGCCTCAGGGATCTAAMGGAGTGATGCACTAGAATAATTTGTGGCTGTTGCTAAACAGTAATTCATTAGTGGTCTCCGTGCCATTCCTGGAGGAGAACTTCATAATTATTATTCATATTTTTGTTCTTCCTTAAATGTATTGACATTTCATCAGTCTTCAAACTTCATAACTAAGATCATGAAATAACAGCATGAGATGCTGTAGGAACAGAAAGAATTGACACTTCATAAAGCAACAAGTTAGATGCTGAAAATGCAACAACTGCTTAAACCAGTGAAATAATCATTCACGGAGTTGGGAGACTCCACATTTCTTGCAAGGGAGAAGGAGGTGTTTGCATGGGGAGAGAGTTCCCAGCTCCCTCCTACCTTTTAGGCAGCCCGACTCCTACCATTACTTTCTCTCTGCAAAGGAAAATACATTTCCCGCATTCAAAAAAGGGAGGCTGTATTGACTGAGGAAAAAAAAAAAAAAAAAAAAAAGAAAACAGTAAAAAGTGTGAGCTTCTACATATGGAAATTATGGAAGCCCAGGTATTAGAAATGAAAATGCTAAGCGTGACAGGCACCTCAGCAGTTGAGTTTAATTTCCACAACCTCTTTGTGGGCTTATGTGTCTATAGTGAAATGGGGAGGTTTCCCAGCTGGTGCTCCTCAGGACCATGGTACCCTTCTGATAACGTTACAGAGCGGGTAGCAAAATACTCAGTTTCTGAAAGTTTGCTAGAAAGTATGAAGACAATTGTCACGAAGCTTTTCATCTGCAAGCATCTGGAATACTTGACTGTTCTCAAAATGCTTATTTTTTGAAATGTCATTCACAAAACCTGTGCAAAGAAATACATGACATTTCCAACATCTTGTTTGTTTTAGCTGCTACCTTGTTTCTGAAGCCTATACAGGTCCAGTCCAAAGGCTAATAAAGCCAGTGGAAAGATTTCATTGATTTCAGTGGCCTTTGACTGAGCCTGTACATGAATTAAGATACTCAGCCTCTCCCTGCTTCTGATTTCAGGGCCATGATGAACATCGAAGTCCACAACATCACTTACACCACTGCCACAGTCTCCTGGGCCACAAACAACCCCTGTCCGGAGAACTACTACCATGTCATGTACCGACCCAACTGGAACAGCGTCTTCGCTGGCTATTTACGCCAGAACTTCCACCGTGAGGAGCGAGTCCCCCACTCCCTCAGCTCCCTCATCCTCCACAGACTCACTCCATCCACTGTCTACATCCTCTGCATCACATGCAAGAACTCTTACCCCTCCAGCAATCACTGCACCACCTTCCATACTCCAGATAAAACCCAGGGGGGTTTTGGTGGCTCTAAGCATGAACCTACCACCTCCATGTGGATGGTGAGCAGCCTGCTGCTTCTTTGCTTTATAGCTATCTTGATGTATGGCTGCTTGCAATTCTGGTCTGCACGGTGCCACAGGGCTTCAAGACTGAAGCACTATGACACCAACTCGGAAGGAGAYGTGGGCGAACAGAGCAATTCGCTGGAAGGGTCTCTGAATAATGGACTAAAAGAGGAGCTTCTGGAAGTCCCCATGACAACTGTTCTAGTGAGGAGTTCCAGCTTCATGAGGGAGAGTCCATATAGGTCCCCCCAGTGCTTTTTTCCCYATAAAAACAGTGATGATAAAAAGGCTATCTTGCCACAGCATGGTCTTCAGTGACAGACAGATAAAGGGACCCCTTGCTTAGYAGTTTGGTTCGTGCTGCTCTTTTCCAGCTCTTGTCAACGTGACTGTCCATATGTCCACGGAGGGTATTTGTCCCAGTGTAGAACATGAGTTGGAGACATTAGCCACAAGGCGAAAGATTTTTGTCAAAGTACAAAAATATTCTCATTTATTGAGAGGATATAAAAAAATCCAAGGCAAATTATTGAGAACGGACAGGCTAAGCTGACTCTGTTGTCATTATCTTAATTGTATYGCTGCTGTAGATTTACTTCAGACTCATCAAGCTACCTGCACAAGAAACAAACTCCACCCAAGTAATTTCATACTTGAGTAACACTTCATTAGTATCCTGTGACCTCATAAAACCTTGTACAAACCATCATTGCAGACTTACAAAAGAGCTCGTTGTCAGTATTAATAGACTATATCTGCAAACAAATAGCTTAGCAATTCTCATTTTGAGCTACAAATTGGCTTCTGGAAGTAGYACCTTTCTCTGGGAAGAGCAGTACTGTAGAGCTCCAACTTTCTACTCTCTGCACATACAGAAAGATAAGACTTGGTGTCAGTGCCAACAACAAGCAGAGTGACACACTCTTCACGTACGGAGAAGAATATGGAAAGCTAATGCCAAACCACACTGAAGCTGCCTGTTGCATGCCCTTTGGTTTCACACAACAGTGTGACCGCATGCATTTGCRCCTGCTGCTGTGTCAGTGAAGCAGGTCTTGTATTTCCTTCTTCTTAAATAAATGCTTCCAACATCCATCCCTACTGACTACTGTGACTCATTTACTGACCTTGGATCCATAGAGGTAATAGGGCTGAACGTTGGCTGGCTTGTCCCGTTGGGGCTCCTGTGTGAATGGGATTGCAGTCCTCACAAACCTGCAGCAGGCGGGATGGAAGGGAAGGAAAACAGACCATACCTCATTAACTGTGTTTGGTACAGGGCTGGAATGATCTGCATTTGCAGGTTAATTAGCATGATCTAATGAGCTTCTTTTATCACCTGAGTCACATGAACTCATATGCAAGCTCCTGCCTCAATTTGCCAGTGATGTGAAACAGGTCAACTTAACTTGTAACAAAGCCATAATGATTCTATGGAAGGTGTTTTTTCTTCACAGTTGCAGYAGGCAACAAACATTTATACTAGTTTATACTCTACAGCTCTGCTGTAGAGTCACAACTCTTTAAATCATGCTAACCCAGACAAAGGAGAGCTGGTGGCAGGAGGCTTTGGTGTTGTTCTCACTGCCACTACTGTATCTCATAGGAAATGAAAATGTCACTGCAATGCATGCAAATTTTATATGGCAGGCTTAGTGTTTCTGAATGAAACATAAGGTCTCCATCTGCCCCTCACCTTGCCTTTCCTCTCTCACCTGTTGGTGGATCCATTGTAGCAGTAGTTGGGTAGAAAGTCAAAGTTGAGCTCCCAGAAGACATGAAGAGTGATGCGCCCATAGGGTGCGGAGACATTGTGGTTGGCCTCTCGGAACATGGCATCAAARCTGTCCAAAGTCATGTGCTTGCACAGCAACCTGTGAGTCAGGCGATTTATTTCCAAGAGCCACTCCAGCTCCTGCAGCACACAAAGCAGCAACGTGTTACTGAGATGACAACAGAAATAGTTGATTTAATTGCCAAGGGAATGATTTTTATATCTATACCCACACAGAACTTCCTATGTGTGACACAACTTTGATACCAGGTGAGGATGTAGCAAATGCTTAAGAGACAAGTTTAACTCAGTGGCCAAAGCCAATTGCACTTCTACTCAACAGGATCCTGGTCCACTATCTCCTAAGCCCACAAGCAGCAAAAATAATTTGTTCCCCGCTGAGCACTGGCTGGCTTTCACATCAGAAGCCCTGGAAGGTGGAAACTGGTAATTTTACACTACTTGACTCTGATACTCCTGTAATGTATCAAGGCAGCAACTCTTGCACACAGAGACAACAACGGGCAATGTCTCAGTCACCTGCATCCAGCAAGGGGAGTTAAAGTCAATATCCCCTCCTAGGTCACGGGATGCTACTACATGAACTTTGAAAAATCTAACTGCTTACTGTCACCTTATAATTTATTTCATGCTATAATAATAATGTGATTACAGATGGATAAATATTAGAGATTTAGTAGGATAAAGGGGAATATATGACCATCCTACTGTAAATGGACTCTCTTTGAGCAGAAGTTATTTGACTCTATATAAATTGCAGTGAATTAATCTCTCTATTCATACCCTCCTTTCAGTTAATCATGGTTCTTACCACTATAGATGTTAGGTCCTCGCTCTCAAAGCGGCTAATGGCTTGGTCTAATGATTTGTACATTGCGGCTGAGATACGCTGAGTTATAAGCCTATTTAGGTCAATYGACCTACCTAGCAACTGTGAAAAGAAGAAGATATTTGCATGTTAAATATAGGTGTGGAAAAGCTTTCAATAGACACAAATTACAAACATACTAATGTGCTTAAACATGAAAACAACGATGCAGACTCCCCTCTTGATTTTACCATTTCTAAAGAGAAAGGTGAGGGAAATGTGGAGACTAATTCACTTCCCTCTCAGCCACCAGGTCCTCCTGTGTATAGCATGCCAGAAACAAGTGAAATCATCCCCATTCCAACATCAGTCTTGATGGAACTCAGCACTAGGATGCTACCTGACACTGACGTTTGAAGCCAACAAAAAGAGAGACCAATAGCTTTGAATACGTAAAATTACTACTTGCACTGTACCTGGACATGCCTCTGCTTGAGTAGTGTCTCATAGCGGTTGGATGGCGGATATGGAATAATCACTCCATAATTCTTACATTCAGCCCGGAAACGTTTATCCAATAAAACACTGAAAAATGGAAACAGGAAAATGGAATCAAGCCTCAAAAGCTTTTCTCTGGATCTTTTCCAAATTTGCTCTCATCTTGCTTTTCGTCTTGCTCTGGGTGCCAAGAATTTTCACACATTGTAATGCCTATGTCTTCACTACTAAATACAAAACTGGAGTTGTTATCTGTGGACTGCCACACTGCAGTCTATCATTCTTCGCTTTTACAGATAAAACATCMAAAAAGATACAAGATTATGCTGAAAGATATCAGCTACTGGGATGTTTCCATGGGTATGATCTCTTTTTGAAAATCTGCTGGAACATTTTTCTTCTCTAACGCCGTAAGTGATCCAYGGAAAATATCCCTTGCAGACTGCAGAATGAACACAGATGAACTCTTTTGTCATATCTGCACGCAGCAGCTACTCCCCAAGGGGAACCTTTAGGTTAACTGTAATTTGAATGCAGCAATACCTCACTTATTAGCAGCAGTCAAGTTCTCCTACCTGCCAGCCATGGCTTTATAATAGGCAAAGATCTGATCTGCCAGCTTGTATACAAATTGATCAAAACACAAATTCACCTGGGGGAGAGAAAATAACAGACATTATGAGGGTGTCACCATCACAGAGCCTGTCCTTCCTACGCTTGCTTGCAAGACCAGTATTATTCAGTACAAAGGTCTAAATCTCCGCCTATCAGACCAACCCTTCCATGCTCCCAGTGTCTGACAGCTTCCAATGGGTCTCTCTGGGTAGGTCTAAGCTGAAGCCCTTAATCAGCAGGAAATTTTTGAACTTTTGATAACTTTTCAGAATATTATCTTCCCCTCCCCTACCCACATCTGTAATTAATTCCCKGAAGTGCTGGACTGTCAAACAGGACAGGATAAAGCCAGTAAGCTCACTTTCCACAGAGTAAACAAGAGGAGTACTTACCTCAGCTTCAATTTCATCATATAGGAACTGCTTTTTGAACTTAGTCAAGGCATAATAGGCGCTGTCATTATAGAGGTCCAGGGGGTACAGTACATACCTGAGGAGAAGATAGATTATCTCTTAATTTAATATAGGAGCATGCTAGCCACTGCACATGACTTGCTCTGAAGCAGAGAAGATGGCAAAAATTGGCTATTCTTTGCTTTCTCCCCTTCCACTTACTCCAGTCCCTTGAATCCTCCTTTGTGTTTCCTAGGTCAGCATTGTTGGAAGCAGCTCTAAATGATCTACATTTGTGCTGCGACTTGCTTAATCAAGGCCTGTTCTTTCTTTTGCATATAGGAAAAAAAAAGGTGTTTAGGTGCCTTAGCTAGGGTTCATGGCTTTTTGGTTGTACAGGCTATCCAACTAATGTATGAAGATGAAAGTATCACCARCTTATGTGCATACATGTCAACTGTTGGTTTATGATCAAAAAACATGTATTTCTACCCACTGGCTACCTCAAGGAAGTTGTTTTCCYCCAGCCTAATATTTCTCACTACCTTTCTGCAAAATATAATCCTAAGCCCCAGATAACACACGTCCATTACAGCACCACCAGCTCTTACTCCATCATGGAGGGCTCTTTGGTTTCCAGAATATGGTCCGTAAGGATCCAGGGCATGGACATCTCGATGGGAAACTGGATGCGGCGGCCCATGGTCAGCTCGAGGAAGAATTCCCGGAACCAGAGCTGGGACAGGTCGCAGCACTGCTGCAGCGCTTCTGAAAGCAGAGGACAGACATTACCACCCACGGGATGGACAAGGAGGGACGTGTTGAAAGAGGCAGCTCCTTCTGCCTCATATTTAATTGGTTTTGGATGTGAACCAGCTTTCAGGATATCAGCATTTTTAAACACACACCATGTCCATGTTGTCTCAGTATTTTGCAATAGAAAAAGAAACAAGAAATTGTCCTTTCTCAACGTAACTCGAGGAAGAGAATTTCAGTGGCCTGTCTGAAGCCACTCTAATAGATTTTTTCTGTGCCCAGTGACTCAGAGTTTGACTGGGGCAGAAAGAAAGCTCCAGTCCTAGAAACTAAACTACTACTTGTGGCATYTTTGCCATCATTTTGCCAGTCATCRCTGACTGATTCACATTSATCTAATGCTTATTATCTATCTACAAACATGCCTATACCAGTCAGAAACAGAACATTTGGAAAAATAAGGGAAAAATCTCCTGTGTATGATCTACATCATCTAAAGATGATCTACCTTTGCCGCCCTGTGCATGCAAGGTTTGGATTCAAGCCTCCCTCTGCCACAGTCTCACCACTGATGTTGAGAAGGTGGGTGAAGAAGAAGGACTGCTTGTGGAACTCCTCAATGGCCAGGACTATTGGTCCATCCAGGCTRCTCCTCAGTGTCTTCTTTGAGCCACTCTTGTCTGCTATGAGAGATTCCAGCATGGTCCGCACCATGTAGAGCTTTGGAAGGAAGCAGGCAGTTACTGCTCTTTAGTGATACATCACCACATGCTAGAAATAATTGCACCCTTGAAAAAAGGAGGCCTTGGAAACTACACAACAAAATAGRCACCAAAATAACACTTACCACATAAAACGTGAGTGAAGATTTTGTGAAAGAAACCATGGAAACAGCTGCTAACTCACAGGATAAGTGACTTTTACATGACTGTAAGGCCCTAAATACCTCGTGCAGGAGATGTGTATTTACATACCTGGGTACTTGATGGTCCTACTGCTCTCCGTGGGACTTTTATATCAAATCCACCTTTGGGATCCTTCTCGCCTCTCAGGCAAGGATCATTTGGAGGCTCTCGACCACCCTCCCAGTCACAGATTGTCTTTCGAATTGCCTGAAGGACACTGAAATGGGTGGGAGAGAATGGAAAGTTGTGCTCAAACTTGCTTTTAGTCCAAGGGGAAAATATTCACAGCTGTGCCCACATGAGAAGGGAAATATCTGAGGTGGGGATATACACTGTCTTTTTTTGGGAAATCACCCTAAAAAGTTRCCTTGGAAAGAGTTGCTGGCCAAGGTATATTGATTGATTGATTGTATACTATGAGTACAGGTAGTTCTAGCTGTGCAAAGTCAGACTTATTTGAACCCCGGGCTGTGCACTTATATAGTACAAATTCATTATACCAGGAAATACACCTGCTTTGCTTTACATTTAAGAATGACAGACTGACCTGATCAGGACGTTTTTCTTCTTCCTGACCGCCTGCCTCAGTGGCTCTCGTAGGGTTACCTGGGCAAAGTCCTGCAGAGCTGCATAGATGGTGTTACGGATGGCTTGGTTAAAAACACTCTCCATACGGCCCATCAACACTTGAAGACCTTTGATCATGGCAATTACCTGAAATGAAAATTTAAAAGAAAAAAAAATTGTGCTTCCTGTTATTTTCCTGGTATTAAAACTTGTACTTTCCTGGTATTAAAACTTGTACTTTCCTGGTATTAAAATAATTCTAGTGGAGTACCTTAGATGGAGTAATTAGGTGACTAATTTGTTTTTGATGTCAGCTGCTTTACAGCTCACGGCAAGCTGGGGATGGCATTATAACCATCAACTTTCTGCAAACAGCCCCCATCCTTTGGCAGGCTATGTTTCTACTCCTTGTTTCTTGGTATCTTTAATAATATGCAAGGCTGATAGTGTCAGCAAATTGCATGTGTTCAACACATATGTGCAGCTGCATGGCTTGCACGGGCATTTATYGGTATGCAGATAACAGAGTTTTCCATGTATAGTACTGCTTAGTGGACCTACGGCAATGATAATTCCCAGGAGGGAGAGAGCCACAAAAAATATGAAAATGTTCAAAGCCCTTCAGATTAGAAAGAAAAATGCATATATGATGGTCTCCAACAAGCAAGCTCRGAGGACTATTCCCACTGCTCATGGACAGCTAGATTGAGAGTCAACTGGTCTCAGAGACTACCTGAGGATCTATTCTGCTTGCACAGCACCCAAGCATTGCTCTGGACCTTCCTCCACAGCACACTTCTCGGAGAACCTAGATGCCTTTTTTGTTAGGACCCTGAATCCCACTTGGGGAATAATACAATTGCATTAAGAAAACACAAGGATTCACCTCTGTCTTTCACCAGCACATAAATAGAGCACAGAGGATCAGGAAGAGAGATGCTAGTGCTTTCATCACACACTGATACTGTGCTTCTATCCCAGCAGGAGCTCATAAGAACTTAATTTTCCCCTTAATTCTGGTTGCTTACAGGCCACAGGGAGTAGCAACCTGCTGAGCAAGGTGAGATACCCTTTCCTCCTCTTGGATGGGAAACTAGCACTTACTGATTCTTACTCGTTCCTAGTATTTTTCATGCTGAGTCAAAACTTTAAGTTACAATTTGTCAGGAACCTGCTCTGCCCAGAGCCCCCCTCACGTTGGTCCCTGCACACTCATAACAAGATCATTGGCTGTCTGTGTGAGTGCAAAACCTGGATAAAGGAAGGACTGTTATTTCTGCTTCAGAAGCAGGGGAGAATATAATCAGTGATTTTCCAAAGCATGAACTTCTCAGCTGCTGGTGGACACCTATAAAGAGGAGCTAACAGAAAACCTTTGAAATTTGTAGTCCAAAAACTTCAAAAACACCTTTAAAAATATGGCACTTTGTGCCTTATCCAAGTAACCTAGGTAGTTTGTGGCAAAGTACATGAAACTTTATCTCCATGCCACACTCTCAGTTATAACAGTACAGAGTAAGGCAGCAGCTGGCACCTACTTCCACAAAAGCAAACTTCTCTTCACTCGTGTAGTTGTAGCGGGTGGCTCTCTCATACTCTTCTGCTGTTCCTGGGCAATCTTTGTTACAGAACTTATCTGTGGGATGAACCAGCTTCCAAGARTACTGAAAAATGAAAAGAGACAGTTAATATCACAGTGAATAAAAAGCAGAGCTGGAAGGATTGAAAAGGGTACCATGCTAGCAAAACACTCCTTGGACATTGCTAAMGTTGTCTGGCATCCCTTTGGGATCAGAATGTGTGCTTCCTTCTGACTTTATTGCTGCTATACCAAAATGTTGGTTTGGGGCGACTTGCAGTCTGACAGTCACACTGGGCTCTTGACATTCGWAGACTGTTTTTCCCCACATCAGTGAGGGGAAAGGATGGTTCAGCTCTAGAGCGTGACACATCAAGCTCTCCTCTTCCATTTGGTAGAGAGTCTATGATTACCTGCCTGATTTTAGCATGTTTGTTAAAGGCTTAAAGYTGGTGGCATCAAACCAAGCTCATCTTTTCACATTCTGTGTTGAACACAGTGTTAAAATGTTGATGCTCACCTGGGAAAATCAGGATGTTAGCTATTTTGATGGACTCACCACTTCCATGACATGGGCACTCCACTTGGACAGCAGCTGCAGTCCCCGCAATGCAAGGTCAAAGAGCTCCCTGTATTCCTCGTCTGATTTTTGGCTGTCCAGTCCTGAGCCTGTGACCACCTGGAAAGCACCACATAAGGCCATGGACTCAGCAGCTCACTGCAAAGGCTTCCAGATACAATGAGCAAAAGGCTGTGACAGATCTTGCTCTTGGATACCAGCTGAAATGAATTCCATGTGATCAAGGTAAAACTGGGCAATGCACATAGCCTCTCTCAGGATAAGGGGCATAACTTGGCAAGACTCTTATTACCCAAGCAGACAACCTAATTTCTATAAGAAAAGGAGTCTGACTTTTAACCTTAGAGCAAATAACCGATTTCTTCATTCTGTTTTCTTATGGATTCCTCCATGGTGGTCTAGTGRTAATAAAGCCCTTGAGAACCCTTTACTGATTTAATAACAACATAAAAATGCCACAAAAAAAGGGCTGAGTACTCTAACAATTCATTAAAATAACAATGATGCATAAGGATGTTACAGTTTCAAAAACAGTCACAACCACATCAGAAGAGGCTCAGATATTCAATAAATGTCAAGAACAGAGCTTCCCTTGTGAATTTTCCTCCCGAGCCCTGGCTGATATTTCAGCATAACAGAAAAGATCCATCTGCAAAGCCACAGGTGTTCTGCCATCTGACTGATAACAAGTTTTAGTTGCCGTGATACTTCTTTATCTTATTTTAATTCAGCTGTGACCAAAGAGAAAAACTTTTGCAGYAGGTCTTCCAGTCCACGTGATCTTGCACCTGCAGGGGCTTTACATAACTTCCTTTTTATTGCTTTCTCAAGCAGCAATTTGTTCCACTTGTGTCTTTCTCTCCTCATTGCATATGTCCTTGGCAAACTATATTCCCACTGGACTTGCCCTCTTCCAGCCTAATCTATCCAGATTTCGGTGACTATTCACTGAACTTACCTCACTGTTGCTGTAGCGAGCGAGCTCCGAGATGAAGCGGATGTGGTCATCTCGGATCTGGACCATCTGCTCACAGATGTTGTACTGGGGACTTATGCTGCTCTGAGTGCACGTCCACCTGGGCAGAAAAGCAACGGTTTTCAGGGAYAGGACAAAGGGCTTAACTCGGACATCCTCAGGGACAAAACCTTGTGCTCAACTGCCCCCTTCACCTCAGCACGCTCAAAACATGTCACACTCAGGACAACTATGTGCAGCCTGTATCCTCTCTCTCAACCCACTTGTTTGTCAGACAAAGCAGATGTATGCGAGGTCTTCCAGATATGATATCTCATGTTACAGGGATGCTCACCTCACCTTTTGGCCAGAACATCTCTCCTCAGTCCACCCTGAGGGTTACTCTCCGTATCTCCATAGGGTTCACCTACTTGTCATGGACAGAGGTGCCTATTTTTCAGACCACTCTCTTGCAAACTTTCATAGAAGAAGAACAAACTGCAGAACCTCAGCATCACTTGGATCCTTTCTGGTAAACCTAAGGATAATTTGTCCCTTAGAGTTTATTCCTCTGGGCTTGCAAGGCCTGGGTCATGCTTCCTTCTAGAGCAGGAAAGGACTGCAAAGGAGAGCAAGGATGAAACTCCCACTCTTCTTTTTTTGTTGTTGTTGTTGTTCTGGCTCACATTACCAGCTCAGCTCAGCAAATAACCCTGAGTGTAAACAGCACAAAGAGATTACACTTGCATTTGCATYGAGCCACATGTACAGCATGGCAGTGTAATGGGGTCTTAGAGGGGAAGGCAGCACTCCCTGTCTGGTGGCATAGTCATCTGAAGAAGCGGTGAGAATAAGCACAAATGAGGTCTACTTAATTTAACATTTCCTCTTTCCCAGTTCTCTGCTAGCCACAGGTGTAGTTCCAGAACAGCTTCACCAAAATGCTTTGTGCAAACAAAAATCTGTCGCTGGGACTCTCTTGTTTTATTTTGTCTTCATAATGGTTTCAAGTGTTCAAACCTTGGTTTTTTTCTCCTTAAATAATTAGCCATCTTAAAATATATATTCTCCTGATCTGCATTGGATGTATAAAAAGGAGGTGAGAAATCTGCTTCTGATAAGAACTGTATTTCTATAGCTAACTGTGAAGTTCCTGCTGCCAATATTTGCGGTGGCAGAAGTTCCTGGAAATGCTGGACAACATTATCCCTCATGGAATCCAGCCTCCCGCAGTCCCATCACTCAACTCTTACCCGTTTCAACGTCCTGTGCTCCCACCAGACAATCGGCAGGTCACAGGAATGGCCAAGGCTGCGCCAGCCCTCCCTGCCACACACAATCTAGTCCACAGTACAGAAACAAAATGTCATGCAAGAAAAAAAAACAATTAATTCCGGTGTTCATGGAGACAGGGAAGGAAAGAAAGCAACAAAACCAGAACATTAGTAAGAAGTGGGGGTTATATGGAACCACCTTGGAAGGGTTAGTGGTGCTAGTCCCATGCAATTCGCTGAGAAAGCAAGCGAGTGAGGAAGAAACATCTGTTAGTAAGGTACAGCAAAGAGACTGGGTAGACAGATTTCAAGACAAACACTACAATTCTGGAAGAGATAAACAGCCCACAAGCTATCTTGGTTTGGAGATGAAAATATGAATGGAGCTGATGCACGTTTTGTTGAAATGTGCTTTTTTGGCGAAATTATTTACGACCAAAATATAACTTTTAGAACACGCTTCCTTTTTAAGCTGAGTTTCTAAAAATAAGTATTAAATTCAAATTTTGGGGAATATTTCAATTCAAAACATTTTTATTGGGAAGTTTTGCCATGTTACTTTCAAATCCTTTCAGGAAAAATCATCTGGCACTTTTCAACTGGCTTGCAGGAGGGCAGGAGAGGGCTCTTCCTGGCTGAGCGGCTCAGCGAGCAGAAAAGGAGGATCCTGCCGAGCAAAAGGGGAGGAGCGAGCAGAAGCGAGGTGATGAGACAGTATGTTATTTGCTACCCTGAGGAAGAGACAACTGGCAGACTGCTTCTCTGAAAAGATGGAGAGAACCAGCTGTCGCGTGGTGTGGTCCTACAGGTGCATCTTCGCTCGCTGAGGTCTCTAGGCTAAGATCAGTGACTACAGCCAGCCACAGCTCAGACACACTTTGCTCATGTGTCCTTTACAGTTTCAAATGCTGCTCCAAGACTCCAAACCTGAAACCAGTTCTTCTAGCAATAACTGACAAGTAAGCACAACTATAAAGACGAGTGGGGTTTCATACACGAGAGGCATGATCTGAATCAACACCTGCAAATTCACTTGAAAGGAGTGACAAACTGACTTGGRATCCAGATTGCAGAGCACTACTTGACACAACTACATCAATACTGAATTAAAGACTTTGTTTTTGCCCTTCTCATACAGTGTTCATCTATTTCCAGTGCATTCAACCCCCAGTTCAGCTCGAATTCCCACTGCCTTTTCCACAAAACCTTCCTGTGTGGGAGGTGTCAGAGGTAGACGAGATGGCCTGGCTGCTACACAGATAGATCCAGTGCTGTGTTCACGCTCTGGAGGATTTTGTCCCTCGGGTCAAAAATGTGGATTAAAATCTCTCCAGAGCAGGAACACGCGGCTCACACTCACACACACTGTGGCGCCGGATCATGCACACACCGCCAGCACCAGCCCTGGCGTTTTGCTCCACGTCCTGCACGCACGGGCACGGCGCCACATCCATAGGGCCACGTCCGCTCGGATCCCACTGCACGTGCACTTAGGGGCTGGTGGTGACAGCTCCCCATGCAGGGACACGTATGTAGGCACGTGCACAGGAAAGTGAGGGTACAGTGAGGCACCTACCCACAGGGACACACACAGGGAGCCACGCATGGACCTCACGCACACCAGAGAGGGAGACTTGCAACTCCCAAGCCTTCCAGGACACACACAGAAGCCAAGAGACATTACGGCAGGCACTCACTTGGATTTGTTCTCCTCATAGTGAGCACTGGTCTTAATGTATCTGGCCAGTTCTATCTGCATATCGCCGAATAAAGGAACCACCTGCAGCTGCTGGAAAAGAAAACAGAAATGGTTGAAACACGGCAGAGCGTGGCTTGGGCCATAGAGATCACGAGGGACTATGAAATGGCATCTTGAAGCCAAGAAGAGTGTCGGGCTCTTCAAAGTAAGTCAGAAAACTGGATGCAGGTTCATTTCACATCTAGAAGAGACTGAAAAATATCACAAGGGTTTTTATGCTAGGGCAATCATCCCTGCAGAGTGCTTTGCTGGGACCCTTGGACCTGCTGATGGGGCTCTACGGTGCACCTCAGAGAGAGAAGTGTCACACCATAAGCTGCTCTGGAGCCTGGACTTCCAGAGACATACAGCATCTTTCCCCACATGCTCTAACGTTATTTTGGCACTGAGGTTGCTAGCAATATGTCTTTAAACTTCCCAGTGAATAAAAAAAACACAGACAATTTCTGTTTGCATACAACATAGCTACACTCTCCCTTTACATCTCTGAGGGAATTCGATGCGAAATAAATTCTAAGCACACCAAACACACCTCAGATTTGACTGTTTCAGCTGTAAACAAAACTTAAATCAGAACTACCTACATTTTGGCACTTAAATATAAAGTTCCAGCTTCATATAAAAATCCAGGCCCAAAATTTCCAGAAGACAATGGTAAATTCACTATCCTATTATCACATGCTTCTTTTCTTAGACTTTTCTTTTCTTAGACTGGTTTGAGTGGAGAATTTGTAATGCTGTCAGCAGGAATTCACAGTGGCAGCTTTCATAAATAGTTTGATGAAGATGTTATTCATTTTCAGTACTCAGTCCTGGCCAGTCCATAGAAACATAGAAGGCACCAAGCATATGTCGTAGGAGATGTAGTTGGCYTTTTCTTATTGAGACCTGAGGGTGTGACGTGCTACCCACTGACTGAGTGAGACCACAACAGCTGCTGGAGAAGTGTGAATGGAAAAGAATCTGGAAAGGAAAAAATTCTGTGTAGTAGAGGATATTTCACCTGTCTGATTCTCTGATAGCCCGGAGCACTTTGCAACAAATCTGTTTAGATGCACCAGAGATGACCAGACTCTGCAGATTACAGCAAAGGCTTGATTTAAATTGAAGTGAAGAGTCAGATTAGCAGATCCAAACCAGGGAAAACTCATAAGGCTTTAGGGAGCAGCATGATAAATCTCCTCTGCAGAGCTGCAGGCCTAAGTAGTSTCTCCAGTGACTGGGCAGCATTCAACCATTTCATTATCTCCCCTCCACAACATTAAAGCAGGTGTCCGTAGCTCCCTAAACAGAAGTTTGAGTCTTGCTCTGAAAGTTGTCTCCAGAAAATGATGCAAATACCTGCACACAGTTACCCAGTCATTCAGAGCAAGGACGAAGGAACAGGCACATTAGCCTCTCCTGAAAGCAGCTCTCTGGACACAGGAGAACCTTTCTGCTCTCATCACACAGACCCAGAACATCACATATAAAATACAGGTCAGTACAAAAAGCAGAGGGGTATCTTGTACCCTTTTGCTACCACCGACAAAGTCTTTCAGGCTCATCAGCAATTCTCTCAGTAAAAGACAAAGCAGAGCAACTCTACTGAAAGAAAATGCAGGGGAAGAACAGCTCTGTGACCCACCTAAAATTGTCATCTTTCCACTTCCCCTAACAGAGAGCAAATGTTGTTAACATAGAAACTAGTCTTTCCATCTTAGGAGAAAGATTAACTCAGTGGGACTTCGCCAAGGTCAAGTCACTGGCAAAAGGACTCTGAAAGGAAAGCTCATACTCAGCAAGATTAAATAAAAATCCAAATTTGCTACATCTGGGAAGTTATTCTGCTATCCCCCACACTGTTCCATTATTCTTTGCTACCAATATATTTGTTCCTTGCCAGATCCCATCATGACACCTTGGACTGAAAGGGGCAAAATCTGAGATGCCTTCTAGACTCAACCTGAGCATACAAGCAGCAGAAAGGAGATGTAATTCCAGTTTGCAAATCCAGATCAGGAGGTGCTGGCACTGCATGAAGGCAGAGACAGTGAGCTAGATCTCAGCCTGGCTCCTTCTGCTGCTCATGACTAGTCTCTCAGACACATCAGACTTCAGGAGGAAGAAGAAAGTTTGTCCAAATGCTTTCACCAAACCACCAAATGAGCTTTTGAGGAACATACTATACGTAGTGGAAGTTTCACTCCCCAAGAAGCTTTTCCTGTCCTATAAAGACCACCATTTACACAAGAAATAAGACAGACAGATAAAATGTCTGACCAGCTGTGTCCTTTGGCATGTCAGCTCAAGAGCGAGGGCAAACAAAAGGGACTGCAACAACAAACCATACAAACCTCAACAAATCCAATCAGGATCTCTAGTGGCTTGAAAGTATGATGCTCGTGAAGAGATTGCCTCAACCCGACTGAAAAAGCATGCCCACAGCTAAAACAGGCCGCCAATCTAGCACACCCTTCCCTCATCCACAAAGCAGACCTCCCRTGTGCCATCCCTTGCTCCCCCACAGCATCGATCTTTACCCTTCAGCAGGAAACGTGCAAAGTCCACACAACTGCAGCCAGCTGCTGAGCAAGGAGCACAGAGCCCTCAGCTCCCATCATCTCCCCATGTCCCGCAAGGAGCAAATCCAGTCCTGGGTGCTGCTCATGTGCCCACAGCCTCGCTTGGCACCATAGGTCAAGATCCRTTGTCTCACCTCTCTGTGGCTCTGTGCTCATTCAGACTTATAGCAGCTCTACTCATTATCTAGTCTAGATAATTTCTAGATGCTTTGGTCTTTTGGAACTGTGAGTGATTCACATGATACAGTTTTGGCAGCAAGTGCAAGTGATGTTAGTCACTAATTCATTGGTCTGCAGTAAGCTCCARCCTCACCCAGACAGGTCACTGACCTTGAAGAATTTGTCTATTTTGCTAAGGTTGATTCTCTTCTTGGCATCCAATTTGTAAATGTTGCTGACGTTCCCATCCATTAGGTATAGACCAAATCCCATCACCTAGAGAAGAAGGAATGGTTTTACTAGGATGAAGTCAGCAACGCAGGCCAAGTTCTTCACGTAGCGCGAGAAACCACTATTTCAGGATCCTGTGACAGGTGACACTGATGAGAAGAATATATAAAGTGTACACATTTCTGCAAGGCTGTATGAGGGGGAAGACAGAGGACAGAGGGTGGATCTGTTTTTTTCTGTGCAAAAATATATGATGCACACTTCGGTAATTTGCTTCTCCTCTCTCCCACATAAAAACAACCCCAAAGCTTCCCCACCCATACTGAAAAGGCAAATATTTGCTTCTAGAGAACCAAAAACATTAAAAATATTCTTATGTCTTTGTTTTTCTCCTTTATTTCAGTACAAATCATTATAAATACTAACATAACCATATTATCCTTCAGAGATCTTTAGATTACTCATACTGTGATAATGAGGTTCTTAGGGAAAGAGGTGGCCAAGTAGTTGACTTACAGTAAGGACACACATACAAAACAAGCAGATATTTTGGTATGCTCATCTTGAGGGTTCTCAARAGACTTAAGGAAAGAAAATGAAGAGAAACAGAGTACTGGGAAGGTACTTCATCTTACTAAAACAGAAGAGAAACTACCTAAACATCCAGCTCCATCAGCACATAAGAATCTCACCTTTAAGAGCATGTGTTTCTCACTGGGGGTGAGATACATCTTGTTTTCATAGTAATCCACACAGATGTTGACAATATCAGCTAGCAACTCCTCATAGCCTGGGATAACCTCTAGCTGCTGGTGCAGACACTAAAACATCAACAGGGATCACATTATCCACATGGACAGAGGAACAGCAGGAGCCAAAGGGAAAATATTTGAAGAACATATTTTGAAGAATATAATGATRATTCCTAACTCACTAGGCCATAACAAAGGCAAAGGAAATACTTTGTGTGCTTTTCTTAATAAGACTGACCCTATTGTAAARCCTTCCTTCTCCAGGACAGCGCTCTCTTTTAGCCCAACATCAGACAGTGAGAGGAGAATAAAGGGTTGACCTCCAAAAGAGACTTTCTGACTGTTTCCTGTCTCTGTGCAATACTCCACCTAATTAGCACAAGCTATAGGGCCTTGTGAGTGGTGGAGGCATGTGAAGAGTCCTGATGTCYCATCTGTAGTCCATGCACAAGTCAAAGAGACAGACTCTTCTAACTCTCAGTCCTCCCTATCTCGCCTGCATGTCATATCCTTTTCTCATTCATGCTGGATGGATTTCCATCAGAAAACAATGGAAAAGTGGAAATGTCCTGAGAGCTCTTTTGATATCTTTTAGACCTTTCCCCTTGTCCTGACAAAAGGAGATCTCCAAAAATAATCAGAATGATTCATTAGAKGGAGGCATTGCTACAGTTTTATACAGCCAGATTCAAAGCCCATCAGAGTCAGTGGAAACGACCAATAATGAACAAGGTGGCTATGGCCACAATTCAATTGGAAGTGCTCTAAGCCTTGGCAAACTCATTGTCTCTCTCTACCTGTGGAAGTACTAACTGGTTGAACAGTACATGAAGCACAAAGGGACCTGCCTGTGTGATGCGGTTGTGGTTTGCCAAGAACATGGAGAGATTCTGGGACTCCTGGATGGACTGTGGGTCTGCCATCTTCCTCAGAAACTGGGCAGCTCTGGAARGGAGAAATCCATCATCACCAAAGGTCTCTCACTCAACATGAGGCTCACACCACCCAACTTCTTTGAGTTCACCTGCAGCTGCAGCACAGCAGCCTCCATGACCCCCTGCAGTAAAGCTCTGTTCTTTTTGTCATTTCTCAGATAGAGAACTGAAACAGAGAGGCTCTGCAATTTCCCTAAATTCACCAAGAGAACCTACTGCAGAGCAGAAACCCAAACTAAAGCCTCTGCATCTGCCTGTCCTCACTGCAGGATCAATGCTCCCTTGCAAACCAGAAATAGTGTTTCCCCACCTCCAGACTATTAACGAAATTGTCATCTGGGCTGCTTGTCCCCTTTTCACCTTTTGTATGCAGAGTGATCATTTTTGACACTGCACTTCATGTTCTTCAGCTCATCCAGGACAGCAAACATGTTGATGAACTTCCCCAGCGTCAGGAGATAGGCCTCAGAGACAAAGTCCTTCCTTCTCTCAGCGTGGCACAGGCGCTTCACCTCGCTGCAGAACCGCTCAATGGCCTTGCGCTGCAAAAGAGAGTTTTCCAGCTCAGCAAGGGCTCTAGGCAGGCATGACAGAAACCCAGCTCACAGCTGCTCAGCAGMGAGCGTGACAGGCAACAGCCACAGCACCAGTGGGAAACCCCCCACCCGCCCAGGGCCTTCTTCATTTAACTAACAGGCTTTTCTTATGGGGAGACAGGCACCAGCTCCACTCTCCACTGTTGGCCTGAAATAAGGCAGTGTTACAAATCATCAGACTGACTTTCGGCAGGGAAATAGCTGGCCACATCCACCAAGAAACACTCATTGAAGGAAAGCAGAAGCAGGTAGCACCCTTTGGCTCCGTGCAATGGAGGCTCTGGTCTTCCACAAGCCTCAGCACTGAGGTGTGCTCATTGCTGACTGAAACAGAGACTACAGACAAGACCTTGGGACCAGGCAAGTGACACGCGGCACAGATGTTGCTTTGAGCAGACCTTATGTATCTGCTGGCTGCTGCAAGGAAGTCCTACCAAGAAGAGGCTGGATAAGATAACACAAAAGTAACAAATTGTTCCTGCTTCCCTCCTTGGTGACTTACCTGAAAATACATGAACTTCATAAGCTTAGTGACTTCTGGCTCCAGGACTTCCACTGTTTTCTCATAAATCTCCACTCGGTTTGGCTGTTCATTACATTTCACCTGAAATGCAAAGAAAAATGATTGTGTCAGCATGAGCATTTCTAACACCATTGTGGGCCTACAGTGACCATCATCTTCTGTTTATTTCACAGTGCATATGGTATCCATTTGAGGACACCAGAAGGATCGGAGAAGAACCTTCTTTTCATGGCAACAGGTGATGGGAGAAGGGGTTATTTGTCAGATGTGAAATTCTCTCCATGCATTGTCAATAGGCATGAGCCTGACTGTGAGAAGTGATGTCTTCTAAAGCATTTGACTGGGGTAAAGTATATAAAAGGGGTTTGGACTTGCTACYATGATATGGTGATGTTAGCTTATTAGGTCATAAATTTTTCAAAGACTTTGTTTTGGAAAAGGCACGTTGCACCATGCTATGGATATACAATGGTCCTGCTGGCATGATTCTAGTTATGCTGCAGAACTGCTAAAGATCACTGGACATGTATGTGGCCAGCAGCAATGAAATAAGTCACTTCTATACTGCAGTCCTTGGAAGCGAAATATAAGGAAAGACTTATCCAATTACTATTCACTTCACTTCCAAATGGTGACTTGGGAGTCCTAAAAATCCTATTATCAATTTTTTAGGGGAAACCGTACTGTTCCAGGCAATGTTTCCTGCTCCTATACAGGGTGTTTTTGTATCCAGACATTGCTGATATAAGACTGTGATGGGTCTGACAGAGCTTGGTGTAACTTTAGAGCCCTGCAGTGGACCCACAGTGCACAAGGGGGTGAATCAGCTGGCTTTACATGTGGGGACATGCAAGAGCAGCTGTAAAACTGTGTTCACCCCACCCCTGCAGTGGGGAATCTAGTGATCCTGGTTAGGAATTCCACACTGTAGTTAGATAATATTGATGAGGAGGAATATGCAGCTGAAAGTGGCTCCATGGTATGGGGATGACTCATACAGTTATAGGCACAGCTCTGCTCTTCTTCTATAAAACAACATTTCTTCATGCAGCACGCAGGGTCTACACGTAACCGAATGGGACACCAAGCTGCCATGGTTGGGGGTTAGAAAAGGCATCCCTAGGAGCTGTATCCTAGTCCTCCATGGCAAAGTGCAGAAGACACGCTCGTTCCAAGAGCATATTTTCCAAATCTGTGAATGAACACTCCAAAGCTAACACCTTAGTGCCAGCTCAGCTAAAGTCTGCTTCCTGCTAGTGTGACCAACAGAAGCAATAGCAGCACAGCAACAAATATAAATAGGGGATAAGCAAATAGCCAATCAGTGGCAGAAATCTGCCCTTGCCTGGGTCTCATGGGACCATTAGCAGAATATAACCTGAGGGGAACTGAGGTTTGACCTTTCCTGGGTAATCACAAACATCAGCACTGTCAGCCATGTGGAAAAATCTTTTCCTGGCTCCCTGGGACCACTGCAGATSCTTTTATCACTAGGGTTAATGCAAACACACTGTAGCTACCCTACCGTGCTGCTAGTCTGCACTTGTACAGTGATCCAGTGTGTGTGACAAGCTTAGAGCTGCAGCCTGAATCACAAATTCATCAGGCCATGTGGGCAACCTTACTCATGCTTGTAGGTGTTTGCAGGATGAAGACACAAAAATTCAAGCTGCAGAGAAAAGGGCTTTCAAACAGCTGAGAACAGAACTAGCAGCAGAGGAGAAGGATGCAATTAAAACATGCTGATAAAACTTGGGAGTACATCGAGAGTTTCAGGCCCATCAGCAAAGAAGGTCATTCAGAGGACACCTGGCTGGAAAGCAGATGTTCTCCTCTCAAAGAATTTTCCTGACATATCAACGTGTTCCTTCACATACACTAGCACAGAAATAATGACATTGCTTTAAGTAAAGCAAAGGCTATCTGTTCTCTGGACAGAGAAGTAGATAAAGAGCCAAATGACAAAACTCAACCCAAGTAACGAGCTGGACCAGAGCAGTGCTCAGCTGAGCCCTGTTAGCAACAGGTACAGCTGGGCTGCAGTTACATCAGGTGTGAATGCCTTGGGGAACAGAGGAGGGGCTGAAGGAACCAGGAAATATATTTAAGGCAGTCAGCTCCATAGAGCTGCTTCCTTTGGGACTAGCATGGCTTAGGTAAGAGGATGTGTCAAGCTGTGTTGGGGTTGGAGCAATTCATATATGTTTAGTAGCTCTCATATATGTGAGTGTGTAGAGGAGGTGTCATCTGCTAGGGCAGGTGTATAGATTTATTTTTACTACTACTACTACTGTTTACTCTTGAGATTGGTGGCTGAGGCTCTTGTTGGGGAAGAGCAGTTTGAAGACTTGGGGTTCTCTCCTTTCAACCTTTCCTTCCGCTTCTGTCTTCTTATTTCTGTTTCCAGCCCAAGCTAACCCAAGGTAAAGGCAAAGCTAGCTGCCCTGGGGAGGGAGCAGGTACCTGAGGGATGGCTCGGGAGCAGCTCCTCCACGTGTAGAGCATCACAGCGTACTCATGGCCCTCCTCCAGCATTTCATTCTGAAAGGCACACAGGGGCGTTGCTGCAGCAGGGCTCGTGCCCGTGGCCACGGCGGCACCGCGCTGCCCAGGGACTCACCATGCTGGAGTGCACTGTCGCCTGCTCGATGTACCTGGCGATGCCCGTCACAAAGGCATTTCTGTCTTCAAAGTTGGTGTCAAAATTAGCCTGTGGGTGCAACAGAGAAATAGGGATCAAAACACTGCTAGTTTGTTTCCCTGCCATGAACAAATGGGAGCTTTTGCTCAAGGAATTTCAGTATATCCTCCCTTTGCACAACCTGTCCTCCCAGAAAACCCCCAAATAACTGTAGACAGGAGCAGGCAATGAAAAAATGGAGATGCTGGAAATCACTGGATCTCTAGGTCTGATGTTAATTCCTTTTTGCATGTGTGCAATGCTGTGAATCACACATTTTTGTAAGAGGAAATCCTTCAGGTTATACTTGTGAAAACACAGCGATCAAGACTGACAAGCCCTTGTAAAATCAAGCTAAGCCAGGTGGGGATTGGTTATAAGGAATTGCAGCTGTATGAAACAGCAAACCTCTAGTGAATATGCTAAAGATATTTGTCCATTAACTCAGACAGATGCAGCCTCATTAATTTCTATTTATTCTCTGGCTGCTATGGGAAGACCACATCCTGTCAGCAGGAATTGCAAAGAATAAACACAAAGAAAGGGCAGGGAAAGAGATGTCTGCAAAATATAAATATGAAAGTCAGCATCCCATGCAGATGTTACTATCAGCACTAGTGTTGCTCCTGCAAACAGATATTTTGAGAGGAAAAATGTTTTGGAAACTGAGTTAACTGTTTGGAGTACGGATGTGGGAATAGRAAAGTGCAAAGCAACGAAGGGGAGGAAGAAGAGCTACTGCTCTGCCATAGTTGCCCATTCCCGTGGCTTGGCAATTCCCACAGAGAACTGCGGGCCAGAATGCACACAGGTCTCGGATGCTCAGAGTTGCCCTGGGCAATGTCATCAACACCACAGAAAGCTGAGTCAACTCAGTATCTGATTTCTTCAGTACCCTCCAGCTTCTGATGCTGGGAGCATAGACCCATGGCCATGAGGCTGTTTTTCCTAGTGCCTCAAGGACATCCTATGTGAGATAAAAGCTAAGCCTACATATGCATTTATTTCTCTCCTTTCATCAGGAGAGAGAGCTAAATACAAACTAAGTACGATGTGAAAACAGGCTCTGCATCCAGTTTGAGCTAGGTTTCTAGGCTCAACTATGTGCACATGATTGTGGCCCTGAAATGAGTGTGCCAAAAGGCAGTGCTCTGAGCTCCTCACARGATTCAGGCCAACAGTAAAAATCATTTGGTGAAGAGAGAGGCTAAAGTGATATCAAGATTTTCCAGGGAGAGATGAAATTTGAACAGTTCGGAAATGCTTTTGGGTCTGATAACCTGCAAAAATGCTAATGCTACTGAACAAGTCCATGGTCCGACCTGGTGAAAGGGATACTGTAATTTCAGGAGCTTGAGTGCATGGCAAGGCAATCACTGTACGGGTTTATTTATACCCTGCTGTGGCTAAGTCGTGAAGACAGGAGTGGCAGGACAGAGAAAGTAACCCCATATTATATTTAACCCTGGGTGTAGTCTATAGGCCAGGGCGTGGTGGCCAAGCAGTTGAGGCATCCCACTGCGGATCCAAAAGCAGCAGTTTGAGCCTTGCCTTGGGGTCAGGCCAAGCTTTGCTAGGTCAGTGCAGCTGCAACTAAATCTGTGGTAGCTCAGAGCAGAGAAGTGATTCTAGCTGCTGCTCTCCCTTTCATGCTGTTGGCCGCTGAAACTGGCAGCTCCACCGTGCTAACGGCATAGCCCAGCCAGACTYGGGCAGAACTTCATTTTGACCTACATAGAAGATGCAGGCACTACCATAAAAAGAAACCACTGAAATACGTGCATTATAAAACAYTGCTCTTATCACAAATCTTATCTGCTGCTTCATATCCATTCATGCACTCCAGCTCTCATTTTTAACTTGCTGATGTCTTGCTCAGAATTCAAGACTTCTTGCTAATCTCAACCATTWTCCTTTTAAAGCTTCCAGACATTTGTGGCTAAATCTGCTCTGGCAGTTAAGGAACCTTCCCTTCAACTTGGTGCACCTGGAATATTTTTCATTAGTTCTCAAAGGCCGACGCACTCTTCTGCTTTTCTCGAGTTACTGCTGGAAAGCTGGATGGTACCTGGTACATGATGGAGGATGGAGGTGGCTCGATGCATGGCTGTTGGTCTGGTAGAGGCAGCTCCTCCAGTAAGTCCACATTGGACAAGGCATCCTCCAGCGTGACGTGCGTGGTCATGGTTCTGGCTGTTCAGTTTCCACGCTACATACAAAGAAAAGAAGATGCAATAGAAAAACAGCCAGAAGAATGAAAAACCTCAAAAGACAACTAGTGCCATGACTGGTTTTCAGGAGACATTTTTATTAATATATATTTTTGGCATATTTAACCTAACTATCTAAGTCTTCTCTCCTACAATTCAGTTACAGAGCTGGAACAGAGTTAGAYGGACACAGCTACCCATGTCCTTCACTGCTTAACTCCATGCAAAACTACTTCAGACACAGAACAACTGGATGCTGCAGGGCAGCCAGAGCAGCCTCGGGTAAAAGTGTACGCTCCAAAATGCAAGGCAGTGCAATTAAAAACATGTCTAGAAACAGCATGGTTAGAAAAGTACAGCCAGCGCCAACACTCACATGGTCTCCTTCTCAAGCACGTGGAATGACACTGGAAACCGTAAACAGCAAGTCACGCTCTCCGAGGTGAACTGGAAAACATCGAGTTCTGCACGGCTGGGCTGTGGTGGTGCGAGCAGCAAAAAAGGAAGCTGATGTTAAAAAAAAAAAAAAACCAAAACAACAACAACAAAAAAAGAAAACAAAAAACCTTTTCCTTTTATTGTACCCTGCTTCTGCCACACACCCAGTGGACCCCAGTCCAGGCCTGCCACGGAGCTGCTGATGGCAGCAAATATCCAGCAGTAATCATGAAGTGAAACCTTTCTAAAGGCCTTCCCAGCACTTACCCCTGTGCTGAGCACCCACGCAAAGCAGCTAGTGGGAAACACGGGACGGAAACCTGCACGGTCCCTGTTCCTTGTGCTCTTCACCTCTGCAGCGAGCATACGAGCTCAGAGGGACGGCTGCTGTCAGGCCCACACTGCTCTTGTGTAAGAGCCACAGGGCTTCCCTGGTTAATCCCTAATCCGAGCGCAAGAGCTGTGGCTGACCTGGCGTGCGTCCCCTAGAAAACTGCCCATGTGAATTCAAGCACTTGTGGTGACAGAGAACGAGCTTTAAACAGTGACATGTTCAACCTGCACATCCCTCCCCCTGCAGAAAAAAAGAAAAAGTGCACTTTTTTGTAGTCAAAGCCTGTCTGGTTTCAAATGTGAGCCATGGAGTTTTTTCACTGTTGCCTGCAAGACAGTAGAGCTCTTTATTACCTCAGTTTCCATCAAGATACTTGGAGATTTTAGAGTACCTACCCTGCAACCTTCTTTACTACAACAAGCAGATGAGGCTCTTCAATTGCCTTCTTGCAAAGAACATTTGCCAATCTTTCAGTCATCCCTTTACCTTTTCTGGGAGCTTGAAACCAATTTTGTGACTTTTTTTGCTGGAGAGTGGACACCACAGCACAAGCTGACAGCGATGTCCACACAAAACCAACACAGCCCCCCTGCTCAATTCCGGCAGCCCCCTGAGCCACAGCTGCTCCACAGGGGCTCCCATTCAGCTGATTATCTTGGTTATCCATCACTACTTACTCCCTTGGGTCTTTTTTCTTATTTTCATTTTAATAGAGTCGCTGCATCCCAGAATGTGCTTGACTCTCGCAGCCAGCACTGTGACAGCAGGGATGAACAAGGACGTTGGCATTTCCTATAGACACGCGTGCACGTGGTGGGAATGCAGCCACGAGGGGACATGCGGCACGTCACCCCGAGCCGCTCCGCGTGGCAGGACACATGGGCTGTGCCTGCCCTTGTGGCCGTGGCCACCAACGCACAGGTCCTGTCCCACCACCACAGCTGGTGGGACACCCCGAGGTCCCGGGCAGCTCAGAAACTGCACGCTGCTCTCCACAGCATCAAGTAAGCGCCTGGGGAAGAAAAACCTCAAGCAGCCCCTTCCCTGCTTGCTCAAATTTCTGCTTCCTCCTCCATGCCCTTGTGCTAAAATTGCTTCCTGTCACAAAGGAGAGCGATGTCAAAGCGGCCGTTACAAACCAGGGCACCGCAGGCGGCGGCGGCTTCCTGCTGTCTCAGCGAGTGCMGCTCTGCACCGGCCAGGGACCTGCTGGGTCACCCCCCACTATGCACCRTTGTCTCCAGAGCCCTCAAGACCTTCCTCCAGGTGCCCAAAGCAGCCCCTCTGGTACTCGCACTTGCCTAAATATCTCAGGCTCAGGAATCCCAAACCCYTCCACGTCCCACATGTGAGGACTGTGGGTTTTCCCTTGGACTTGCTCATCATTTTTCTCTAAGGCCTCTAGTGCAACTTGGTGGCAATTCTGCTGTAACCAAAGGCTCCTCTCGTTATTGCTGTTACCAGCGCCGCACCGGGGACACGTTTCCAGATGCAGGGCAAGGCTCTGCCGTGCTGAGCAGCTCAGAAACGCTTCAGCGCAGGAGAGGCTCTGCCCCGAAGATGCTGCCGTCACACGCAGGAAGAGAGACGGCGCGTACAAGTAACGCTAGAGGAGGAAGCGCAAAGCGGCAGCAAGGTGCTGTTAGCGGTGGCACAGCCCATCCTGTGTCGCCGTCTCTAAGCTTTGTGTAAGCTCTAGGGTGCAGAGGGAAAAAACATGCCAGTTTTGTGGCTTGAACTGGTAAGTCTTCGTTGCAGAGCTCAGAGAAGCAAAAGGCCTTTCAGCACCRTGCATTTCAGCAAAAGTGCTGACATGAGCCAGGCAGGTCCTAACACCGTCCTGGTGAGAGCCTTTTTCTTCTGCAGTGCCAAAAAGGGGGCTTAGAGCATCATATATTTTCACTTTCCACCATGGCCACGTCTCCTCGTCGAAGGCCATGGATAGCAGAGACCCAGAATGACTGTCATAAGGGATGGGGGCTCCTTAGCACCACAGGAGAAGGAGATGCATTCGTACAAACACACTGCCCGTGGGCAGCCAGCGGGTGAYGCTCCGTATTGCATGTGCCAGCGTCCAAGCAGCAAACTCAGCTGATGGACAGTGGGGCTAAACCCTCCCACGTGTGTCATCATTCAGAAAAGCAAAAGCCAGGCARAGCTTCTACCAACATACCAGCTCCAATGCCCAAAGGACTAGAAGGACAAGCCATGAGCTGCTCACCAGCCACCTCTGCACTGAAACACCCGCTCTGGAGCAAACACAAGTTCATGTCACTCCCCATCCCACTTGCAGGCTGCTGGCAGGATCCACATGGAAGGCACCAACCGCCACTCCTGAGGCGGAAATTAAGAGKTCCCATATGGTGAATCTGTCCCCAAACCAGCCTTAGGACCAGATTTAATAGATAGCATAGGAAAGCTTTATGGAGTGAGGTCAGACAGCCTGGATGTCTGACCTTGAGATACCTTGAGATCACAAGGCAGGTCCAACCTTCACCCTGAAACGCTTGCACAGCAGCATCTTTGTAACCTCATCCTCTTCACAGCCATGCACTTAGATGAGTAAAGCAGCCTTTACTCATGAGAGCCACTTGGGGGAACACAGGAGGGATTTTAAATTCAGGGCCATAATGAATGCTTGCGTGCATGCATGTGCAGTTGGCTTCRAAGCTCGGCAGCGCAGAGCTGCAGGGAAGCAGCACAGGTTATTTCGGTTCTGCAGCCTGCCTGCCTCTATAGAAGAGATTCACGGTGGAGCTTAGCAGGAAGGAAGGAAAGACACGATGGCAATTGCTCTAGAAACTGGAAATAACACAGCGTCCAAGCATTGGCAGGTATGGGGTGAGATCTCGCAGCGAGTCAAGATGAGTAGCAGGAGAGGTGGCAAAACAGAGAAAAAGGACAAACGTCCCCTGGTCATGTGCTCGTCACCATCTTTTCCAGCTATGCTACTAAGTCTCTGGGAAATCTGGGAAAGTCACTTAATTGGAGCATTTCTGGTACACATGCCTCACTGTTAGAGCATACCTATTCCTGACCAATAACAGACTTTTAACCAAGAGCAATAACTGCAGAGTGCAAAAGCTTTGTCTGACCCTTGCCTGAAAAGCACAGGCTTGAAGTCGCTGTGTTTTGGGACACATGCCTCGCTCCCCATGCGCTGGGAGCATCACTTGTAACTGCAGCCAGCACAACAGACAGGAGGCTCTTGGCACGAGCTAATACAGCCGGGGTGAACCAGGCTGGCTGAACGGGGCTCCTGCCTTGCTCAGGCACTGATCTTAACAGCCATAAAATTATCCTTCTCATTCAAAAAGGAAGCCAAACTGCACAGCTCCTGAAGGCATTTTGCTGTATCTCTGTTCTGCATTTTCTACCATCCCCTTGAGGCCAAGTCCCAGACATTTGTGTCATCTTCCCTCTCATCAACAGAATTATTTTGGATTTTATTTTTCCTGCAGAGTAGCTTTGTCAAATTTTCCTGGTGCCAATGAACGAGGGTCAAGCATTGGTACAGGGAGCTACATCACCAAAATAGTTGAGAAATTCAGAGCAAATTTACAAGCAATCGCCATCGCTGATTGTGAAAGCACTTCTTGGGAAATTAAATCATACAGTGTTGTTAATAGTTGGCCAAATATTGAAAAAAAACCCTCCCCATTTTCCTTATAGAGATGATAATTGTTTGTTAATAAAATAATTATTTTATCAACACGGCCTGGTTTGCTTAAGAAGCCCTGGTCAGAAAATGGAAGATTTTTCCAGGTTCTTTGGGCCTTCAATAATAACAATTAACCATACAAGAAAATAAGGAAGGAATTCTTGCTATGGGGAATCACCAAGGAATGTGATGGACATCCAAACGTGGGTCTGCTCACCCACCACAGCGACTAATCTCCGACAACCATCACGGTGTGTGAAACACCCGCGTGCTTTTCCTTTTGGCCTCTGCGTGGGGCCGGCAGAGCCAGGGCTCTGGCACGTTAGCCACTGAACCCAATCCGGTGGGACCTCYGTGAGCCAGCAGCCGCCGTTGGAAACCCCCACATGGAGAGGGACAGATGGCCAAGGGGGACAAGCTCTGCTGCTAGCAGCGGTATCCTCTTACTCGGTAGGACCCCAGCGTCTGTCCCCAGACACCYTCCCCCTTCCAAAACCAAGCAGCACAGAGGGCTTGTGACCACTAAGGCAGCACAGAGGAGTTTCTGTGTCTTTTTAGTCTCTTTTCTTCTTGCCGTGCCTTTCTGATTGCTTAAGCCCATGGAAATTTCCTGCAAAATCCTGCTGGGATGCTATGCCTCTCCAGGTGGGATGTGGCTGCCACCCGTGAACTCGCCGCCAACCTCCTTGGTTTGAAAGTTCAATACAAAGAAGCGCTACCGGGGCACGTCTTCATCACAGATGGCCTCGCGCGTGCGGAAAACCCGTGCGGAAAACCCGAGCATCCGCAGCGTGAAGCATTTGTCGACTCCAACTGAAGCCAAGGCACAAACCTCGAGAAACCTGCGAGGGCCACGAATTCCCCAGAGCAGAGCGGGGGCCGTCGCTGCCAGCCTCTGCACAGAGCTCAGCGCTTCCTCCTCCCTCGCCTCCCTCAGGGACACCATTTTTAAACGCTCATGATGATGATGGGCGCAGCGACCAGCGGCCAGGGCCAMCTCTCGCTCCTCCGCCCGGCACATCCCTCCGCTTCTCCATCCCCTCCACCCCCATCCCTTGTGCCGGAGCATCCCTCCGATGCCGGCGCGGCTGTCGCCCACGGAGCATCGCTCCAATGCGGGCGCTGCAGCATCGCGGCGAGCACAGCGCTGCCATTGCCCGCAGCGCATCGCTCCGCGCCCGGYGCTGCGGGCACCGGCGGGGCCTGCGCCACATCCCGGCCCGGCGCTCGCGGGGAGCCGATTTGGGCGCTTTGCCCCCGTCGCTCTGCGGGGAGGCTCCACACTGCAGGTGGCTCGGAGCACCGGAGGCCTCCGCGCCGCCGCCGCCGGCCTCCTCCTCCTCCACCTGCCCCGCGCAGCGCAGCCCCCGCGCAGCCCCCGCCCCGGCGCCGCTCACCTGCCGCTCCGCGCGCACAAAGAGCAGGAAATGGCTGCAGCCCGGGCACTTCCGCGCCTCTCCGCCGGCCCCTGCGCACGGCGGCGGCGGGGGGAGCCCCGGCGCCCGCCGCGGGAAGGGGCTGGAGCGGCGCGGGCGGCTCCTCCCCCGGGCAGCGCGGGGGATGCGCGGCCCCCCGCGGCTCCGCGGGCCCGGCCGCCGACGCGCTTTGCCCCCACGGCCGCCTAAAAAAGGACGGTTTGTGAACGGAAAGAGATGGGAACCGGGATGCGGACGGGGATGCGGATGGCGCGGGCGGCGCTCGCAGTCGCCGGGGAGCGCGGAGGGGCCGCAGCGAGGGGCCGAGCGCGCAGGATGCGCCCGGCGCWGCGCCCGTGCCATGGCCGCGTTCGTTTTCCCTGCTGCGTTAATGACAGCCCCGTTCCCATAATATATATCAAGCCTCGGTTCACTGAGCATGGAAGGGACCACAAGCAGAGGACAATGCCTTTGCCCAGGGCTCCAAGCCTCTTCTGAGTCAGCACTACATCCCAAAGATCATCCTTTGCGTTTTGGCATCTGGCGTTTTTTTCAGGGAAAAGCTTCCAGGTCTTTTGCTCATGCTTCTTTTTAAAGCCCCCAAACAGMTGCTCAGATCTAGTGTGAAATGTGAACTGGACCTCTTATAACCTCCAGAGTAACATCTCTGCGTGGTGGTTGATGCAGACCTTGCAAAGGGCTTTCATTCATTTTTCTGCTGCCCTCATGGGTTCGAATGCTGCTRCCTATTTAAACAGGTTTCAGTGGATGTCCAAGGACTGTTGAAAACCCACTGCATGCCTAGATATATTTCATCGTGGCCCCTTTCCTAAGCATCAGCCTCTGCTAAAAATGGACTAGATCTGGATGGGCCTTTCTGAGTTTCAAATAACCCCTGCCAATTGCTTACTGCAATCTGCTGCTCTGTTGTCCATGACAGCTTGGGTCTGAGCTTGCTTRGATTCCCCAGTGAGAGCTCTGGCTACGTGCTGGCTCCACAGGGAAGCTGAGGCACCCACCAGCTTCACACTACAGCTCAGCTGCGATAGGAAGAGGGGATGCACAAGACTAGAGGCACTAAGGTCTGCAAACTCCAAAAGCAACAAGACAGAGTCTTCAAAACTGGCTTCATTTAAAAAGCACCATACCTGAAAAGAATTATTAATAGCAACTCTACGAACAGACCTTCTTCCTTCCCCTATGTAGCAGTTTTCTGCTTCAGCTCTAACTGGAACATTTTGCAGCCTTGGTTCCTCTTTTTACTATCTGTTTCTTGTCAGAAAGATTCAGTAAATTAGCATTCCCACTKCAGATCCAAGAGATTAACAGCTAATATTACTCTGAGGCCTTCGGTGAAACAAGGTCAATTCAAGAAAATTGTGGCAGTGAAAGCTGTTGTGATTCTTTTTTTTCTGATTTTGACTCTTTCCCATTATCAGCCAAGCCAAGAGTGATGAGAATTCTGTGACTATTATGATATTATTTTAATTTTCCACTCTGTGCAGAACTAGGAACAGGGACCTCTGATGAGTTGAGCTCAGCTTTCCGGGGGCTGGCAGCACCAAAACCCACCCCTTGCCAGTGATGCTGGATGCAAGAAAACTGTTAAGAATGTGCTGGTATCATGCAGTTGTCACAGTACGGCACCATCATATTAAGATTCTTGAAGTATCTTGAAAATATTAGTGGGAAAACATTGTTTCGGAGGATTCATATATTATTATCCCCAATTCATAAAGACCCAAAGAATTTATAGCCATGACACATACGTTAACACACAGTGAAAGCCACAATTGGGACAAGGCAATTTATTGTTTTTAAAAATATGTAGTTTACATAGAAATTCCTGCAAAAGATCTGAACATAAGCCCTAACAATACTATCTTGTGCAACAGTAACTAGCTAATAAATATTACATTTACCTCATCTGAAGATAAATACAGWCTCCAAAACACTGCATAGCAAAGCAATATTGCTGCTGCTTAATAGCAGCTTTCTTAGGGCTAGCAGGTTCCTACCAAGGCAGAGGGAGGAGCATGCCAGAAGCCTGACTTTCCAAGGCACATGGAGGATGCCTGCACACAGGGAAGAACTATTTACAGGACTCCAGAGGCTATATGGATTCTCTAAGTGCAACCTGGACTGCGAGAAAAAAAAAAAGGGGGGGGGGGCTTTGGCCAAGGGTCCTCCAACCTAGTTGTAGATGTGCAGGGACMTGTTCATAGGGCTACACGCAAACTTTAGCATCACAAAAACATAGCAACAGGTTAACTCAAATGAAAAGGATGCGGCGTGCAAAGAGCAACTCGTCTTATGTCCACTGTAGGCAAGAATTAGAAACCTGTTTATAGGTGCACATATTCCACTTACTGGTTTATACTATCATGATATTTTTGGCAGCAGTATGGACTTGAAGGCAGCTCTTTAATCCTGCCTTTTGGCACGATGCGCATCTAGTCTGAATGACAGGGTTTGCCTTCCTTAGGAGAAATGGTCTGGATGATATTTGTAGAAGTAAAACAAAGAAAATAATGTGAAATTAAAGCCAAGCAGGGAGATATATATAACATGAACAAGGCCTTGCCCATATTCGTACAGTTGAAAAGATATTCTGGTTCACAAAAAGCACCTAGAGCCATGAGTCTGAAAAATACCAGCAGTAAAACCTCCTTCTATGAAGAAACACTTTGACACAGGATAAGTGAGATCATGGGATTACAGTATTTCCTTGTTCCATTTTTGTTGGCAAAAATCTCCAAGTCCAGCTTCTGTAATGACATCAAAACTTGTTGCTGGAAAGTAACAACTCAAAGTTTTTGTAAACTGCTCTCACATAAGGTTTACTCATGTCCTACCTTGCCCAAACAGACAAACAGAGGAACATCACAGACACATATACACACATATGCACCAGTCCACTTCTCCAGTTATCCTCAATGGTCTGCAGAAAGTCCTGATCTCCTCTACAAGTTCTGCAGGACAATAACACCCACACTTTTGGTTTTGAGATAAATTACGTCAAAAAAAAAAAAAAAAAAAAAAAAGCCTCTGTCTTGCAGTAAAATTATTGATTTTAACTGAAGTACCAGGAGATACTCTCCATACCTTGTTGCCAAATAATGTAGAACTCAGCATAAAGTATGCAGCCAGTCCAACCCACATAGGATTTTCTTTCTCTTTTTTTTTTTTTTTTAAGTTGTAACAGTCCCTAGAGGATTCAACAGTCTGTTCCCAGAAGACAGTGAGAAGGTTTTACCTTGTGATGATTCAGTTCCTCGTTGGAGTGGGAAAACCCATTTGTTATTACCCCTGGAGTGCTGAGCACATGGTCTGCAATGTTTCAGTCTTGTGGCAGTCCTTCTGGAGCACTCTGGCTCTTTCCTTCCAAACACACTAAGTCAGGAGGAGGTTCCTGTGTGTTTTAGATATCAGATAATCAGATCGTGGGATCCGGTCTCACCCTGGACCACAGCACTCTGCACTATTGAGTCACTCCATACTCAATCCAAGGACCTTGGTAATTTTATCTTCTGATGTTGAAAGAATGAAGAAAAATGTTTAAAAACTTTTGGCTTTGAACTTTTCCTACCAAGACTGTCCCCATTTACACTGGAGTCACTAAATAAGACTTGAGAGTATTTCGATACCCTTCAACACATTGCTTTTTCTCTCCTTTCATTACAAACTTGCATGCACGTACCCCTTTAGCTTATCCAGTACCATCCTGTTCTTCTTATGCCACAGTTCTTAGAAAATTGTCCAGAAGAAGAACAAGGCCATCTTGAAATATCAACATCAAAAATGCAATGACTATATCCAGCCTGTTCACTTGTGTCCCAGGCCTATTTCTGTTAAGAGCTTTCAGGTCCAGCCCACTCTGAATTACACAGCCACAGAAATGTCTAACAGATCCTGCTCATTTGAAGCCTTTTTTTTCCTTTCTTTTTTTTTTTTTCCCTAGGGAAGACCTTCATTTGGGAGTTCTCTAGACTGCTATAGAAATGTTAAATATCTGAGATTTGAGRTGATATTTTCATGAGAAATGGACTTCCAGGACTGTGTGGTTCAGGAATCTATGCTGAATAGCTGTATGCTTTGTTACCATATTGATGGCCAAGCCCACAGTCTCTGAACATCTGCTCTCTGGAAGACATGAGGATATTGGGTCAGTCCGTAATTCTCTGCCCCCTCCTGCTGTCCCAGGAACACAGCAAATGTCTACGGTGAGATGATTCCTGTTAATGCTTTCTGTGGGGAAAATCCAACCATCTGTCCTCTCAGGACTCAGTTTGCTTCAGTTAGTGGCCAATGTCATGATCAAACTCAGAGATTTCACTCAGTTGATAGAGCAGAAGAGAAAAGGAAGGCCGGTCATCTTTCCTCTGTGCGGGAGAGAGTGAGAGAGAATATTAATGTCAGCTTGAGAGGAACGACAAGATTAGGAAGGAAAAACATGTGAAAGGAATGAATATTATTGAAAGTAAAACCCACTCTTACCGAGAAAATGCCAATGGAAGAATGAGTTTTCCTGTGTGCAATGTTTCTTTTCTACTAGCAATGAATTTTGCCTAGTAGACACTAAGCACCTTGTTATGGTTAGCTATCATGATATCATCCATATCAAAGCTGAGCCCTACAAATGCGAAGCTTTCTTAGGAAGAAAACTGTTGAATTAACTTGGGTTAGGTGAACTACATAGGCTTCCCAGTGAAAGAAGAACAGTCTGTAGAGACAGCAGCTTAAATAAAAGGCAAAGAATCTAGAGTTTAATTTATCTTGCTAACTCAGATGAAAGCTGAAAAGTGCTTCACTTCCAGGATTTTATCTTGTGACCACACMAGTCATGAAGTGCATGCCCCCTTCCCTAAAAGACATAGGGCAGAGAGCTCTTGTCCTTGAGAATCAGGCCTTTCCCATTAAAATACTAACCATGCTCCAACAGTGGTTCATGACCTCATAAATGTTCTTGGAGGCCAGCTTGGGTTTGTAGAGCCGGAAACCTGCATTGATTTCTTCCACCACTTCTCCATTGGTGCGATTCTCATAGGGGATTTTACCTTCACTGAAGACCTCCCACATCAGCACTCCTAAAGCAAACAAACAATGAAGATAATAACAAAAAACCAACGATAAAATCTTCAACAGGCCCATAGCCAGTTTCCACCTGCTCTTCTCTGCAGCTCCCTGTTGATGTCTGTTCCTTGGAAAAGCTTTTTCACTCCGATTCTTAGAACATGCCTCAAAAAACAGGTCCTTGCATAGCAATACAGTCAGATGATGCCAGTGAAAATGCCTGTCCACCACTAAAATGTGTGGAAGTCCCAGTCTGGGTCAGTCCAAGTTTGGCTTCTCTTGCCTTATGGCAGATCCTAGCACAACAGGAACTTCTTTCCCACAGTGAGCCAAATGAAGTCTAAGAGCATTATGTGTCAGAAATCAGTGTGCTGTTTGTCTTCTCCCACAGGCTCCCTCTTTCTTCTTGCCATGAGAAGTAGAGGCAACACTAATGAATATACTCCATCCAGATGTGTAATGAGGAAGAAAGACTTCTTTTTTTTTTTTTTTTTTTTTTTTTTTTGATGAAGTAGATCTATTTTTGCTTCTAGATAATTACATACAAGAGAAGTCACTGACATTCATGCCAACCGTCTGTCCTAAACCAGAATTTGCTTGTGTTTTGGCAACGCAGGGGAGCAGAAAAGCAAAATGAAATACTTCATTTTTGTTAGTCAGCCTCAGTACTGGGAAATCCTCATCTGCAAAAATACCAGGTCGTGTGTTCCACTCAGATAAATTTGTGTGCRCTGAACTCACAATGGCGTTTCAAAAGGGCTATATTATGTATTTTTTTCTTTTCATAGCACTTAAATAATTTGTTATGCTTCCTTTTCAAAGCAGTAGAGAAACTCATGCTGTTATCTAGCAGGGTGGAAGAGAAGCAGAGAGACAAAATGACTCTAAACACGTTGCAGTTGGCTATCTGAGAGGCTCTGCAAACACCATGAATACAAGGTGTCTGTGCCGATAATAGGCCTGGTTTCTTTGGTCACTTAATATGACTATCTCAGTCAACTGTGTTCATTGTCATATTAGAACAGACAGACAGGCAGATAGAAAGAATAATCTGAAATAAAGATGTGTAACTCCGCAGTCGGCTTTGCTAAATAATGACCACCTTTTTGCTATTTTTTTTTTAAATAGAAGATGCAAAGATACTACTGCTTTTCAATGGATATACTGGCTGTAAGGTAGAATAAGGAAAACAATCATATTCCCTCAATGTGCACATTTCTAGCACTGGGAATATCTCACACCCAGTTTTGTCTTATGGGCACAGCAGGATTTCAGTCCTGGCAGAAGAGATGAATGGGCTGCAGAGCAGCAGAGCAGAAAGATTCCAAGAGTCATGAGATCATGACACAACAGGGGAATCCTCTTATGCAAACCCCACTGAATGGGGAGATAATCAATCACACAGAGGTACAACACTCATGCCTGCAAATTTCACGAGGAAGGCCTGATCAGTGCAAGTAAGACCGTTCAGACCTGCAACTGGCGTGTGCCAAATTCATCCAGCTTGGCTTGGCTGAAAATCAAACTAAGCCTGCATTTTGGAGGCATTTGGGTCTTAAAGGAGACCTAATGGAAATGATCACTTACATGACTGTGCAGACCAATTTAGGATTTGTGAAACAGATGAACATTCTTACCAAAGTAGCATTTCATTCTGTGTCACAGCCACTTTCCTGTAAGGTGTCATAGCTAGCTCCACTGGCTAATGTGGTCCCTTGTTATTATGTGATAAGTGCTGACAGTCTCCTCAGCATGCCAGAGGGCACAGAGAAATGGTGCTCTCTGATGCATGTCTGGATTGGGTTCTCAAAGGAGCCGAGTGCCCAGCTCCCACTGCAATGCCAATAATCTGCTACAAAAATGCATGAGCTTAGCGAGCACGAAATGCACAGGACAGCACTGTAAAGTGAGAGGGAAGCACAAAACCCACACGCACAGGCTAGCAAAGGTTATAATCCTGCATTATTTACTGCTGGGCCCGGAGCTGAGTGCTGCCCCATTGCCTGGGTGCTGTGCACAGCACACTGCAGTGATTCATTCTGCAGCGGTGTTATTTGCATGCTAGCTGGAGATGGGCCAGATACATGAGCGTGCCACAGCAACCGGCCGGGGAATAGCCTTTGTTATCTATAGCACCAATGGCTTTGGGGAAAAAACACAACAGCTTTCTTATCTAGGTGCGTCCAGAAGGGAGACCAAAGAACAGAGGCAAATCATGAAATAACACAAAAGGGAGCAGGAAASTAAGTGAGAAAAAGTGTGGGCAATGAAATAATATTTTCAGGCTGACAAAAGATAAATGGAGTGAGCAGAGCAAACTCTGAACTACAGTGGGTAGGAACAAATCTTTACTGCCTGGGACTGGCATGCAGGGGATGGACTGCCTAAATGCCTCTTCTTTCCTTTCTTTATGTAAYCTTTATGTTACAAAGGAACCAGTGATTCTCCAACCTTTTCTTGGGCAGTTATTCCATATCAGTATGAAGCAGAAAGTGCTATTTGTTATTGTATAATATTGCATAGGTATAATAGTTTAAATTAGCAGTACCTGCASTATTTCATAGGATCTAAATAGTTTGTATTATATAGTTTTTATGTTTTTATTTATATTATATTATTTTATATTATTTTGCTATTATTTCCTCCCTTTCACTTGAAAGATTTGGGCTTCTTTTTCAAAGCCATTATTCAGGCAAAACACTATGGGAATCCAGTAAACGTACAGTTTGGGAGATCTTGCTTGAAGATTGAACCCCTGGGCTTTTCTGTGTTTCTTGATTTTTTATTTATATTTTAATTAGAGATTCTTACCAAATGACCATACATCAGATTTGGTGCTATAGTTGCTGTAAGAGAAAACCTCCGGAGCAGACCATTTGACTGGAAACTTGGTACCCGTGGAGCTGGTGTACTGATCATCAAGGACAAACCTGGGAAGGGAAGAGAAGAGAGTACGCTGAGTAACCCCAGTCCAGGTTACAGCCTTGCAGGAAGTGTGTGCAGGCTCTGCAGCATTACCTTGACATCCCAAAGTCCGACACTTTGACCACGTGTGATTCCCCCACCAGGCAGTTCCGAGCAGCCTGCAAGAAGGCATAGAGGCAAAAAGGCAGTGCTGAAAGACTGTTACAGTCATTCTGCCACCTTTCTTTTCATAGACCCAATAGTGCTTAAAAATAGGAGAATAAGAGTGATAGTGCACCAWGTGAAGAGGGTGAGAACTTGAAGTTCTCATGCTGTCTGTACATTTTACACTCAGTGTGTTCCTGTTGCCAAGAACGCATCCAGCCATTAGTGTCACCTGCAGGCCTTTCTTGTCCGCAAGGAGCAAACAAAGAATCTGAAATATCCACAATCCCACACAGTCCTTGCTCCCCTAAGGGAAAGGCAGCAGTGACGGATGCAGTTTGACCGAATACAAGACAGCAGCTACCCAGTTCGCAAAAACTGATGACTTATGAATTGCAGAGGTCTGTGGTTGGCCATTAGAACCTCCACTTAATTAAAAGGATTGTATCAGCAATGCATGTTTGTACGTGTGTAAGAACAGCACCTGCTGGAGGCTTTGGTCTTTTTGGCATCTTCACTGGCTTTAGACATGGAGAGAGGCTAATCCCTGGGAGCTGTGGGAGCTGGGACCTCCAGGAAGAAAGAGTCCAGTCAGAAAAAAAGATGAACTTTAGGTCCTCCTTTCTTCTCTCCCCAACACAATGAAGGGAAATAGATAGTGGGCACTCCAGAGGATGCCTTTTTATTTTCCTTTAGCATTGCTTTTGCTTTTGCAACAATGGGAGATACTAGATCCTCTGGATGTACTGGAAACATAGGCAGGAAAAGTCTGAAAAGTGAAATTAGGGTAGGGAGAAGGCACAGGGAAAAGCCCAGCTGGAGAAGAGAATAAGTCTGGGTAGAACAGACCTACCAAGTCTCTGTGGATGACTGAATTTTGTTCCAGATAAGCCATTCCTTCACACACATCTTGGCACATGCCTAGGAGGGTTTCTTTTGAAAAACTGCCCCGCTGGCTCCTGAGGTAATCCGACAAGCAGCCGTGCTCCATAAACTCAAACACCAGGCATATCGGAGTCTTCTCAAAGCACACGCCGTAAAGCTGGACTAGTTTGGGATGAGACAGTTTCCTATGGGAAACAGAAGGAAGGGGGAGAAAGCAGGCTGAAATCAGCTCAGTCCTTCTCTTCTTACAGGGAGTTTGTTAAATGACAACTGCTTCRTTACCCTGCTGCTCTCCTCTCTGTGCAGAGGCCAGTCACAAAGGCAAAATAGAGAAAATGTGTAGAAGAAATCTAATTTCAATCTAGTTTGGCACTAAATATCATCCTGTCTCAATGATAATAGCTGYGAAAAGATTTTTCTGCACAGAAAATAATTCAATCAAACAAAAATCCATCTATTGCTATTTTGAAGAGAGAGAAATAAAAACCAAGCAAATTAAGTTGTGCAAAACGTAAAATATTGCTAAGTATTGCTTTTAATTAACATTTGTCACAACTTTTAGGAAATTACTTAATCCAATTATTTTTGACAAAACCACGTCTGTCTCCAGAACAAACCACCAAGAAATTCTGCCTTCCAGAAAATGGAAGATTGGAAGAAAGGAGAGATTCTGRATTCTGATAGCCTTGTGCACACAGTAATCCATCTACACTTGAATTTCCCTCCCTTGTAACCATCAGAACTCRCAGGTCTTTCATTATACTTTATAGATAAACAGTAGATAATCCAAGATTAAATTCTCTACTCAGTTTCTGGATCATTMTCACAGTACTTTGGTTCAGTTTTGTAAATCCTACAGAGACCTACTTTATTGGTGAGGCTACTACTCACATCATGAGTTTAGCTTCTTCAATGAAGTCTTCTTCAGACATTGCTCCTTCACGAATGGTCTTTATGGCTACCTTTGTCCGGTCCATCAAATAACCAAGGTGAACCACCCCAAACTGCCCACTGCCGATTTCCTGTACAAAGCTGAGCTCACAGGGATTTATGACCAATTTTCCTGTTGATCATAAGGGAGAAAGGATCAGTATCTGTCAGTGAAATGTCAAAGAAAAAGCTCTCCTGGGTTAAGCACTGAAACAAAGTGYGAATTTCTGGTTCTACCTCACATTGTCTGATCATTATCAGCTCATTTAACCAGTCCATGCTCCAATTCATGCTCAGTAAGAGGAATAAAACCTTCTGGTTTCTTTCCCCATTTTTATAATCTCTTCAGTTCTTCAGGGAGGATTGTTTCTACCATGTRTATGTGAACTATTAAGCACAGCATACTTTTGAGTTTCTGGATGTCTCCAAAAATTACAATAAAGACAATACCAGTCAAATTCTGTAGCCAGCTGTACACTGGTGCAAGCATCTTTCAGCTTTTGTCAGGCTGAGCTGGGATCTTGCTCCCAGCACCTTTCTTCCCTGTATCTATTACTGACTTTAATGAGACCCTAGTGTGCTTAGCATTTCCCTCAAGGCATTAAGGACGTTTCAGGATCAGCTTATTCAGTCATCAATAGTAACAACAGAGATGATAATTTAGGAAATGGCTCCATGTAAAGACTTGGAAAAATCTCTGGACTGCTGGGATAGGGACATTAATATTCACCAACACTATGAATATTTAGGCTCACCCAGTTAACCAGAGGGAAATGTGATCCCCATATGGTAAAATGAGTAACTGCATACCATAGCTCAGCCCTGCAGTGATTGGGGCCTGTTTTCTCCAGGAGCAGACCGCATACCGCAAACGAGTAACGAGACCTGAGTAACAGAGTCAAAGATGGGTTCCAGTTAATGTCACTGTCACGGGAAGTGCAATTGCCATTACCCTATAAAGGAAACTATACTGGAATCAGATTTATTGTACTGAGTTCTCAGCTCCACTTGAGGGCAGTTGAACTTCTATTCAAATTGTGATTTCCCGCCTACTCAAAGGAAGCCGATTCTAGCTAGTTTCAACTTATTTCTCATTTTTGCTCTTTTAAAGAGTATAAGTTCTGAGTCTCTATTAGCTCTTATGAGATGCCAAATTGCTATAGGATATTTTATTTGCAGGATATTCTGGAAACCCCAGGATTCCTTTGGTACTTTGGAACTGTAGGGCTGGAACACTTTGATGGCTATGGATCTTCCTGAGCAAAATGACACTGCAGCGTAACGCTGCAGGCAGCTTGGCCTGGCAAAGGTGACACATCTCCATCAAATTCTCAGAGTGAAAGTCATCATAGCGTCTGCACTGGTCCCACGCAGTCTTAAAAAGTCATCAGAATGAAGGTGCAGGGCTAGAAGCACAGACAGGATGATCATTTTCCTACCATCCACGTGCCAGGATAAACTGAGGAAAATGAGGTGCCATTTAGCATTTTGGTGTGAAGGCACAAGGCTTGAGGGTCTTATTTTCATCAAGTCACCTGGCTGCGTGGTAAAATGGCATCTCCCTGGGTCATTGTCAGCCTTCACTCACCTGCTGCATTGTGCTGGTGGTAGTTGATGAGGTCAGGGATACAGTCAAACACATGCTTTTCTGCCAAGTAATACCTCTTGGGAAAGTCATTTGTCTCATTGATATGATAATGCTTTATAACAGGATTGTTGTCAGTGCTGAAAAAGATAAGGTTTTGTTTGAGGAAAACTGTTTTCAGTAAAAAGATAGGAATTGTGGGGACAGAGGAAAAGCAAGTAAGGGGGACCTACTGCATGTGGAAAGAATGGGMCAGGAGTAATGAGTGAGCGACCCTTGCTAATGAAAGCAGTGCACTTGTGTGTTCTCTGTCTTGCTCATAGATGGTCTCATCTCTAGAAAGGCTGAGATTTCCAGATAAGAGCAGGTTGAGTACTAAGGTTCTCTATTGCCTCTTTCTGAAACAAAACTTTCTGCACCATCACATAAACCCTTTCACTAGTCCTGTATTATGTACCTATGCACCTTATGCATTGGACCAGCTTAAAGTCCATGCTGATCCTACAAATATTTTAGCCATGGGGACAGTTTCATCACACGTATAATCCCAGTAATATCTAAGGGACTATTTATGGGCAAAAAGTTAGATTCAGGGAGTCTTTAACAAGATGTTTTGCRAATGGCAGCCAACTCTTTGGCTTTTTTTGGAAGTGCATATCATTTTCATTAGCCTTCTGCTCTCTCTTTATGATGCCAAAACAACTACAGAGATTAAACTCTCAGAGAAGCAATTTCATTGATATAATTGATGCAAAAAGCTGTTGAGCTCAGCTGTACCTTAATGCTTTGGTGAAAACAGAGACTGTGTACATGCCAGGCTGCCTTGAATCTCTCACCATGAAGGCACCTTCCTTACCCTGTAACAGGAGTAACGTAGAGAAAATTGGTTAGAGACATAATGGAAAAGAAAGAAGCACAAGGCTGTGAAAGCTCTGCTCATCTTAGCACTGTCTACTGCTCTATCAGGAACATGTGCTAATCGCATAGGAAAAAATATATATAGGTCAGCAGCTCACTGGCAGATGTTTCACCTTTCCATGCACAGCCCAGAAGCTGCAGGTACCCAGATAGTCTCTCTTCGGTGCCACATATTTTTACCTCAGTTTCCTGAGGAAATGAGACTTATATGAGCATGCTGAGTGTGTGTGGGTGTGGGTGCACATGAGTATGTGTCTCTCTGGCCCTCTAAGGATCTGCCCTGCAAATTTTCAATCTACTGATCGATTTCAAGCTTTCTTGACAGAACACTTGGTGATATTAAGTTCACAGAAGCTTCATGAAAGTGGGCAACCTCTCTGACTCTTCCACCAAGTGAAAAGCTACAGGAAGAGCATGTAATTTATTAGACACCGAAGAGTTTGTATAGCACAGTATAAATGAAAGATCATTTATAAATGGCTCAGAAATTGGAAAAAACTTTGGCAAGATCTTGTCATTTCATAGAAGCACAGAGAAGCTCTAAAGAGGGTGCCTGGTTGCTGCAGTTAAAGTGTGATACAAATATTGAGGACTTTAGGACTTACCTCCTTGGCAGGCATGGCCTGTCATGAGAAAGTCCTAAGAGGCAAATTAATCAGGCCACCTTTCCAATGCTATATGTGACCATGATCTCTATAATTTGCATCGTGTCTGGCTGCTTCAAAGCACAGGCAGGACAGACATCTTAGTTTAAGAGCTGGTTTAAAAATTAAGATTGCACTCATGTGGAAGATTTCAACAAAAGGTATATTCTTTTTATTTTCAGAACATTTTTCACTGGGAAACTCTGTCTCTACTGAAAGTTTAAAAATACGTTCTCATATGCACGTACACACACAATTTAAAAAGAAAGAAACCATCCTTTTGGCTTTCACCCAAAATATGTCAGAATGAGGCTGGTTAGTTTTTCAGCTCCTGCCATTTTCCGGCCTCCTGCAGAGACTGAAGAGATGAACTAAAYGCACATTTTTTGTTGACGTGGTGCACTGAAACAGTGTTTTCCATCAGCCCTCGTTTGGGGTGTGTTTGGCTGAAGGAAGGTGGCACAACACACTGCCCACACGCAGCTCACGCGAGGGCAGGAGGGTTCGCTGGCACTTTCGTTCCTGMTAGTCCTTTTTCTTGCGTCACACGCCAAGGAGAGACAATGACAGCAGCCCAGCAGGAACCCAGGGGTCAACTCTCCCTTGCACAAAGCAGCCCTCACAGTCCTTTCCCCGTTTGCCATTAATTATTTATTATGGCCCATCTGACCCCCACATGACACYGGTTTACCTCATCCCTGAGGAGCATTTCTGCTTTGCTTCTGTTCATATTCTTATTGTACCACCTGAAAATGTCAAAAGAATCCAAGTCAGCATTTCCAGGCTGTTAAAATTTCAACTGAAAATCCTCTGGATTGAGAGTCCCAAGTGTTAAAGACAACAGTGAATATAGGGTAGGCAGATTTGAAGCTTGTCGCTTCTGTAACGAATTCATGGCTTTTAGAGGTACAAGAAAAGTGTAGGCACAACTTACTCATATATTTGCAGATTGTCAGGTGATTTTTCCACCAGGTAACTGCTTGGCACATAGCCTTCATGCCTGTTAAAATGCAAGAAGGAGTGAGTGTGCCAGCCAGACAGGATTTTCTCTTCATCTGTGGGAGTCAGCTCTGAAAATTTTTGCCTGCCAGAAGTCTTGCTCTTTGCATGATATAAATGTTGGTTATTATGTATTTAGTTTCATTGCTGAGAAAACGTTTTTTTTTGGGTTCTCTCTCACTAGTCATTGTAGATCTTACAATTTCTTTTTCCTCACACATACAACAGTGAGTGTCAGCCTGAACTAAGGACCRTTCTTTTTAAAATTAACTTTTTGTCTCCTTTTCTTCAGCTGCCTGGATAGCAGCAACATCAAAAGGAAGAACTCCCCCATCACTCTTTTTGTTAGCTGCCCCCCATTTTCTCCATCTGTCAGAAGATAGTTCACATATACTATGCAGCCTATATTTTAATGAAAGTTCAAGCTGGCTTTAGAAAAGGTTTGYAAATTGTATGTGAAAAGAGACTTACCCATTCTTATCTTGAATCAGCCACCAATGTTCTTCAGAGTTATCAATCACATAATATTCCTCATTATATTTTAATGTCAGCTCCTGTGGATTCTGGGCTTCATAGTCATATATGGCCAAGACTAAGGCATCCTTTGGGTCTAGCAACAACTTCTGCACAAATTAAGAACAAAGCAGATCATACTGAATCAACGGATAATCTCTAAAAAGATMGTACATTACCCTTTTTGATGGGTTCAAAAGCCTCAGCATTAGAAAATCACCCCAGAGTGCCTAGTGGGTTATACTGGCCACCCAAAAATCTGTAGCAATACTCAACTATAAGTTTCATGTAGAGATTTGTACAATTCAGAAAATAGTTATCTATTCTTTCTGTCAAGCTTAGGGTGTCACAGCCTTTCAACACAAGCGTTTCCTAAWTTTTTTAAAAAAGTTTCTTTTCTTAAAACTTTTCTTTGTCCTAATGCCCAGTTGGTTCTACAGTGGAGAATCCTGTGGTAACCACCACCTCTGTTGTTATATAAGGCTACACCTTTTTGTCCCTCCACAACTTGGTTTGGAAACTACTCACTCTGTTGCTCTTTATAGCAGCTTTTGCAGATTTGAATACTATTTTCGTATCCACCTCCCTCCCAGTTTCCCCTTCCTATGAATAGAAAGAACCAAACAACATCTTGAAACTTCTCTCACTTTTGGGGAGCCCCACCTCAATTTCTGTAAAAAACAAAACAAAAAACAGTGYGATGCTGCTAACTTACAGCTTATGAAAATGTATAGAAAAGGTAAGAGAAAACCCAGGGAATGTCATYACACACGATACTCCAGGTCAGTGAACCATAATGAACATTAATGAGGATATTTCCATCACCACTAGTTAAACACACTGGACACATGGAAAGCWTCTCATGCTGCACTGTACTCACCCAGTTATCTTCAGGAGTGGGAGGAAGAGGTTTCTTTGAAGCTGTAATGAAAACAAAAAGTTAAGTTGATGTAGACCTGGACAAAACCAGGGGATAAACCTAGGTTATTTTATAAACATGATACAAAAATTATGAATAGCAAGTCTTGGCCCTCTGTGTTTTTGATATAAGACATGCCAACAGTAGGAACATACACTGTGTCTGTCAGCCACACAACATGGAAACTGATGCACAAATTACCCAAGGAATCAATCAAAYACCAGAGGAAAAAGCCTTGGTTCAAAAGTGATTGACTTCTGTAACTGGTAACATCTTTTATCTTTTCCAGGAGACAAGTAAAGATTAAGCTTGGCCATTGAAACCGCAATGGAAATATGTTGAGGATAAAATAGGACACACAAGGGTGAACCTATCTTAAGAAAATTATTATTCTGATTTATTAATTGACCACATCTGRTCAATCTCTTAATTTTTCATATCTTTCAAAGATAGCATCAAGCATTACAAACAGGAAATTGTTAATTCAAAGCAAAGAATACTATATAAAGATGAGGCAGTATAAGGAATGTCCTGAGAAATTTGCAATGTCTATCTTGATAAAAATATTACATGATAAACTTCACTGCTTTGTACGAGACAGATGTAATCGTTTATTTAAGCCTGTAATAAGTATTTTGAAGGTTAGAATGCTCAAAATCTCATACCGTTTTTGGTGGGGTCATATTCTATACAACCAACTGCCATCTTCTCTGTCTGATCACAGCATCTCCATTTCCCATCCATCCAAAAATTTGGATGGTACTTTTGAACCAAACTGTTGTTGTTTCTGGTTTCTGAAAAATGTTAAAGTAAGAAAAAGAGGAAGAAAATGGATTTGTTTGCATTGACATCARCTCTGAAAGAGACGTAGAACTGAATGGAAATAATCTGCAATTTAAAGAAGCTTCTTTTTCTTTTCAAGACAGGTTTTAGTGAATAGTTTCAGCCCCCATTGTTAATGTTCTCCKTTCTCCTGAAAGGAGTGAAATCATCATCAGTGTGGAGGAACAGCCTGCCTGATGCTGATGGAGCTCAGTGGGAGGACAGAAGCCTCCCAAATCAACTATCTCTTGAAGTTGTTAAACATGAAAACCACAGGAGAAAATCTGGTATGCTATGTACTGATGATTCTCATAAAAGACTTTAGTTCTACTGTATGTATTGTGCAACACAGACACTCACTGCTTGRCTTGGCTTTTGGAAGCAGCTGTAGAAGCTGACATGCACTGACTCTAAACGTTTTTTTATATGTGTGAATATCAGACTTGAATGTCTGTATGACCAAATAAAAGTCCCATTTTGAGGTACAGGTTCTCTGTATATATTAATCATTCTCCTATAATGAGAAAAGAAATTCCTGCTCACCTGTTTCAAGAGACAATTCAAGTTACTCAAAGGAAGCACAGTCTCTAGAAACTTGGAAAAGGCTCCAGAGAGAAAMTAAGTGGTTACAGAAGTGTAGGAAGATCATCAGGCAAAAAGTTTTCAGAATGAATAATACACCAGCTTGTTATGAAAAAGGAGAAAGCTATAAAGGGAATCTGGTGTAATTTTCATGTAACTGAACAACACCTTCCTTGTGTCAAGTGCTTCACTTTGCAAGCAGTGGTTAGCTATTGTTCCTTCACTTCAGAACCATCGTAATGAACCACAGTGTAATTCGAGAGGAGAACAGGAAACGAAAGCTACCCACAAAAAATGTTTCTTAATAATTATGATTCTCTAAGAAGGTTGTCAACTAAACAAAGAATCTATTAATTAGAATTGAAAAAAAAATCTTCTACACAACAGAAYTATGTAATACAAACAAGAATTACTTAATATATAACAAGATTTAATAGAAAATAATTAGCCAAATAAAAGTAACTCATCTCTTCCTGAATAAGAAAATCTTGATTTATTGGAACATACTAAAAGTTTACCCTAAAAAGAAGAAAATTGAGAATTTCATAGTTCCAATATGCCCACAAGATTTGCAAACATAGTTGATTTCATAACAGCATTCTGATCATCATTTTACATGMTCAAATATAAGACATTGACTCCTCAATGTGTGCATTTTCTCTGCATTATTAGCCATTGAGAAAACTAGTCTTGAATAAGTAACTTTTTCAATTAGATGGCTCTGAAGTTTTATTACCTTCTTTCAGAGTAAAGACCCATCTCTGACGGCTCTCACGGTTGGGTGCAAACACATAGAGTATGTGGTTATCATGGACAATCTGTAAATTGAAGGAAAGCAGAAAGTGAGCCATTGGGTAACTGCTGAAGAAAACAGCCAGTAGCCTCCAAATCAAGAAATTAGGGACAAAGTGATGATACAGGCAAGAGTAGTAATCTAGGTCTGTCCAGAAGCATCTCATGACCTTGGTGAATTTTTGTTATTTAAAACTGAGTCRAAACCTTGATCAAGAACGGGTTCTAAACAAATACTATTTTAGATCAACTTTATGCTGTTAAGAAATACTATTGAAATCAATTGAGATGTAGCAATTTTAATCAGCAGAGAATTCAGCCGATTACTTGCTCATTGTGTTTTATTCTTCCAGAGCGTCTCTAGGAAAATAGTAACTGTTTCTTAGTCCCCAAAGAGTTGCTTGGGGTTCATTTTGATGCAAGAGAAGCTAAATTTGGCTCACATAATAAAGTGACAGAATCTTCCAATAAATGGMTATGTGGATTGCTAAGGATTTTCTTCGGGCTTTTTAGTAGCTTTCAACCTAGGACCATAGAGGAGAAATAGGAGGCTACAGCAGATGAACAATGAGCAATCAAGATGCTATTTTCATAAAGTTGTCCTTAATGATGAACAAGTGTAGGAAGAGAGAAATAGAACATTGGTGAAGTTTCACACCAGAGAGTAAACATCATCACAAGAAATAAAATGACTCAGAAACTTAACTGGATGACTACATTTGTATCTAAAATTCAATATAATACATATTCTGTATTTCTCTTCCAATACGTATCTCAATAATTTAACTCTAAGTGTGACCAGATGCATTTAGAAACTCTGGCCATTGTCTTTAAGCAGCAGTTTCTACAGGAAAGCAGCTGGTTTTTAAAGTCCTTCAGGTAGCATAGATGAGGCAATGATGATTATCAGCTAAAGAACAGGAAATATTTGCTACGTTTTGGACTGAAGCCCTTGCAGAGAGACACAGACAGCCATGTGACTCAACAGCTTTGCTTGCTACAGAGACATAAATCGTACCTCTTAGAAAAAGTAAAATAGAGGAATAATTTCCACTCTTTTAAAGCMACTGCTGTTGATACTGTTACAGCAGTATTAATGTTGCTATTGCTTCTGTACTATGTTTTGAGAATCTGAGGTGGATTTTGAAAGCTGCAGTAAGCAAATCTCTAAAACATGTGGCCAGGTCATGGCCATGCATGAGTGTGCAAAATCACCCATTTCAATCTGCTCTGCAAGGGGCTGACTTGCCAGAGGTGCCACACACAAAATAAAAATGTGATTCTGTTACTGCCTGGGCTTTGGTGGTTCCGCAGAAGATTCACAGCTGGTGAAGCTGAGGTATTTTAAAAATAGATAATATCTTCTTACAAAATACTACAAAATTGACTCCAGGACAAAATTCAGACAAGCTACAAGCAGGCATGGTTTCCTGACCTCATTTCTGGAATACTGGTCTTCATATATCCCCTTCACCAATTTCTGACCTAAAGACCACTAAACATATAAACGTATATTTACTTCACAATGATATAGGTGAAAAAACCAAATGATATAGGTGAAAAAAAACAATGATATAGGTGAAAAAAMCAAAACTCCTGTGAAAGATGTGCTTTATCTGAGCATAAGTTACTGGGCTCAGTGCTGACTAGCTCATGTGGAATAACTGAATATTGTGTTAAACCTGGGATAAAACTAGAAAAATTAATGTCCTTTCAAATACGCGTAAGAATTTACAGCACTTGTGATAACATTCAGTCTCTGATTTTCCAGTTAATTTCAAATCTCAGTTCTGATTTTCCTTCCTATTGCTACTCCCATATGTCAGAGAGAGAATTCTCCTGAACTATAAAATAAAGAGKTCAACAGTATGGTCAGCAAACAGACTCACCTGGAAAGGATATTTATACTGACAGGGAATAATGATGTCACTTTTCACAATTTCTACACATTTAATCCTGGAAAGTTCAACATRACCCTTCAATGTTCTTTTTTTCTAAAAGACAGAAAAAAAGCACTTAGTTAATGCTAATGATTCTGTATTAAATAAGTAGTTAGATAAGCCTGTGATGTCCCTAAGTGATTTTTCATTATTTCAATGGAGCAGAAGCAATTTAATTGGTTATATAAGACATTTAAAAGCATAAAAAAAATCATTCTTATATATCACACATATACGGATTGAACATACATTTATGCACATACATATGTTCCATTTCAACAGATTATTTTTAGAGAATCAGTCAAAACATCTGTCTGAAWTTTTTTTTCTCCCAACAAAATACCTTTTAACCAAAGAGAACTATTTCCATGAAACGTTGAATTTATTATCATTCATGTTTCACACTGACAAGATATAAAACAGCAAATAGTATATTTTTAGAAAATATTTGGGTAGTTAGGCTTTCAAAACACTAAGCATTTTATTAGAAAGTATTACTGCATTAGTAATTAGAACATTATTACTGCATATATGTTTCTTCCRAGAAACAAAACACTTCACTGTTTTTCACTTGAGTTTTTAGCTAAGAAAATAACAGGAAATTTTGAAATAAATAATTTTCTTTAAAAAACTGCCTGCAAAACTATTTTACTGGAGTAAAATAGTACTCTGCAGTATAGTTTTTGCTCCAACACCAGATAGCTAGATAATCATAAAGTCAGTTAGAAGCTGAGAAAAGAACAGGCATCCTAGAAACCTGCCACCAAAATTCCTGCCCTCATCATTACCCTCTTGCCTACTGAATCATCACCCAGCAGCYCCTGAGTTAAATCATACACGACTTTTTAAGGTAAGATGCATGAGGAAGCTAATGTGCAGTAGGTTGGTATGCAGTTCATGCTCAGTATCTAGTGCAGCTTTCTGCAGGATTTGCTGCAGAGGTACTTGCTCTTCAGAGACAAACCGGTTTCCTGTTTTGATTCTTTTTTTTCAGGAGGAATTGAACACCGAAGCTTCTCCTCCTTTCAGGAGGAATTGAACACCTGAGCCTTGTGACAACATGACAGAAAATTGTGATATTTAAGAGCCCCTTCACTGCAAAAAAAAATTGTTTTCCAAACACAGGCTACTGTCAATGGGAGAGAGCATGAACTCTGGAGARCGTTTTATCCTCTTTACGGGTTACCATTCAGAGACATTTCAAGACTCTGGCCCAAATCTATGTGTTGCTCATCCTCTTGTCTCCTTCCTGGCTTTCTTGCTCCTATTGCATCCCTTGATCCCTGTGGACGTGCAGCTCTGCTACCCCAGCAGCAGCCATCCGCAGGGCATGGAACCTTTTCCTCCACCYGCTCCCATCTCCATGCCCACCCCTCGGCATGGCATTCGTGACTGTCTGCCCTCTTGCTGCCTTTCATTAACAATTTTAGCCTAAAACAGGGAAGCCGCTGGTGGCAGTGGTCACAGAGGGTGCGGTTCGCCGCAGTGAAGAGTCAAACAGCCTCAAAACAGAGAAGTCTAAAGGACCCTCAGACATTATTCTGGTGCAACCATCTAAGTATTTTGCCTTTGCATACTTGGACTTCAAGAAAGAGAGTAAAATTATTACAGTTTTGGCATACATTACCACACTGGGCTTTCCTGRTGTATGTTATGGCCAGCCAACAGTTCAACTGAATTCACTGCCAGGACTACCTCCTATAGAATGGACTTACCTATATAGCTATCTCAGGCGAAGCTGGACTTTTTTATCAATAAATGTCAAAGCACACTTAATATAAATACCAATTTACTAGCATGAATAGTGTCAAGCCTTAGGAAGCCTTATTCCATCTTGTTTTCTCCATCTATTTTCCCTCAGCTTTGCTTATTCACTCCTTCCTTCCAGATCGCGCCTCCTTTGTCTCTTCTCCACAAACTCCTCTTTCATTTGTTTGCCCCTTGGGATTTCTACCCTTTCCACGAGACTCAAAGCCATTTATTTCCTGTAAAAACCTTCAATTTTGCTGACARTGAACCCTCCTTCCTCTTACTACTTTGAAGTCCCAGGCCTTAACCACATGGATTCCTCCTCGGAGGCCTTGGGAATCAATGTGGCTCTGCTCACACACTCTGCTCTGTTACTTCAGACTAGTTTTTGTTGATACCTTTCCGGGCTCTGCTGAAAGACTGAGTCCAGCTTTTACAAGAAGCTTTATGCAGCTTTCCTACAGCTCTCATCACCTACTGTGCCCCTTCAAACGCCCTCATTTCAACAGCAGAAGCCCCTCTCAATCTCAGGTTATGGCACAACTTCAGTCTGCATCTCACTGCTTGTGCATTCCCTGGCAGATCCGCAGCAGATGGGACGTTGCTGGTAGAAGGCAATTACAGTCCTGCAGCAGCGCAAAACAACTGGAATTACCACTCACAACCCCTGTATTACTGAGAAACTGGGCTGGAAACTAAACATATCCCTGGCTCTGTGATGCCTGACTACACTTTAATCTAACAAAAGCAACTGAGCCATCTGGAAGGGAGTGGAGGGGAAAAGCCTCTGAAAAATGATCTCCCAAAACCTCAGAGACTTGTTCCTAAAAGGGCTAGACAAAACATGCTGACAGCTTTCCATTTGCTTTTTCCAGTCTGCCTAGAGCATAATTAGGTTGGAAACATCTTTTGTCTCTGCTGCAACCACCTTTGTTTTAGCTGTTTTGTCATAAACTCATCAGCGTTCTTACTCTGCAATGTGTGTGCAAAGATACCCAGGGCATGCTGATGCCCCAGCTTAGATGAAGTATAGGGCATTGCAGATCAGGATGTCTTTTTTTATTCCTTTTGGTTCATTATATTTGCAAAAGGCAATTCCAGCAATGACACCTAACAGCATTGCACAGAGACTAGTACATTGCTGTCCTCAGTACTCCTCTCGCCACATCACTCCAGCATCTCCTTCACTGTTTTGATCTTCAGCTTGTCTCTATAGCAAAAACTAAATGTTCACAATGGTCCTTATTTCCCTCAGACACTGGAATAATTAAATACAGGATAGAAAAAGGCAGGATTTTGCAACTCACTAACTAGTCTACAATAATTTCTACATGCATAGTCTACCCTGCAACACAAAAAAGGATCTCACTTTGCTTGTACGGAGTATAAACTCCCAGACATTTGCCACGCATGAGGCAAAATTGGAGTGCACTGAGGTGTCACAGCTAAGGTAATAATGCAACAAGTTTTTGTGCGAAAATGGGCAGTCCTTCCTTGCCACTTCCACCACACTGCTACTAGTATGGGCCATGGCAGCTTGGCCATCACTACCAGCTGCTCTTGACCAGCTYACAGTGCTGGCTTAAACTGCCTGCAGGGCCAGAGCAGCCCTGCACCGGAGCCCTGGAAGGAGCAGGACAGGGAGCAGTAGCAGCAGCTACAGGTAACATGACTGTGCTGTAAGCCTGCTTCCTGGCTGCGGTTCTGTGTGCTTGGGGTTCCCATATATATCATATATTGTATCATATATCATATGATATCATATATCATATATATCATATATATCATATATTGTAATATATGAGGTTCTATAGTCAGGGGCAGGCAAGAATAGGTTGCACTCTGGCTAACCCTTATTATTTTTGTTCCCAGTTCATCAAATGTGCTATACCAGACCTGGGTGTTGAAGGGCCATAGGCACCAGGAACGTTGATGGGGGCTTAAAGCTTTGGCTAAACCACACTGCATTATATAACAAAGTGACACGAGAACACAGCGCTGCTGCAAAGCTTCGCTGCGCGCGCAGAGGGGCAAGTGCCTCACGCAGGCTGGGGAATGTGAGCTTTGGTGACACACAGAAACATTTCACAGCAGCAAGTTGCTCAGTGAATGCACATGCTGAGCAGCTCAAAGGGTTAGCTACCAACGGGTCCCGGCGAAGAGTCACCAGTGCTGGGGGCAGAGTGAAGTARGGGAGGTGAGACACGATGGTGAGAGACCACAGTGGTGGTCAGAGTGGCCCATGCTTGGTCCTCACTTGCAGCCAGACACTTTCCCTCAGTAGGCAGGTAAGGGAAGGCTAATTTATAGATGCAGTGGATAGAGGTAGGAAATTCCAGTCCCCTGTAAGCTCAACCGCAAAAGCATTTCCGTCAGTACAAGCATTTCATGACATTCTTTTTGGTAGGTTTTCTTTGCAAGAATTCAAGCAGAATTTTATTCGCTGTTTTCACTTATYTTGAGTCAAGAGAAGTCTTCTTAATTAACCACCCAGACAGTTGAGTAATTAGGGGTCTTTGCCTCCACACTTGGCCTGACCCATTTGTCCCTCGTCACCTGCTTCTCTTGCCCCTGTTGTGCAGGCTCGGCAGAGGCAGAAGTTGATTTGAGGGTTTCGTACACTGTGGATTGGTCAGGGGAAAACAAAGCAACTTAATCTTTTAAAACATTGCACACAAGACCACAGGCAGAGGAGAAGAAAAAAAAAAAAACTCTGACTTCTGCACGATGCTGGAATAAAGTGTATGTAAGTGCAAAGAGAGGCTTGCATGCACATGAGAGCATTTAAAACCAGCAATGAGAGACTACTCTGCTGGTGACAGCAGCTGGCAGCAGGGCTTTCAACATCTCCTGTGGACACAGGTCTCACATAGCCCATGGAAAGGCTCATACGTGTAGACTGAATAGTCTCTAGATCCATGCACAACGCTTACTAGTGATGGATAATTGCTCACAGAAATGGTAAATTGGCAATGCCAATAATAGGTCTTAACTGTAGCATATTACAAGTCAGCTGCATCTTTATCCCACCCGTTTCTGTGGTACCAGTGCATTCTGGTGTAATGGAGGGGTCAATATGAGCTCGGGCTGTGCATGAGCTGGTTTCAGGGAGCAGAGGGAATGCAGCTTTGCAGGGCAGTGCTTGAATGAAGGCAGGACTTCTTAGATGCCTTTCTAGAATTCCCTTCAGGAAAGGCAGTTCTCCTTCCTCAAGTTGGAAATACAGTTTCCAACTGTGTTGCTTTTCGCTGGCTTTCAGTAAGTTGCATTTTCATGTCTAAAAGTGGGTTCACCGAATGCTAGTG